CTGGACTTGCACCAGGGGCAAAGTCTTTTGGTCGAGTCTACGAAATTTAGCACGGACTCGAACCAGGGGCAAAGTCTTTTGGTTCAAGTCTACGAAATTTAGCACGGACTCGAACCAGGGGCAAAGTGTGTCGGTAAGGGGCAAGTCTATCGCACGAAGATGGCGGTCTCTTCTTTAGGCAGGCCTTTGGCGATCTGTCTATTAATCTGTGGTGTTTATATGCTATGTAGAAATCAGAATTTCGTAGTGATATTTTTGTGGTTATATTTTATCGACGGTCCATAATTTAAGGAAATTTTTAATGAATAGAGAATTTATTATATAATATTTTAATTTTGACACAGATTAATAGACAGATCGCCAAAGCCTGCCTAAAGAAGAGACCGCCATCTTCGTGCGATAGACTTTGCCCCTTACCGACACACTTTGCCCCTGGTTCGAGTCCGTGCTAAATTTCGTAGACTTGAACCAAAAGACTTTGCCCCTGGTTCGAGTCCGTGCTAAATTTCGTAGACTCGACCAAAAGACTTTGCCCCTGGTGCAAGTCCAGGCTAAATTCGTTTGACATTACCAACAGACTTTGCCCCTGGTGCGAATCCAGGCTAATTGATCATGAGACCAATTTGAGAGATTTGGCCCCCGTTGTGTGTGTGTGTGTGTGTGTGTGTGTGAGAGAGAGAGAGAGAGAGAGAGAGAGAGAGAGAGAATATTTTACATATATGCATATATATATATAAAATTTATTAAATATAAAAAATATATTTTTTACACATAAATGTTTTTTTATTGAAATAATCACGATTTTAAATGTGATATAACACAGTGTTCAAAAATTTTTTAATTAAATTTTTTAATTAAATTTTATTAAAGAAAATTACTTGAAATTTTTTACATTAAGAATTTAAAGGCTCCTTATTCTCTTGTAGAAATTTATCACTACGCCAATTAATCACTTATTTTGAGTATTTAAAATACTATAATATACAGTAATTTAAGTATTCGAAATAAAAGTGATTAATTACTCGAAATAAGTGATAAATTGGCGTTACTAGTAATAAATTTCTATAAGGGTTGAAATAAAGTATAAGAGATAAATAGGCTATATGTGAGCCGTATGCGAAATGTGAGATGTAAGACGCATATTGAAATTTAATTTTTCGATATAACTTTCAAAAATGTACACGAGGTACAAAAAATTAGCTTGGACATTTGTAAGACTTAAAATTGGGATTAATTCTCAATTCTATTAATTAAATTTCGATATAACACACCTTACATCCGCGCACGGCTCACATATAGCCCATTTATTAGTGCAATTTTTAAGTTCCTTATTTTTCAAAGTTCACCTTTTTACGTTATCAAATATTTTTACGTTTTCAAGAATTTTATATTTTTACTTACCGCAGTTTCTTATCCAAATGTAAAATCTTTTATCGCAGTCTATAAAAAATTGAAACAATTTACAATTTTATGATATAATATTATTATTATTACAATTTCTATATATATGCACATCTGTCAAATATCGTGATTTATTTCACATTATTATTATCTATTTTAATAAAAAAAAAACAAAACACTTGCAACAATCAAAAATAAACCGCCTGCCGCGAACGGAAAATGCCAAGAAAGCACGCAATTTCCGCGAATCTCGTAATTTTTTTGAAAAATCAACAATTTCAACGAAATTGTAAATTCTTCAAATCACTGCACAAGTATAATTCACAATAATAATTTTCAGTAACTACGATAAAAAATCGTATACTGAAAACCGCAAACGAAAGTGCAATGGGAGTAAGAGTAAAGTCTGTGATAAAATTAATTGGCAATAGAAAATTAATAATTTTCAAATAGAAAAATTTTGAAATTACCGAGGATTTACAAATAATAAAGTAAAAATATTAAATAATTTATGTTTTCGAATTTTGCTCGCGGAGAGGATCTTTAAAACAAGATTTTTAGAAGAGAGGACCTTTAAAATATAAACAGGCAAAAACGTTGGAAAAATTAAAGCGCGCGTTTAAACAGATAAACGCAATGAAATAAATACGCAATTGTTTTTACTTATCGCTGTAAGCTCACAAGCTTCTGACGTGCTATACACTTTTATATAATATATACAAGGTGTCCGGTAACTAACGGACCAATGATTAAGGGCGGATTCTCTGGCCAATTTGGAGACGATTTTTCCTTAGCAAAAATGTTGAGAAGTCAATAATTTTCGAGTTATAAGCGATTGAAAAAAATAGGTTTTTTGAAAACTAAACGTTTTGGAGTTAAAAGTCTAACATAATTACATTCTTCAGTTAATTTCAGGTAGAGTTTACTATAATAAAATTTTAATTTAAGGCTTAGTTATAAAGATACATAATGACAAAGATTGGAAAGTTGTAAAAAATGATGACCTTTTTCGACATTTTCGCTGAGGAAAAATCGTTCCCAAATTGACCAAAGAATCCATTTGTAATCATTGGTCTGTTAGTTACCGGACACCCTGTATATTGGACACGAGTTTCGTTTGTTTCAGATTCTCGAGAGTTGAAGTAGGAACATACGAGTATCATATATCGTTTGTGACTTGCCGAATGAAAGCAAGACAGAGAGCGAACGAGATGATGAGCTTAATAGCTCATAATGTTATAAATAAATAAATAAAAAATTATAACCTGACCTACTAGTTATTGAATCTTTTTTAATAAAATGTTTCATTATTATTATCATCTAAGTCTAAGTCGTTTAATTACTTTTTAGTTTTTTAATAATTAATTTAATTTATTCTAGTCATTTTTATATGAGAAAAATAATATCACGTATACTGTTTTATAATTAATTATATTTTCGGGAACCGAATTATATATTCTTAATAATAAAAGTGTTCAAAAATTATATTTGACTTTTAATTTTAATTATTTTATAGCAAAGAGTTCCGAAATCTCTTACACACATAATGGGGATTTTTTTCATCCATATAATTCGCAATTAAGTATATATGTTAATTATTAATTTTAATAAAATAAAAATTAAAATTAAAGGTCAAATATAATTTTTAAACACAAATATTTAAATTAATTATAAAACGTATACCCATGATAGTATTTTTCTCGTACAAAAATAATTAGAGTAAATTAAATTAATCATAAAAGATTAAAAATTAATTAAAGATTTAAACTTATATTTTATATAATAATAATAAAACATTTTATTACGTCAAACCGTCGTGAAATAATTAAATAAAATTTGCTAGTTACGTCAAAGTCAAGTTTTCTAAGCTTATAAAACATTTTATTAAAAAACAGATTCAATAAATATAAGTACATGTTATATATATACTTATATTTATTGAATCTGTTTTTTTTATAAAATGTTTTATTATTATCATATATAATATAAATTATTTAATTATTTTTTATTTTTTTTATGAGTAATTTAATTTGTTCTAGTTATTTTTGTACGAGAAAAATACTATCACGGGTATACGTTTTATAACGAATTAAATATATTTATGTTCAAAAATTATATTTGACCTTTAATTTTAATTTTGTATTTTATTAAAATTAATAATTAACATATATACTTAATTGCGAATTATATGGATGAACAAAATCCCTATTATGTGTGTAAGAGATTTCGGAACTCTTTGCTAAAATAATTAAAATTAAAAGTCAAATATAATTTTTGAACACTTTTATATTATTAAAAATATATAATTCGACTCTCGAAATATATTAATTCATTATAAAACGTATACGTATTAGTATTTTTCACATATTAAAATGATTAGAATAAATTAAATTAATTATTAAAAAACTAAAAATTAATTAAACGACTTAGACTTAGATGATAATAATAATGAAACATTTATTAAAAAATAATTATAATAGGTCAGGTTAATATTTTATTTATTTATAACATCATAAAATTCTGTCCTTTCCGAAATACGCGAACGCTACGAAAAGATAAATCTCGTACATGCCGCCGGACGAGTTCATGAGCATGAGACGCTCTTATCTTGGGAACGTATTAATAGTTACTGCATTGACCACTACTACGATATGGCGCTGAAATCAGTGAGAAATGCTGGTCTCTCCTTCATCCAGACCTTTGGCGATCTGTCTATTAATCTGTTNACATGCCGCCGGACGAGTTCATGAGCATGAGACGCTCTTATCTTGAGAACGTATTAATAGTTACTGCATGACCACTACTACGATATGGGCGCTGAAATCAGTGAGAAATGCTGGTCTCTCCTTCATCCAGACCTTTGGCGATCTGTCTATTAATCTGTGTCCATGTAATATAAGGCAATCAAAACAGACGGAACGGAACGCGCGGAAATGCGGGACTCTAGTAAAGTTTAGTTACTTTCTCTCCGCGTTTCCGCGTTTCCGCGTTTCCGCGCGTCCATGTAATCGCACCCTCATTGGTTAGCTGGCGTTACGATGCGCATAAGCATACCCTTGTCTTATATCATGCTGTCGACCCTAAAGTCGTGTAACGTCCCTCCCGTTTTTATTATACGCCCTTGTCATCGGCCGTGTAAACATCGTTTAATTAGACAATTCGACATCGATTGTCTGATTTTATATCATGTCATATAAGGTATGTTAAGATTTATTTGATTAAAATTTGTGGTTGTGAATTCTAATTCGTTTTAATACATTATTTTAAAACTTGAAGAGGACCCAAACCAAGGGTCCAAACAACGTTTATGTGACATCTTAAGAATAAAGAATATTTTTGACAATCAAGTCGTTTGAAATATACCTATAATTTAATTAATTTAATTAAATTATTATTAAAATAAAATAAATAGAATTATTAAGATAATTATTGCGATAATTATTAAAATAATAAAATAAAGAAAATTATTAAGACAAAATTATCGAAAGCGATGAGTACATTACGAAATATTACACTATATTATTTGTGAAAATTTTTCCCCCGTGTATTGTGAAGTAAAATATAATATATATCTATATACAATATTGTGTGTGTGTATATATATATTTATCATGATGACATGTACAGAGAATCAGTCAGTCTTTCGTGGTCTTTCGAGCCATATCGTGGTAGATATAACAACTCAAATAAAGTGCGTGTGAATAATTATATTCTTCGACCATTGCATATTGCTAAAACATTAATTTGCTGCAGTAATTTAAAAAATATATATTTTTCATCCATATAATTTTGCAATTACCATACTGTTCCGAAATATTAGGTAAGTCAAAATAAGTTAAAAATATAAAAACATATATTTGTCTACAAATACAAAAAATTTAATCATACGGTATAACAGAATTTTAAGGGATATCTAACATATTAGTATAACATATTAGTATTAAATCGCTATGAGCTATTGTTTATTTATTTCTAATTTAATATTAACATCCGTTTTGAGCGTTTTATATAAAATATTTTACATAAAATTTATAACATAAAATATTTTATATAAAACGTTCAAAACGGATGTTAATATTAAATTAGAAATGAATAAACAATAGTTCATAGCGATTTAATAAGATACTCCATTGAAGTAGAAACGTTTTCAGATATTAAAATTAAATTTAAAGATTCAAATTTAATTTTTACTTTTTATTTTTTTTATAAATAAAAACAATAAATTACATGTATTAATAGGTATATCGATGGTGAGAATATATATAAAAAAATAACATCAAATAGAAAGATTTAATAAAATAAGCATTGATAAAGATTATAATTTTTGTACTTAAACTCATTGTCAGTATTAATTATACATTATACAGTAAAATGATAGAACATATACTAATTGACAATCGAATGAAAAAATCTATAATATTATAAATTTGAAGCAATTGTTAACACATCTATTTTGATGCGTATAATCTAAAATATCTGAAAAAAACCCACTATATACAGGAATCCCAGAAATTGTAGTAAACCTGTTAATGGATTTTTGAGATCATTTGGAGTTAATGTTTCCTCCGCGAAAATGTCGAGATACACTAACATTATTTACACGTTCCCAAATTTGCCATCATATATCTTTGTAATCAAACCTTAAATTAAAGTTCTATTAACAAAAACTTTACTTAAAGTTAATTGATAAATGTGATTTTAATATTTTATTTCCACAAGGCTTAGTTTGAGGAAAACCATTTATTTTCAATCTCTTATAACTCGACATTTATTGATACTTCCACATTTTAGCTGAGAAATAATTGTCTCCAAATGATATCAGATATCTGCTTTTAACAGGTTTACTGCTAGTTCTGGAATATTATATATATAAAATTTATCATATATATAATTTAAACAATTTGAAATTGAATTTATGTTGGCTTTATTCTCGGTAAATGTTCGTTTAGAATTTACAATACACAATTTAAGAGAAGAAAGCAAACAAACCTTTATAGGAACATAATAATAAACATGTGCCCTCTTTTTCTCTCCCGCCGCTCTTCAGTCTTTCTTATCCATACTGTCTTCTTCTTATTTTGAATGTACACACGTACGTATGTATGTAGAAAGGACGGCTCTTGTGTTTAAAAGTAATTTACTTAAGACAACTAATTTTATATACTATAAATCTTTATATTGCAAATAATATTCTATAAATTTTTAATGTATATAATTTTTTGACAATGAGATCAATTATTTTAAAAAAATATAAAATATGTTAACTATAAATTTAATACTTCTATATTGCTTTTAATTGAAATATGTGTAACATTGAAATACATATATATAATTTTATTTTAAACAATGTGCAATTTGAAATTTGCACATTGTTTTCTTATCATATAATGTTTCATTAATTAGGTTGGTTTTTTAATTAATTATTTTAATACTTTTTGTATTTATTCTTTTGTTTATATATAAGAACATTATACATTTGAAAAAGACATCTAAGCTATATTTAATTTCTTTATTTATCTTTTGTCCAGTGTTTTACAGATCTGAAATAAATTATCCTTTTCTTCGACATGATGATATTTCTAAAACTATTATTAAGTAGCGGATTAATTTTTATTGCTGTGACGGCTTTCATTCGTAATGAATCTTTGTGCTATCGACCATCAAATAATATAAAACCAATGCATTACGATATCAAGCTTACATCATATATTGAAGAAAATATTTTCTATGGAGAATACAATATCAGCATAAACATTCTTGACAAAACGCAACACATATATTTACATTCAAAAAAATTATGTATTGGCAATATAGTTATAATTACAAATTTTAAAAAATATCAAAATGATAAAGATATAGTTTATAAACCGACATATAATACTAAAGAAAACTCAATTAATATTTCTTTTATTAATGAGTTATCACCAGGAAGTTATATTTTAAATATAGAATATTTTGGTACTGCTGATAAAGGCTTTAGAATTTTCGACATGGAAGAAGCTGGAACTGCGTAAGTAAATAATAAATGTTTATTCAAAAGAGTACAATATGCTATTACATAAGACATTGTTATTAATATACTATATATTTATGTACCAAATGTTCTAAAAGTTATTATATATCACGGAATTTAAATCCAAGGGTAAATCTATACCTGTATTATTATAATAATATATAATATATAATTAAGTCATAAAATATAATGTGTTAACGCTTGTAACATTTATACATTTTTAAATTCTCAATATTTTTATGCTTGTTAAAAAAGTTTCATTAATTTATGTTCTTTGAAATGTAGTTGGGTAGGTGCTCTGCATTTCCAGATAATAGGCGGCCGACATGCGTTTCCATGTTGGCATCGGAATAATTTATTGTTAGAACCAACCTTTAACATTTCTTTGAGATGTCATAACTGCACGACTTTGTCAAACATGCCATTGCGAAATACGGAAAAAGATAAGTACAATTTTGAATGGAAACATTACAATACCACACCTGTAATGATGACCCATCACGTAACAATGGTTGTGTCTAATCACCTATTCCCTCTTGGTATCAAAACTCAAAACATTGAAATGTGGTGCAGACTTAAATCTGGATTTTACATGGAATTTGCAAAAAATGTAACTGAAAATATCACGTTGCATTTTAAACATAAATGGAAACGGGACATTATTTGGAACGTGAATTATGTTGCAATTCCAAATTTCCCTGACAAAGACATAAACGTTTTCGGACTTGTTCTTTATAGGTGAGTCAAGTGCTTCAAATTACATTAAAAATGAAATTAATTTGTATGCAAAATTATAAAATTTAAAAACATGTATGCTTTTGGTTTCTGTAAACGTTCAAAAGTATAAAGTAAGTATAAGGAATTGCAAAAACAACAATTTTAATGGAATTAAAATCCGTACTATTTTACAAAGTTAAAGTTTACCGTTTTAATACGTACATAAAGGGTAGAGTATGTATGCTAAATCGTACCTAAAGTAGATGCTAAAACTGCAATAAAGCTATAAAAGAAATGACATATTTTATTTAATTCAAACTATTGTTTTTTGTCAACAATATTCACATTCATCATTAACAAAAATTTATCGTTGTTTTATATTGTAAACTAAAAAATAAAAAAATATTATTTTGTACGATATACAATATTATTTGCTACATTGTACTTATGAGTTTGTAAATTGTACATTTAACAACTAAATTAAATTATTTTAACAAAAATAAAGTAGTATTTTCTATAAAAGTTCTTAGTCTTAACATTTAAATATAACTTTCAGAGAAACAGATATCATTTACGATAAAAAATTATGTCCTGTTGCTAACAAAATCGAAGTAGCTCAATCAATAGGACGTAAAGTGACATGGCAATGGTTTATTGACATGATGGACGAGAAGTTAGTGTCGGATTTTTGGTTTAAAGAAGGTCTTATTACATTGCTTGCAACGTATGCTGTCAATAAGGTTAATCTAAATAATTTCAATACAATCATGCTTTCAAATGATACAATAATTTCTCGCAAATGATACAATAATTAAACACTCATATTGCACAATATTCTTAATTTTGTGAATCGTCTTAAAAACATTTAGCATTATACAAAATAAAAAATGTTCAAAAATGTTTTTTGAAAAATATTTTTTTCACATATTTACATACATATAATTAATATTTAATTTTAAAACAATTTTTAATTTTTAACACCACTTTAGTAGATATTAAATTTTGATAAAATCTCAAATGAAATAAAATAATCAAAAACTAGTACACATAATATTTATTTTAAAAAATTTGTTAAAAATAAGCCTACAATATAATATCATAAGACAATAATTTAAAAAATATGTAATGTTTACTAATTATATTAATACAAAATTTTAGATTATATTATATTTATTTTAATGTGCGCTCTGCAAAATGAGTGTTACGTTTTTAGAATGAAATAACGTTAACAATATTAATACTTGTTTTTAATTCAAGTATTTTAAGAACGGGTATATTGATATATTAATAATTTTTTTCTATAGACTTATCCTGATAATCAAATAATAAATTTATTTGTTGTCCAAAATCAACATTACTCTTTTAATTTGGATGGTTATTATATGTGGCCTTCTACTTCACAAGTTAACAGTTCATTAGAAATTCCCAATTCTATCAGAGGTATACGAAATATAATAAAATAATCCTCGTAAATTTTTAATTATAAATATTTTAAAGTATGTGTAAAATTAAAAAATAATTAATTATTTATTTGGATTTTAATTAAATATTATTTTTATAAAAGTACACACCCACACACGCATGCACAAATTGTCCGGTAATAGCCGCACATATGTAAATAGAGGGAATTAATTAAATGGTCCTTCAAAGATTTGCTATAAATAAAATGATAAACGGTGCGGCAATAAAAAACATTTCACTCTTGCGCGATTATTACGCTGTATACATACATATACAGTATATAATTTTTCTTTAAAAAATTGTTATGTTTACAAATAACTATTAAAATAAATATATATTTATAATATATCTAATTCATAATTTTTATGTAAATTGTAGCACCCTTTATACTACGCATGATGCAACACGTCCTCACAGATAAAATATTTGAGAAAGGCATAAAGACATATGTAAATCGGTAAGTAAAACGATAAGAGTGAGTAATACAATATAGAATACTAGCTTTTCGGACCGCGCTTCGCGCGGTCCTCAAAGCCTTTCTATTCGGACCGCGTTTCGCGCGGTCCTCATATAGCCTATATTAAATCCATTTTAACACAAAAAATTAATTCTTTTTTTGTATTACCGCGAACTATTTCCACATTTGTTGTCCGACTTTCACGAAATTTATATCAAAATAAATAAATTTTTTTGGATGATTACTATGTTATCTATTTCTTTCTCCCAGATATTTTATTTTACACCGCGTTTTGCATAATTTAAATATTTATTATATATTTTTATTTTTATTTTCTTGTTTATTTTAATTTCCACACAATTTCATATTTTTTAAATATAAAACATTATTTTAATTAATATATACTTTAAATATTTTTTTCATTACTTAATTATTATATCCTTTTTTACATTTTACTCAATTTTTTTTATTTCTAATGTACCCACCGCTAACCCGCTATTATTAGCTCTCATACAATGTCATAATTCTTCAATTTACAAAATTTCCCTGTATATTACATTTTTTGTAAAACATTTTTCACTTTTTTCAATTAAATGTCCTTGATTGCTACATTCATCAATTTTAATTTTTACACTTTCTCTTTTTGTTGCTCTAGAAAATGCCACATAAAGTTGACCATGAGCAAATACAGGATGTGGCAAATAAATTCCAATTTTTTCTAAACTTTGTCCTTGTGATTTATTTATTGTCATAGCAAATGACACTCGAATAGGAAACTGTCTTCGTTTAAACTTAAATGGCAGTTCCAAATCATTTGTAATTAAATCTATCCTCAGAATCAACAATTTGTCCTCGAGCAGGACCTGTTATAACTTCTACATAAATTATATTATTTTTCAAATTAGTTATAATAAATCTTGTACCATTACAAAGTCCTTTTTTAGTATTTAAATTTCTTAATAAGATTACTGTAGCACCAACTTTTATTTTAAGCCGATGAACTGGCATTCCAGAAGGTGTCAGTGAATTTAGAAACTCAGTTGGAAAATTTAATTGCTCCTGTGGATCATCACTTACAATACAGTCAATAGAGAGATACTCCTTTTCTTCTCCTTCCATTAGACAAAGAATTTCATCATTAATTTTGAAAGTATCCTCATTTTTAGGACAAAGAATCGTTCGATCTTGATTTTCTCTAATCCTTTTCATGGTAATTCTATCACCAAAAATCTCATTAATAAGAGATTCTTTTGATATAAAATCATGTGGAATTTCAATCGTGTCTAGATTCAGTCCATCTGTATTTGATAATTTACCATCTCCGAGTTGCATTAACCAATTTGCAAATTCTTTTTCTTCCGCAGTTCTCATATTTTGCTGTAATTTAACCTTAATTACATTCCTCCATATAGGGTTGTATTTTACAGTCGATTCAATTATCGCTGTTTTGTGTAAATGAGGTACTACTGGAAGATTTTGTCTGAAATCTCCTGCAAATAAAATTACTTTTCCTCCAAATGGTTGATCATTCTTCATTAAATCCTTTAAAAGTTTATCAACTGCTGTTAAGGCATGTCCAACAGTCATGCTCACTTCATCCCATATGATTAATTTTGCATTGATCAATTCTCGTGCAGCTTGAGAATTTCCTCTAATATTTGATTTAGCTGCATCATCAATTGGAATTGTAAGCTTAAACAGAGAATGATAAGTTCTTCCTCCTTTCAGAAGTGTGGCTGCAATTCCAGTTGAAGCACATGGAAGAACTATTTCATTTCTTCCTCGAATAACACTTAGAAATGTGTTAAATAAATAGGTTTTACCACTTCCTGCAAACCCGTCAATAAAAAACAAACGCTTAAGTTCATTTTCATTTTTAATTGCTCGCATTACTATATCATACACGTATTTTTGTTCATCATTTAGTGTAGATAATAAATAATCACCACGTATTTTTTCTTCATCTACATTATACTCTGTTTCGTAAATATTTATTTCAGTTGGATTTGGTAATTGAAATTTCTCACAACTACTTCCATTATTTATCAGAATTTGTTGTATATGGTTTAACGCCATATTTTCGGGATTTACAACATTATTATTTACAAAGTCCTCAATCATAAAATCTGTGATCAAGTCAATAAATGCGTATGCACATGGGTGCGTGGATACGTGGGTGGGTGCGTGGGTGGATAAATAAAGTGATAAAAATTTGTTAAAATCATATAGTAGCCATCCCGGACAAAATTTGAATACAAATTTCGAAAAAGTCTGTGAATAAATGTTTGAATGCGTGGGTGGATGCATGGGTGGGATAAAACTTAAAAGAACCACACAGCAGCTTTCTCAGAAAAATTTGCAACATTTTTGTACCAATTTCGTGAAAATTGGTCCATAAATGCGCATGCGGTGGGTGAATGCGTGGGTGGAGGTGTAACACTTGAAAAAACCACATCGTCGCCATCTCCAAAAAATTTGCAACATTTTGGTACCAATTTTTACAAAAATCCGTTCATAAATATGCGATTGCGTGGGTGGATGCGTGGGTGGGGGCGTAAACTTAAAAAACCCACACAGCAGCTTTCTCAGAAAAATTTACAACATTTTTGTACCAATTTCGTGAAAATTGGTCCATAAATGCGCATACGCGTGGGTGGGTGCGTGGGTGGAGGTGTAACACTTGAAAAAACCGCATCGTCGCCATCTCCAAAAAATTTGCAACAATTTGGTACCGATTTAAAAAAAATCGGTTCATAAGTATGCGATTGCGCGGGTGGGTGCGTGGGTGGAGGCGTAAACTTAAAAAACCCACACAGCAGTTTCCTCAGAAAAATTTGCAACATTTTGGTACTAATTTCGTGAAAATTGGTCCATAAATGCGCATGCATGTGGGTAAATGCGTGGGTGGGTGAGTAGGTGGAAGTGTAACACTTAAAAAAACCGTATCGTCGCTATCTCCAAAAATTTTGCAACATTTTGATACCATGTGTTCAGAAATATTGCAAAAAAAATTTTTTTTGCAAAAACATACCCTCCTCTGAGGAAAAAAATAAAAATAAAAAAATTAAAAAAAAAAACCCACAGCAGCCACCCCCGAAAAATTTGCAACATTTTGGTACCAATTTCGAGACAATCGGTCCACAAATGCGGAAGTAGTTCGGGTACAGACAGACAGACAGACAGACAGACAGACGGACGGTGCTTATATATATAGATAATATAAAATAAATAAAATTGTACAACATAAATGTAATAATAATAGAAGTTTTATATAATGTCTCTTATTTTCTTTCGTTTCTTCCGACATTATATCATAATGTTTTTTTCTTAGTGTTACAATTCCGCTATTTTTCTAGATCTTCTACTAGAATTATTTTTAAATTCATTAATTTTTTATGAAAATCGTTTGTGTAGAAAGAAATTGTTGTTTTATTGTTATCACTATTTTATATATATATATTCGTTGGTGCTTTATTTTTGTTTTATGATTTGTTATTTCTTTTAATAATTTTGAAATTATTTTTATTCTTTTTATTATTTTCTTTTTTTCCTCATATATGAGGAAACAAACAATATATTGTTTGTAAATCCTATAATATCTATTTTTTTAATTGCATATTGTGCTACATTTGACTTCTAATAATATTTAACAGGTTTCTATATATGTCACCCTTATATCTCTTTTCCATTACTTTTGTATTTTAACTTTCTTCCCTGTAAATCGATCTCTTTTATATTATTTTTCTTATTTTTCTTTTGTCTTCAACTTCTTATTAGTTCTTTTTTTAATCATTTTATACTGTCTGCATACTTTGCTTAAATATAATCTTTATTAATGCTAATAATGTTTAAAAAAATTGTTAAATTTTATTTAAAATTATGTTATATTCTTTATTTATCAGAATATAAATATAAAATATATATAAATATATAAATAGAAGAGAGTGCAATTTTATATTTTGCTTCTTATTATTTATTAAAATTTTTTAATATTAACACATTAACAGACAATTTTAACATATTTATAATATTCTTTTATATATTTTGTTTTTTATGTATTTAGCCTATATTTTAATGACTTTATGGACGTTATGAGACTTCCAACTCTAATAAGAGATTATGATATTCTTTTACAACAATCAAAAATGAAAGATTGGGCTTTGGAGAAGCATTGTCCTCTCATTAAAGTAGAACGTAATTATTCTGATTTAATGAGTCCAACACATGTACGGATACAATATAACGACACATTAAAAATTCGCTGCATTTCTGTAACTTTCACTACGCAAACATTTCTCGATTTTAACAATTTTAATCATTATATGGTATGCGCGAAAAAGCATTTAAAATTATCATTACCATTTGAAGAAAATGGTTGGATGATTTTTAATATACAACAAACTGGTAAATATTAACCAATGTACTGCTTATTACGACTTATTTCTCGTCTATATTTTGCACACATATATTTGACATTATTTCATATTTTATCTTATTTTATTTATTGTCCTATATAAATCTGAGATATTTATTATATAACTATAACAGTTTCAAAATGTTTTGTGTAATTTTCTGCATTATATATATAATATTATATATAAGATATACATAAGCGTTTTCTAAATAATATCATTCAATATTAATGTTATATTTTTTACAGGTATTTTATATATTCTAATATTAGTAAAATTATTAAAAAGATAATTATATTTGTAAAATTAATAATAATAAGTTTAGGTTATACAATTATCATAACGTTACATATTACGGAAATTATATATATTGGAGAGCATAAAATTATTATTATTTATTCACAACTAGTATCAATTTTATTTAATGGTATACAACAATATCTTGCACAGTTTTACTTTTTCGATTATTTCAAATATTAGGATTACATTTTTATAAATGATTTTCTATATGTATTTGCATTTTATTTATATGTATTACATTTTTGATATGTTTTAATTTATAATTTACATAAACAGAAATATAAAACCAAAATGTTTGAAAATGACTACATTATAATGATAAAATTATTCAAAACAATAGAAATTGATAAAATTCATCATTTACTATTCGACAGGATACTATCGCGTTAACTATGATGAACAAAATTGGCAAAAAATTTCAAATTATCTAATGTCTGATAATTACACGAAGATTCATGTTCTTAATCGTGCCCAAATTATCAATGATGCATTTAATTTAATGATAACAGGCGAACTCACAGGCGTTGTATTCTGGAATGTCATAATTTATTTGCAAAAAGAGGAAGATTATATACCATGGTATCCTATGTTTAAAGCTCTGGAATACTTGTCCAGTACTTTTATAGTGGTGAAAGAAGAAATTAAGAATTTTACGGTAAATATTAATAAATTTCAATGAAAGTGCATTTCACATATTTGCATATGCACTCATTTACTGGAAAAAGTTTAAATAGTTAGAAAAATATATACCGTAACGTTAAAATTTTACATACTATTATATTATATTATTATATGTATGTATGTTTATTTCATAGACAGAGAAAATTTAATAATCTATTGGAAAATATAATGAAAAATATATTATTTTTAAATATATTTATAATATGAACGTATAAATATATAGTTAACGATTTTTAGTCTAAAGTAAGACAAATATTACACGAGATACTTAAAAGAATCAAATATGGAGAAATTGATGATACAGACGAACTCAGAATATGTTTACGACAAGAAGCTGCAAGATGGGCATGTTTTTTCGGTGACATCACTTGTAAGACAGTAGCCAATAATAAATTAAAACAACATCTCCAAGATCCTGCAAAATACAAGTAAATATTGTTATATATTTTTTGCATTTCTTAATCAAATTCTTTTGTAGATATCGCCTATAATGTTCAAATGATTTGATCACCAGGTGCAGATACTAATCTTTAATAAGAAATTTTAATTTTTTTTTATGTTTTAGACTTTTGCCATGGTGGAAGGAATGGACATATTGTAAAGGTTTGATGACTACCATAGACGAGACCACATGGCAATTAGTGTATACTAAAGGATTGAACAAATCTGACAGTAAATTTTTAGAATACTTGGCTTGCCCTGAAGATTTTAATCTCATCAAAAATTATTTAACATTTAAACAAAATATTTCTACAAAGCAGGATTATCCAAATCCTTTTAACAGTTTCTTACATATTATTACGAAGCACGCAAAGAATTCAACTATACTGCAGCACATATTATATAATTTGCACAGAATAAAACCAAAGTAATGTGACATATCTTTATAAATATTGTGTACAAAAGTTTATTATGTGTATTATATATACATTTGTTTTTCCGTTTTTAGAAATGTTAGTATAACTGCAGCATTCATTATTATTATTAATAACGTATATTCTGTAAATCAAACTCAGGTAAAAATTTTACGTGTTTATATGTAGGGCATTATTTATGAAGTAATCCACCCAAAAATTTCAAAGTTTTCCACGCTGAAATTTGGAGAAAGTATCCCTAACAGCACGCAAATCCCAAAGACGTTCAGAGAACATCCTGAGGATGTTCGAATGTCTTCTGGATATCCTCTGAATATTTTTCTGATATGTTGTGCTATTAGGGATAGTTCTATCAAAAGTAAAATTATTCCTCAAGTCGTTTGGTCTACATCTTATAGGTGCTTTGTTAACAGGGACTTAAATTGTTATCATTTCGGCCGTTACGTTCAACTTCAAACGTTGATAAATTTCAGAAGATTACTTCGATTTAAAAAAAAATAAGGTGTGATTTCGAAACATTTTTTTACGTACTTTAATCTAGTAAAATTGGTTTTTTTCAATAACAATTTATATAAGATTTTCAAAAAACAAAATAAAAATTAATTTTTTTTCAAATTTAGACATCTTCGATTTTTTTCAAAAAAATCTTAAAAAAAGTAGAAATTCCCCTTTAAAACGTTTCTAGGGCCGAGATGGGCAGGCTTTTAATTTTCAAGATATAGTCCATTTTAGAACCAAGCGTGTCACCCATGATGCAGTTCGAACGCTGTTACTGCTAAATTTGAGAAAAAATTGATTTTTACTTTGTTTTTTAAAATCTTATATAAATTGTTATTGACAGAAAAAATCAATTTTACTAGATTAAAGTACGTAAATAAACGTTTCGAAATCATGTCTTATTTTTTAAAATCGGAATAATCTTCTGAAATTTATCAATGTTTGAAGTTGGACGTAACAGCCGAAATGATAAAAATGCAAGTCCCTGTTAACAAAGCACCCGTAAGATATGGACCAAACGACTTGAGGAATAATTTTACTTTTGATAGAACTACATTTCCTCCAAATTTCAGCGTGATTGGAAAACTTTGAAAATTTGGGTGCGATATTAATAATTATTATTTAATATTTAAAATAATTTTGATAATGTTACATCAACGTTATTTATTAATAATGTTAAAAAATTAATACATTTTAGGAAATAAACAACTACCTTGAAAGCATAAAGGACCAAGCAGATCTATTTGTTGGAATAAATTTTACAGAAGATTTTTTAAAGAGCTATCGCATAGAAACGGTAAATAAATATTATTATAGAAAACGAATGTAAGAGAAATATTGTTCTGTCTTATTAATTTCTGAATATTAATTTTGTATTTGTTTTATTTATATTATATAAAGAGGATATTGATTTCATTGTGCAAATCTTTGTTTATATATATTAGAGTTTCATTGGGCGGATTTCTGACAAAATTGAAAGCCGAATATCGATTCGCAACAAACAAATCAAAAGACAAAGAGATTATTTTGGTAGATTTTTCTGGTGATAAATTCTAAAATAAAAAAATTACAACTTTGCATGGGTGAATATACTTCATATGAATAATTTTTTTATATTGTATGTACTATTTATTTTACTATTTTAATTATTATTTATTTAGATGTATTACTATTCGATGCCTTTGTATTTATGACTGCATGCATCAAGTTTTTCATTTTTTTACGAACTTACTTGATGTAATTGAGCTATATATTATTGCCTAAGTGCACAAGAAGATAGCCATATAATATTACTGTAAATTTTATTGGTAGATGTAAAATAAAAATATAAATATATAAATATAAATAATATATATAGATATAAATATATATGTTTGTTAAATGATAAATAAACTATCTATTTATTTTGAATTACACATATATATATATATATATATTGACATGTTTTTAATTTTTTTTATTATATCCTTATTTTTTTGTTTTTTTTTTGTACAAATGCAAATAATTTCGAATTTAATATATAAAAGATCTATATTATATTAATTTACAAGACAGCTTGCAAACAATTAAGTGATAAAATTGTAGAAACATCACGAATACAACCAGTAAGACATCTCAAGTAAGTAATAATAAATATCAGAGTCATAAAAAGGGAGAACAGAGATTTCATTAACATATTAACACAATTGTGTAGAAATAGGGTCACGAATAAGGAGCATCTTGAATTATGGAGTAATTTAAAAATACAGTTCCGTTACGCGATATTACTAATTATTATGATACTGCTATTTCAATTATCTACAAAATAAACAAACGCGAAACAATAGAAGAAGAGTCCAACGAATCTGAACATAATGAATTGAACAAACAATTATATATTTTAATTATTATATGGTTTCGTTGATGTAATAATTAAATCGTTAATGTAATGTAGAAAAACTTCAAATAATATCAATAAAAAATCTCATGTAAATAATATAAAACACAAAATTCATCATATATAAAAGGAACATCAAAATCAATGACATCCAAACACATTTGTGTTTGCAATCTGACAAGATGTCTTGATTTCATCGTCAACTGGTACGGTTCATGTAGATTTGTTTTCATATTAAAATAACCAATTCTATCCGGATGGCTCTTAGAATTAACTGTGATCCAATTCGGTCATTTTCGTTTAATCATTTTTAATATATGTATATCATGTGTGTTAATAAATTTTTGACAATGAAGCACAATATTATTCCGGCATTAATCTGAATTTGTTTGTAAGAAGATGAATATATAAACATTGCCTTTATTTTGACAATTTCTACTCTATCGGCAAGTTTTTCTGAACAGCGACTTTTATATTAAAATCAATGCCTTACGGGAGTTTGTGTCGCCTACTAAATAGGCCTGTCGGTACGATGTCGGTAACTATCAAATTCCAATTTTATATATATAAATACTTAAATATATATATATATATATATATATATAATTATTAATTATGTTGAATATAAACTATATAATTATAATTTACAATATAGTAGAACATGCAAGTAGCATTTGCATAATCGTCTGCTATTAAAAATAATATAGAGATCTTCTCATCCATATCAAAATCTTTTTCCATCTGCCTTAAAATATTAAGGTACATCTGCCTTGACTGTGTTATTGGCAATTACATCCATTGTTAATATCATGAATTGTACATCTATTATTAATAATGTTGTCCTTTATCTGAAACATATATTAACAATTATTAATAATCACGTTACATTTTAATAACATTTTTTTAAATATATAATGTATATAAATTTTTTAAATATAAATATATAATAATTTTTATAATATATAATAATTATTAATAATGAATGTGTAGTAAGCACAAAAATTTGGTGACCTTCAAAATATAAAAGCATGTATATACTTACAAAAAATAAACATTGTTTTCACATAAAATTATTACTTCTTAATTGCGTCACTACGTAGACAACAAAGAGAAAAATTTCTGTAGCATATAAAATTAAAAATATATAAATTGGTAACAATTTTTTATCACAATATAAATAAATATACATACACAACAAAGTAAATACACACACTTCTGATTATTGCTGTCAGAATTTATCTAGAGTTCCTAGAAATAATTCCCTAGTAATTTTTCATTCTAGTAATAATTGCTAAAAGTAAAAGTTACTAGAGACTTACTTCTAGAGACTTTCAATCTGTCGGTCATACTAGAATTAATTGCCAACTATGGTATTGACACAGATTAATAGACAGATCGCCAAAGGCCTGCCTAAAGAAGAGACCGCCATCTTCGTGCGATAGACTTTGCCCCTTACCGACACACTTTGCCCCTGGTTCGAGTCCGTGCTAAATTCGTAGACTTGAACCAAAAGACTTTGCCCCTGGTTCGAGTCCGTGCTAAATTTCGTAGACTCGACCAAAAGACTTTGCCCCTGGTGCAAGTCCAGGCTAAATTCGTTTGACATTACCAACAGACTTTGCCCCTGGTGCGAATCCAGGCTAATTGATCATGAGACCAATTTGAGAGATTTGGCCCCCGTTGTGTGTGTGTGTGTGTGTGAGAGAGAGAGAGAGAGAGAGAGAGAGAGAGAGTGAGAGAGAATATTTTACATATATGCATATATATATATAAAATTTATTAAATATAAAAAATATATTTTTTACACATAAAATGTTTTTTTATTGAAATAATCACGATTTTAAATGTGATATAACACAGTGTTCAAAAATTTTTTAATTAAATTTTTTAATTAAATTTTATTAAAGAAAATTACTTGAAATTTTTTACATTAAGAATTTAAAGGCTCCTTATTCTCTTGTAGAAATTTATCACTACGCCAATTAATCACTTATTTCGAGTATTTAAAATACTATAATATACAGTAATTTAAGTATTCGAAATAAAAGTGATTAATTACTCGAAATAAGTGATAAATTGGCGTTACTAGTAATAAATTTCTATAAGGGTTGAAATAAAGTATAAGAGATAAATAGGCTATATGTGAGCCGTATGCGAAATGTGAGATGTAAGACGCATATTAAAATTTAATTTTTCGATATAACTTTCAAAAATGTACACGAGGTACAAAAAATTAGCTTGGACATTTGTAAGACTTAAAATTGGGATTAATTCTCAATTCTATTAATTAAATTTCGATATAACACACCTTACATCCGCGCACGGCTCACATATAGCCCATTTATTAGTGCAATTTTTAAGTTCCTTATTTTTCAAAGTTCACCTTTTTACGTTATCAAATATTTTTACGTTTTCAAGAATTTTATATTTTAACTTACCGCAGTTTCTTATCCAAATGTAAAATCTTTTATCGCAGTCTATAAAAAATTGAAACAATTTACAATTTTATGATATAATATTATTATTATTACAATTTCTATATATATGCACATCTGTCAAATATCGTGATTTATTTCACATTATTATTATCTATTTTAATAAAAAAAAAAACAAAAACACTTGCAACAATCAAAAATAAACCGCCTGCCGCGAACGGAAAATGCCAAGAAAGCACGCAATTTCCGCGAATCTCGTAATTTTTTTGAAAAATCAACAATTTCAACGAAATTGTAAATTCTTCAAATCACTGCACAAGTATAATTCACAATAATAATTTTCAGTAACTACGATAAAAAATCGTATACTGAAAACCGCAAACGAAAGTGCAATGGGAGTAAGAGTAAAGTCTGTGATAAAATTAATTGGCAATAGAAAATTAATAATTTTCAAATAGAAAAATTTTGAAATTACCGAGGATTTACAAATAATAAAGTAAAAATATTAAATAATTTATGTTTTCGAATTTTGCTCGCGGAGAGGATCTTTAAAACAAGATTTTTAGAAGAGAGGACCTTTAAAATATAAACAGGCAAAAACGTTGGAAAAATTAAAGCGCGCGTTTAAACAGATAAACGCAATGAAATAAATACGCAATTGTTTTTACTTATCGCTGTAAGCTCACAAGCTTCTGACGTGCTATACACTTTTATATAATATATACAAGGTGTCCGGTAACTAACGGACCAATGATTAAGGGCGGATTCTCTGGCCAATTTGGAGACGATTTTTCCTTAGCAAAAATGTTGAGAAGTCAATAATTTTCGAGTTATAAGCGATTGAAAAAAATAGGTTTTTTGAAAACTAAACGTTTTGGAGTTAAAAGTCTAACATAATTACATTCTTCAGTTAATTTCAGGTAGAGTTTACTATAATAAAATTTTAATTTAAGGCTTAGTTATAAAGATACATAATGACAAAGATTGGAAAGTTGTAAAAAATGATGACCTTTTTCGACATTTTCGCTGAGGAAAAATCGTTCCCAAATTGACCAAAGAATCCATTTGTAATCATTGGTCTGTTAGTTACCGGACACCCTGTATATTGGACACGAGTTTCGTTTGTTTCAGATTCTCGAGAGTTGAAGTAGGAACATACGAGTATCATATATCGTTTGTGACTTGCCGAATGAAAGCAAGACAGAGAGCGAACGAGATGATGAGCTTAATAGCTCATAATGTTATAAATAAATAAATAAAAAATTATAACCTGACCTACTAGTTATTGAATCTTTTTTTAATAAAATGTTTCATTATTATTATCATCTAAGTCTAAGTCGTTTAATTACTTTTTAGTTTTTTAATAATTAATTTAATTTATTCTAGTCATTTTTATATGAGAAAAATAATATCACGTATACGTTTTATAATGAATTAATATATTTCGGGAACCGAATTATATATTCTTAATAATATAAAAGTGTTCAAAAATTATATTTGACTTTTAATTTTAATTATTTTATAGCAAAGAGTTCCGAAATCTCTTACACACATAATGGGGATTTTTTTCATCCATATAATTCGCAATTAAGTATATATGTTAATTATTAATTTTAATAAAATAAAAATTAAAATTAAAGGTCAAATATAATTTTTAAACACAAATATATTAAATTAATTATAAAACGTATACCCATAATAGTATTTTTCTCGTACAAAAATAATTAGAGTAAATTAAATTAATCATAAAAGATTAAAAATTAATTAAAGAATTTAAACTTATATTTTATATAATAATAATAAAACATTTTATTACGTCAAACCGTCGTGAAATAATTAAATAAAATTTGCTAGTTACGTCAAAGTCAAGTTTTCTAAGCTTATACAACATTTTATTAAAAAACAGATTCAATAAATATAAGTACATGTTATATATATACTTATATTTAAATGATAATCCTTAAGAGTCGCCAGTAATAAATAATGAAAATCTCTCCTCCAATTTTAAAGTCGACTAGACTGGCAATAATTTATTTAAAAAATTAGTTAAATTACAACGTTTCGGCTGTCATTGCAGCCCTTTTCAAGTAATCAGATTAAAACAATAAATCAAATTTACAGCAAACCCCCGACAAAATTAACCATTGTTTTGATGAACAATGTATAACTGACAGAAGTGAGCACAAAAAAAAATAGATGTTGACTGTTAGCAGGAAACTTAGTCACTGTGACTAAGTTTCCTGCTAACAGTCGACATCTATTTTTTTTTTTTCGTGCTCACTTCTGTCAGTTATACATTGTTCATCAAAACAATGGTTAATTTTGTCGGGGGTTTGCTGTAAATTTGATTTATTGTATTAATCTGATTACTTGAAAAGGGCTGCAATGACAGCCGAAACGTTGTAATTTAACTAATTTTTTAAATAAATTATTGCCAGTCTGGTCGACTTTAAAATTGGAGGAGAGATTTTCAATACTTATATTTATTGAATCTGTTTTTTTTATAAAATGTTTTATTATTATCATATATAATATAAATTATTTAATTATTTTTTAATTTTTTTATGAGTAATTTAATTTGTTCTAGTTATTTTTGTACGAGAAAAATACTATCACGGGTATACGTTTTATAACGAATTAAATATATTTATGTTCAAAAATTATATTTGACCTTTAATTTTAATTTTGTATTTTATTAAAATTAATAATTAACATATATACTTAATTGCGAATTATATGGATGAACAAAATCCCTATTATGTGTGTAAGAGATTTCGGAACTCTTTGCTAAAATAATTAAAATTAAAAGTCAAATATAATTTTTGAACACTTTTATATTATTAAAAATATATAATTCGACTCTCGAAATATATTAATTCATTATAAAACGTATACGTATTAGTATTTTTCACATATTAAAATAATTAGAATAAATTAAATTAATTATTAAAAAACTAAAAATTAATTAAACGACTTAGACTTAGATGATAATAATAATGAAACATTTATTAAAAAATAATTATAATAGGTCAGGTTAATATTTTATTTATTTATTTATTTATAACATCATAAAATTCTGTCCTTTCCGAAATACGCGAACGCTACGAAAAGATAAATCTCGTACATGCCGCCGGACGAGTTCATGAGCATGAGACGCTCTTATCTTGGGAACGTATTAATAGTTACTGCATTGACCACTACTACGATATGGCACTGAAATCAGTGAGAAATGCTGGTCTCTCCTTCATCCAGACCTTTGGCGATCTGTCTATTAATCTGTGGTATTGATTCTCAATTTTATCAACTATGAATAAAATTTTTCTACAAATTGCATATTCGCTTCTTTGTATCATTATTATTTATAAACAATGTATTTATGTATTTTACATATTAATTATTACAAGCAATAATTAAGATTTGCAAATAGCAAGCCATATAAATATTTTTTTATATATAATCGTTACTATAATTTGATACTTTGGAATATTACAATTTCATTATATATTACATCATTTGAATTAAATATAAGTTTCAGAAATATTTACAATGGATTTTCCACTTTCTCAAAAATACAAATAAATTTTTAAAATGTCTATTTATAGATAAAATATTTATATTGCGTATACTCAACTAAATAAATTGTAAAATACATAAATGCGTATTCATAGATAAATATCATATTTAAAAAGTTTACATCCATATATTGTAATAATTAATATTATAGTTTAAAAAATGGATATACATATATTTTTTTAATAATAATTTAATTATTTTTAATAAATTATAATTTAATATTAATTAAAAAATATATATAGCATGATAGAAAGTATACTAATATAATAATATCAATTTGTTGGAATGTATAAATGTGAATGTAATTTATTAGCTACAATATAATATTCTTAAAACAAAAATGTATGACTTAATAATAAGACCTCGGTAATTACAAGATTAAAATAATGCTAATACTAGCTAGCTAAACATAAAAAAATATGTTTTGGTTTATATACATTATTTAGGAGATTAAAAAAAAAAAAATAGGTTTTCTTCTAGCTTATTGCGTCTACATTATCTTACATTTGGCTTGCATTGATTTCTAATTAGCATTACTTTAATCTTTGCAAACAGTCAAAACAAAACAATTATAATAATACTATAAAGAAAAAAATATAATAAAATCCCAAATAAATTCACAGGTCATATAATCATGTAGACATATAACCATATATAAAGATATATATAACAGATATAACATTTTACAAATATACTTTATATAATTTGCAAAGAATAAACTACAAGAGTTAATTTACTTAAATCACAGAAACAAATAAAATGTAAAATATTTTTATTTTATCAAATTGATATATAAATCCTGAATGCAAATCTAAACAATGATATTTATATTAACAAATTTATTTTAGTTTCTATATGTACATAAATATCCATAAAATAGAAACATTATAGAAATATTTTTTGTGTTGCTCTGAATATTTTTTTTAGTTTTCAATTTTGTTAAAATATTCATCATAGATATATCACTGAAATTTCTCGATGTTGTCAATTACTGATTTAATTTTAAAAGCAAAAATCAATGTTGAATCTTACTTTCTTAAATCTGTTACAATAATAATTAAATATATTTCTATTTATAGCTTTGCATTCTTTGAATTGTACTGTTGCTATAAATTTGTCGCAATTAGTACATATTACTATTGTTCAAAAATATAATCCTGTTAAAAGAGAGAAAATCTTTATTAAATTATTAAATACCTATAATAGAGTTATTCTATCATTTCTAATATTTAAAATCTCCATTCAATTTTGATAAACTTTAATACATGCAAAATATTTCAAAATCAGAGATACGTGTTCTTTTTTAATACAAAATTCTACTATTATCTATATTACTGCATTTATTTTGTTATTTTACTAATTGATTCTAATCAACCTTTAACACTCCGTTAAATGTAACTCGTCATTTCTAAATATAAATATTGTAAAATGTTATGCTATATTTTTTTTTGTCTTATATTATCATCTCTAGGAGGATGGTGACTTCTCGACATATATATCTGTACCTTTTTATAGTTTTTCGAAATATAGGATTTAATTGAACACTGGTTCCAAATGGCCAAATTAGAGAGATTTTCCTGTCAAGATATTCTCGGTGGTGATCGAATAGATCCGATGTTTCTAACTGGATTTGAATCCGGACTCTCGGAGAACAGAACTTTTTGCATCACGATCGCTCCACTTTGTCTTATATACATAAAAATGATTTATGAATTATTATTATTATTATTTATGACTTTTGTATTAAATATCTGTAAGTAGGAGAAATTCTATTCATGATATAAGCAAAATATAAATATCTAGCCGTAAAATATAGTATAATTTAGCTTATATTCCAATAATGCAATTTTGAAAAATAATTTTATGTAGGGATAAATTTGACATAAAAAATACTCTTTAATTTATATTATTTTTTCAAATTTTTTACTAAATAAAATTAAGGAATTATTTTTCAAAATGACATTTTCGTGAAATCTAAATGTACATTTAAAAACGCGCGCATTCAATAAAAATTTATTAAAATAATATTTTCCAGTTTTGAGTTATTTACTCAAAAGCAAAGTGAACTGAATTAAATTTAGTAGGATTATTTTAGACTCTAGATGTAATCAAGCATTTATAAAAAAAATACGTGCCTCTTATTTTGAATTGTTCTGAATGTATCTAAGCTTTATAAAAATCGGATGACATTTTCAAATATATTTTCTTGTAAACTCTATATTTTCATTTAAACTTACATGTTAAACTTTAAATCCAGTACCATCTGTAAGAGACATAATTGCATGTTCTTGAGTTATTGCCGCGAGCTCTTTAAGCCATTCATCCAATATAACAGCACATAAAACAATATTTTGTACTGGACTCACTTCATCTGGCGATTCCCATGAAGATTTCATATATCTAATAAAGAAAAAAGAAAAAATTTTTAATTTAATTAATATTTATTACAATGAGAAGTAAAAATTGGTAAATTTTTAATGCACATTATAATAATACAAAAAAGTTGCTACTTGTGAACAGAAATTCAGAATAGAAAAATTTTGAAAAAAAGTTACTTAATATATTATTCAGTTTTCTCTTTGCACATCGCAATTCAAAAAAATTTATAAATTAATCTTAAATTTTAAACTTTTATCAACTATTGTTAGTAATCTTATTTTTACATGATAGATTTTTCCAAGTGTTTAAAAAACATTGATTGCAGCCATATTAAATTATATAATATATAAATTAAATTTTTATATAATAATATAAAAATAATACATATAATATATATGTATATAATAATATATAAAATATATAATAATATAATAATATATATTTAAAATAATATATAAATTAAATTATATAATATAATAATAAATCGTATAAATGTTTTTTGCACTATGATCAAAAATATAAAATTTTTCTTCTCAACCACTTGACAATGTTAAATCAAGATAGATTGTTAAAATACAATGAGACTTCTCTTGTTTTCATTAATAAACAAATATGTAGTTACAATAAAAGAAATTAGAAATCTTAAATAATTTACCTATATCCAGAACCAACCATTTGTAACTGATCCTCTGACATACTGGACGGCTGACTGATAGAATTTGTTAAGCTGCTTAGACCTAGGCTATTACTTGAGCGTCTGAACATTTGTGTAAATGATAATGTCAAACTTCTTCTTTTTGATTCCCCTGTAAATAAGTGACATATAATATGTATATAAATTTAAACGTGCAAAGCTATATCAATTATAGATGTAAAAATATTATATTAATACATACGTTTTTTAAATACTTTTCGACATGCGTGGCACAAAAGTTTAAAAGATTCGATTAATACCAAATTAGACAGAAAGCGAGGACAAGAGATATAAAAACAGAAAGAGGGGAAATGTCGAAAGTGTTTTTTACTGTAGTCATATTGAATTATGACATCGAAAAAGAATCATAAAAGTCATTTTCTTCTGAAACTAATATTTTTTTTGTATGCAATCCCTCTCCTTCTATTCTATTCAATAATATGGATTAGTAAAATACGCAAAAAAATTTTTTTTTATTATCCTTCATTTATGAATTATATGACTCATTTATATTTATCCTAAATTTCAAGCAAAAGTGCATCTTATGACAACTGATCAACTGATTTACAGCTATTTATTAATTCATGAATTAAAAAAAAAGCTTTTCGCATATTTATATTATATTTATTATTATTATATTTATTATATTATTTTATTATTTAATAATTCATATGTGATTTCTTACTTCATATAATTTAGTATGACGTCAATAAGATCAAAAGCCTTATATAGATATACAGAGAAAAATGTATGTATATCTAATTTTTAAGACTCCTAACTTTACACCGACTATGTTGGAATTGTGACGTCAGAGGCGAGAAAAGACGAGGCTCCAGAAGCGTTAAAATTTATTTTATTCCGTTATTCACTATTTACGAATAAATTAATACCTCTTGAGAATGGTTCACCAGTCAGAGAATGCTTCTTAACAGACGAGGATTGAGCAGCAGCTTCCAATACATTTTTTCTTGCATTTACTAGCTTGTCCTCTCGACTAATCAGAAATAATCTTGCTTGTTCAACCAATAAATCTACATTATTGTGTTTTGACAGAAAATTATCTATTTTGTGCTTTAACGATGCCAGCACCTGTAATATAAATTACATAGATGTTAATTTATAATTTACAATATTTAATTAATTAATATTAATTTATAATATAACTGGTAATAATTATCTAAGATAATAGCAATGTTCTTTCTAAAAATAAATACAATTACAATTATAATTACAGCATAATAAAATTACAGAGTGTCCCATAAGAAATTGCTGAAACTAATCAGCTGTCATTTTTTAATGCATGCAATTATTGAGAAAACAAAAATTGTGTTGAAAAGAGAAAAGTCTCCAGTTTTTAATTGATATAAATAAAATGTTTGTACATCAGTTTATTTTATTGAAAAAAGTACCAATAATCACATATGTAAGCTAATAATAAATGTTTTTGAAGTGCGCACCATTTGAATTTGTACAAAAATTCTGTTCTTTTACGAAAAATCGTAAAAGCTTTTTCTAACATGTCATTTTTAATGTTATTGACGATCCTTTTAGTAGTTGCTATTAAATCTGGCACTATTGAAAATATTTATCATTTTATGTAATTATTAGCACTTTTTTCATTATTTTTTATTTATATTCATTAAAAACTGCAAACTTCTCTCTTTCCAACACTTCTTTTCTCAATAACTGCAGTGCATTAAAAAATGACAGCTGATTAGTTTCAGCAATTTCTGGGAGATACCCTGTATAATATATATATACCTGAAACAAGGATCTGATGCTAGGTTGAAATACAAGAGAATGATTCAGCAGAAAGGACTGCAACAGAGGTTGCGGATATATCGCCAGTCTGCTGATGAGACCTGTGAGATGCAAATTGACGTACAAGTTATTGCTAATCATACACTCGAGCTTTCGCAAAACTACGTCTAGAAATATGCCGATGTTCGGCTGTCCGTTGAACACATCCTGCCGATACAGAGAAGTATTGTTATTCCTATTCGAGTCGATGCTCGACGACATTTTCCCAGGATTCAATTCTGCTACATTGTCACGATGACGATCGGCAACGTCGTTGATAATCTCTTCTTCAATCGCAGTCGCCTCGTTCACATCTTCCTCCACCTCTTCACTCGCCTCGTTCTCCGGAGTGGACTCCATCGAGCCTCCCTTCAACGCGAAGCTCTCGTAGCCGCTGCTCTCTCCCAAGGACACGAGCGAGTTTACAGTCGTGGAATCATTATTATTATTATTATTCGTGCAACTATCAGGTTCCCTCTTCTCCAGACAGGTCTCCTCCGCAGAGTTCGTTCCTCCGATGTCCTCGTTCAACAATTCCGCGATATCGGCGTCCAACTGCGCCTGCTCGTCCAAGGACAGCACATCGGAGTCCATCGTCAATTCGTTCTTCACGCCGCTGCGTTCATTGCTGTTCAAATCCTTGCCTTCCAACAGACACTGGAAGTTGAACAGCACGTTGTCTATCAGCTCGTTCTCCTCGTTTTCGCACAGGCTCGCGTACTTCAACTGCGACAACGTCCTGGACTCCTCTAGCCTCCTCTGATCGGACATGATACTCTCGCTGGTGTTGCTCTGCAGCGAGTCGTTGCCGTCGTAGGGGCGGGACCAGTTGGAGCAGGCGATGCGGCAGGCCTTGATCTTCTGCCTGGCGTCGCAGAGGTAGGCGTGATAGTTCCCGTACAGGCTGTCCGACAACCTGGCGCCGTAGTTCATGGACGCCGGCAAGGATTTTAGCGGGTCGTACGCGTATCTGTCGTACGTGGACGACATGCTGCTGGGTAGGGAGTTGGTCTGCGAGTTCAGCGTGGACGCGGAGCAGCAACCCGGGGTCAGCGACACGAACTTCTCCGCGGCGCGCCCAAACGGATCTATGTCCCTCAGTCGACTGCGTTGGGAAAGCATTACGTGCGAGCAGGGATTTAACGCGCTCAAACAGAGTTCCAGCATAATGTCCTCGCAGTTTAAGTTTACCAGGGTTTCGAACAACGCCAGGGTAACTATGCATAACTAGAAATTGGGGAAACGAAATATCAGAGATAAGTCAGATGTTTGGAACGTTATTACGCATTTTATTTTATACAGGGTGTCCGAGACCACAAATACATGAAATGGTGATACATATTTGACCTTGACAGCAGTTGCGAAAGAAGTCTCAAGGTCAACTTGAAAATCTTAATGGAAACACCCAGTTTTTTATTATATCATCTTCTTCTACCAATTAATTGGAACAACTTTTGTTTAAAACATTTTTTCTGAAAATGCCTCCATTGACTTTTTGACATGTATTTGAAATAAAAACTACTTTTTTGAAAGAGTTGACCTTGAGACTTCTTTCATAAGTGCTGCCAAGGTCAAATATGTATCATCATTTCATGTATATGTTAAAACCTACAACTTTTGTTTAAAACATTTTATCTGCGCTCAATTTTCAAAATATTTGTAATTTATAGGTGGTCTCAGACACTTTGTATACAGGGTGTTCCAAAAAGGGTCCTGCAACAGTTAAATATCTCGAAAAAGCTTTAAAAAAAGTGTTTCAAATAAAAATTGTAGAGCTTTAAGTGACATTAAATATAATAATATTAGTGTGACTATAAATAATATTATATTAAGGCCACGTGAAATTTATTTGAAATTTTTTAATGGAAACTCCTGTTTTCGATTACATTTAGGGTGTCTACTCAAATTTTGTAAAATATGTTCCCTAAGAATTCTTATAAAAATAAAAAAATATAAAACAAAAAATTTATTATAACCGCGTATCAAGGAATACCAATTTATTGAATTATTTATTAAATTATTATTTAATTATTTATTAAATAAATAAGGAGTATTAATTTACTTAAATATTATCTATTAGAAAATTGCACAATTTTCTATGATAATTTATATAAGATTTTGATATTAAAAATTAAAAATAGATTGTCAATAACAAAAAAGTCACATAAAAGTTCAATAAAAACTTCAATATATATTAGACATATGTTTCTTAAGTTCTAAATAAGAATAAAATTTCCATTAAATATTTTTCGAATTGAAGCTTGAAAAATACAGTATTTTGACATAAAATACAAAATATATATATATATATATATATATATATATATATATCTTGTAAAACATTCAGTTTTCGGTAATCTTATTTTAATACTTTTATGCGCAGAATAATGACAAATTAATTGATGTAAAGAAGACACATAATTGTTTTTAAGAAAAATATGTTTTGAGAAAAATTGTATAAATTTTCTTCAACATAACTATGCGTTTTCTTTACACCAATTAATTTGTCTAATTGTTTTATACCCAAAAATATTAAGATAAAATCGAAAAATAAAAATTTACAAGATATTTTGTATTTTATTTCAAAATAAAAGGAATTTTCATTTTAAAAAGTTTTAAGTTTTTACATGATCTTAATATAATGCTATTTATAGTCACATTAATATTATTTAATGCGCTACTTGAAGCCCTACAACTTTTTTTCAAAAAGCCTTTGTTTAGAGATATTTGACTGTTGCAGAACTTTTGGGACACCCTGTATAAATGGTGTTTCAAGAGGAACGTTCAATGTTCTAGGATGGACATGGTTTTACACATCATTTTAAACAAAAAACACATTCTCTAGTCTGGGCAATTATAAAGATACAACTAAGTCCTCCTGAAACACCTTGTATAAATGGATTATAAGAAAGGATAATATATTTTTTTCAATTTACCCTTGATCGAGAAGAGATCCTTTGTATCAAACTATCCAATATCCTACAGTCATCGTAATTATACTCTAGTAGAAATCTAATAAGCGACTGTAACAAGCCAGGATCGGTGACGGATCGAAGAAATAAATCAAAATAAGCTGTCGCTGCGACTAATTCTTCCACAGTAGTCTGTAAATATTTTTGCCAAATAATTAAAATATTAAAAAAGTATAAAATACAAGATCACGCTTTATTCGCAAATTTCTTTTTACTAACCATCGATAATATATGAAATAATATATTATTAATTGTTAAGCAAAAAAAATTTATATATTCTGCAACATAGTCATCACAATATACATATTTTTTTGTTAAATTTCCGTTTACAAAATGAGTTTTAATTTCTGTTACTGATGTGAACAAATATACATATAATTTTATGTTAATCTCACCATTGGAAATTATTTTTGATACATCAAGCGAGAAAAAGAGAACAAAAATAATTTTTAAAAATATTAGTTCTTCTATAACTATTTCCTTTTTAGCATTTAAATTGTTCATTTTACAATATCAAGTTAATAAGATTTCTCTGTGTGGTAAAAGAAGGATATAAAATTATTAGATACAGAATTATTAGATAATGAAGCATATGTGTCACAGATAATAACATGTATTAATATGTGAAAAAAGCATACAAAGATTATATATAATGCATATACATATATACACAAAATAATTAACATTTATTAAATGGAAATATTAATACAAATAAGTATTGAACCATAATAAAAATAAAGACAAAAATAGAGATGGACAAAATTCTTTATTAAAATAAAATATCATATAAATAACATAAAATTACAAAAAAGCAGAAACTATATCTTTGTAAAGTTAGCACTGCATTTTCAAAATTTCGTTATAATAGAGTTTCAATTACTCTTAAAAGAATTTGTAAAGTTTCCATTTAAAAAATTTATTATAAATTAAATATAAGAATATGAAAATTGGCTAATTTTTTTAATTTTAATTTTATCTCAAATTTTACGAATAAAAATAATCATTAAAAAGGAGCTATTTAAAATTTTGAAGAAATTACTCGATCAAAAATTTAGAAATTTTTTTTATCCAACAATCATAAAAACTTTTTATTGATTTAAACCTAAAAAGTAATTATTAGATATATTCCAACTCTAAGAAATAAAATATAGGAATATTTTACAATCAATAAAACACTTTTAAATGTATCAGAAATTCTAAAATTCTTTTGAGAAGAAAACTAATTAATTATATCAAATTTCTAAAAATAGAGTGCTAACTTCAAATATAAAAACTATAGCTGCAAAGCAAAGCAATAATATAGCAATATGTGTATTGTGCTTGAATGTTATAAATTATAAACCACTTGATCTTGGTATTTTTAATTATAAATATTTTTTATATGATATCACATGAATAACAATATCACCAAATTTAATATAATTAATAAACATATTTGTGATTTATTATACATCATAAGCGATTTATTATATATTATTATAAATCACAAGTGGTTTATTATTAAAATAAATTTATTTATTTAAAAGCATAACTTGTTCTTATTAATTATACTTTTAAATAAATTAACTAAATTGACATAACAATGGATATCAATATTTCAATGGATACTTTGAATATATTCATGCAAAGATAATTTTAAAATATGATGTTATACACATATGTAATATACTTATAATATACTTATAATATTAAAAGATTATAACACATTGGAAACAGAATTATTTAAATAAAAGAAATTATTAAATAACTATTAACTTTAGTGTTATAAATAATTTAGTCTTCTTTTAATATAACAACATTAAGTATAAATAAATAAAATTCTAGAAATATACTAAAATATATCGCAATATTAAAAATTATATTTTATAGAAAATGTGTAAAGAGTTATATAATTTTATTTTATTTTATAAAGTATCAATTGAAATACTATACTGTAAAAACTGATAATTTGTACTAACCCAATATTGTTGTACATCTAGCTGTTCTAGGGTCAAGCCAAGAGAATCCTATGAGCATCATAAAAATATCACCAGATAGAAAAAGATACTAATACCATAAACTACATAATGACATCAATGATTTATATGTTATTAGCTTCAATACCAGTGCGCTTAATTTTACCATCACCACATTGATGAATTCACATTTGATAACATAAGAAGCATTGTGCACATAAAATCATAATTAAAATCAATAAAACAATAAATTATAAAAACAAACACAAGTTTTTGTGAAACTTCAATTACAATAAAAACTGTACAATTTAAAAAATACACAAAAATTTTAAAGTTTAAGCAATTATGATTTGTGAAAAAAAATATTCAAAATAAATTTAAAATGTTCCATGAAATAAGAAAAAAATTTATTTATATGCAATATTTATTGCATAAAATAAAATATTTTAATAAGTAGTTGAAAATGTCTTCTATTATTTACTATTATTTATGAATTTTGTAAAAATGTAATCTCTTATTCAATTTTAATAATATTTGAAAATTTATACATGTTTTTTTATTACACAATAATATTAAAGTGTATTTGTAGGAATTAAAATAAATGTTTGTATATTATATTAAATACCTTCTTTCACCACATGCATTGTTACCAAAACATAATTAAAAAAGATAATATGTATGTTACAAATAAATAAGTCAATGCTCTTATGTAAAATTTTACATTATTAAAATATGAAAAAAATTAATTTAAAACTTTTTTTAAAAATAAGATAAGCAATTCATTAATATTAATATTAAAATATTTTTTTTATATTGAATTATATAAATATTAAATTTACTTAATTCACTTAATTACATAATTTTATTTAATTCCATTAATTATTTCAATAAAATAAATATTATATATTTATTTCTTTTATATGTTGAATTATATAAATATTCACCTGTAACAATGCTGGACCCATGACAGGAACTAAAAAACCTTGGTATAAAAATTCAAGTAACTGTTTCTGTACCATCGGATGTGCCACTTGTGCAACCGCATTGCAGAACTCTAGAGAATTCATGAGCTGCATAAGTGCAGGTAAGTCATTTACGTCGTCTGGTGTAAGTTGATACCAATCATCTGTCTCAATTCCAAGTTTTCTCGGAAGTAAAGAGTAAAGCCCACTCAATCCTGTCGCTAGTACCTAAATAAATGCAAATAAGATTAATATTTATTTATATTATACATATATATAATTATAACACATTATTTATATTATACATATATATAATTATAACACATATATATTTTCTATATATTTATATTCTAATCAAATTATTTACAGGACATATGTTGGAGTCGGCGATGTATAATCCAACTTCGTCATTCTTCTTCGAGAGTGACATACATAATAACATAGCATCACGTGCTTGCTGGCCAACGCCACCCTCTCGATGAATGTAAGGTATTAATAAATTAAATATAATAAATCTAAAAAATCAATATATCTTAGTAAAAATATATTTATGTAAAACATCTGTCTCATAAACAACAAACTATACTTACTTATTCTTTCCAACTGCATTTGATTGAAAAAACAAGTCAAGCAAAGCCATATTTTGCATTAAGACTACACACAACTGATTCAATAATACTACTAATTTTTTTTCTACTTCTAATGGCATAATGTCGTTTGCACATTCTTCTAATAATCGTAAGAGCGGCCTAGTGACTGGTTCATGTGCAAGAAGGGCATTATTGTATGAAATGAGTAACTCGTAAAGCTTCATTTGCTCCAATCTTACAGCATTATTAAACCTGCAAAAAAAAATAGTATTTTTACACTAAACATACAATTTTTTTAAAATTATGCAATTAGCTTAAGTTATTAACTGGAAATGGAATACAAATATTAAAAAGTAGAAATGTACCTTCCTGTATGTATGCTCCAGTCATACAGTTTAACAAGTAAATTTTCACTTAATAAATATTCCAAACATGGGGAATGTGTTGCTGTGTTGCCTTGTTGATAGTGATTATGTGAATTAGAGTCCCGCAGTTCCAGCATCAGTAACGTCACCATTTGATCAATGTGATTAACAACTCCAAGCACATCATCTTGACTAGGTACTCCTTTAAGAGGCTGAAATTAATTAATTACCAATTAACATGGTTTGCAAAATACTTTTAGCTCTTAGTTTAATATCTAAACAACTAATATAATTTATGTTGAGATATATGTGTATATATAATAGATTCAAAAGTTAGAAATCTATATTTATAATATACTTTTAATGCTAAATATAACTTTTTAATTCTTAATTTGAGATATAAAAGAATTAATGATAAATAGAAATAATTTTCATATTTGATAAATATTAAATGTTCTATTAAATATGAAAAATATTAAATTTTATTTTAAATTGTCAATGTGTTAACTGTTTAATATTTAAGAGAATATTAGATATATAATAATTGTATTTCACACACAATAACATCAAAACATCTGATTTGAGTTATAATATATAACCTAATATATGATGCACAAGTTATATCAATATATGTGTATAAAATATTAAAATCACAATACAAGAATCATACTAAAAATAAATACTAGTAAATAGTACTAGGAATAAAATAATTCTAAATAAATAAAAAAATATGCACATATATGTATATATATGTATGTAAAATAGAATGTTTTAATATTAATAAAACTAAAGTAAAAAATTCTCTGTGCATCACAAAACTGATTGCATAAAATAATACTTACACTTATATTACAATTTATTATCATTAGCACTGTTTGTTTTTAATAATAAATTGCAGACACTGCAATCCTTCTTCGTAACAAAATAGATATATTTTTATAGCTCTCACATTATTACATTTAAAAACAGATTATAAGGAAAAAAAAGAATGAAAAACTGCTTTTTTTTACATATAATCCATTTTTGTAGCCATGTGAAACAATGAAATGTGTGCGAATTTCAAATTAATAGAAACGACTGTAGAAAAAAGGCTGGTTCTTACTAAGGAGTGTACAATAATTTCATAAGTCTGTTGCCAATGTTTGCAGAAGCTGTCGTAACATGCGGACGGATCGGCATTCTTCGGTGGAGAGTTTCTGGACCGTTGCTTGCTGAAGCTGGTGCGCAGTGGGCTATTTTGCAGCCAGCTCATCTTTGCAAAAATATATATATATATATATGTCAATTCTTCACAAATGCGATACTGTCAGTTTCCAAGTCATCACGTTCGCAGCCTCGATGACGCGTCGCCTCGTTTCCAGCAAAATATTTGCATATACCAGTAAAATGGAGTTCCCTCAATCCTTATCAGGGGATTGTCCTATCAACACACATATATATATATAAGCCACGTAAATAATACGATACGACATATGATACGTGTTTACAATCAAATGATTAGTGGATTCGCATATATGTATTATATACTTACGATAAAAATATGCATGTGAGAATAAATTATCATCGATGATAATCCGGTGATTCATTCGTCAGTTTCGCGTTTCACGAATTATTCGAGTTTGACTTGATATTATTTTCTTCTTGTTCTCTTCTCATTTTATTAATTTTTTTTTTTTTTTTTGCGTTACATATTTTCATTCGTTGCGACTAATCGTGACTAGCATATATTGTCGAGAATTATTCGAAGTAATACCTTTGGCTGTCATTAAAAAAATACATATTCGGATTTTCAGATGCGCACTCTTGATCTTGATACCGTAGATCATCGAGCTACTATCCGAGGAAAAAATTGGAGTTAGTTCAATGTTTTTGACTACGATACTAGAATAGAAACTAGAAAGATACTAGTAGGGATAGCATCGACCAATCAACAAAGCGGGAAATTTTAAATCTATTAAGGGTCGGCAGGCGACATGGTGGAGACGCCTATCGGCCGGCCGGGAATTACGGATTCTTATTTTCCAGATATTAGCGAAAATATTGAATGAATCTTATTAAATTTAGGATATTCTTAATCAGTAAGCTCATTTGTAGTCCTCTAAAGAGCTATTTTATGAAAAAAAGATAAAAATAAAAATTTTTAATAAACTTGGGGGAATGCACAGCTAGGAACGGGTAAGGTTGGGTTAGCCGCGAGTCCGTATTTTATTTATTATAAATTTTTAAGAGCGAAAATGTAAAATCCGGCCTTTTAGAGGACTGCTTTATTATATAAAGAATATATTAAAAAAAAATTCACGAAGTTATGTCACTTATTTTATGAAATATCTGGACGATAAGATTCTCACTAGATTCATAAGGAGCAGGGGAAATTTCTGTGGTAACATGCTGACTGCTTGACAAGGAGAGAGCATCATTCCATCTTTGTCTCTCTTACATCGCATATGTAGTAGCGTCCATGTAGGTACAAACACTAATACGTGAGCACACGGATGCAAATATTGAGAGATAATGTCAGCAAAAAGGCTATCATATTATTTTTATTTTTTTGTATATGTATGCATATGTAAATAAAGAACAAAAATAAAAACTATTTTAAGATGACATTTTATAATTAATTTTCTATATGTATTTGCATTTTATTAATATATATTACATTTTTGATATGTTTTTAATTTATAATTTATATAAACATAAGTATGAAATAAAAATTGAAATAGTTCTGAAAATAAGTATATTAATGATAAAATTATTCAAAACAATAAAAAAATTAAATTTAATATTTTTTAGTGTTTGTACCTACATGGACGCTACTACATATGCGATGTAAGAGAGACAAAGATGGAATGATGCTCTCTCCTTGTCAAGCAGTATTAAAAGCCATATTAAAAGCTCTAGCTTCATTCAATTAATAATCCAATATAATAATCAACAATTATTTTTATATAATATATAGTATTTTTAAATATTTTTAAATATTTAAAAATATTTTTTTTAAGATTAATTGAGGAAAAGAATATTTTAAATATAAAAAAATATTTTAAATATTCTTTTTCAATTAATTTTTAAAACAAATTTTTAAAAATATTTTTATATATTCAAATACTTATTATATTATATAAAAATTATTGTGAATTATACTCATTGGAGTAATAATTATTGATTGAAGCTTGTTATGGCACAAACTGAACATCTTGTACATTGTCTGTATAATATTTTACTTATTTATAAAATGTTTTTTATAAATAAATGAAATATTATATATATATAATATATAAGATTATAATATATAAGATTATTGATGTTACATTGTATAACTCTCATTTCTTTCTCTCTGCTACATAAGTACTTATGACGTGAAAGAACTTACGAGTAACGTATGATGGCTCAATGCAAGAATATTTAATCACGTAAAAAACTTGAGTTCAAATATATCAATATCAATTTTTTTATAATATATTGGAATATAGAAAATCATAGAAATATATTTTTTATATAGGCGATAAACTTAAAAATTTGATATTGAAAATATTTTAATCATTTTACAACTACACATACTATAAATATATAAATGCAAAATAATTCCGTAAATAAATTTCAAGTAATAAATCAATTGCACACATGCACACAGCTGGTATGTAGATTTTTATTAAATTTATTTTCTGAATTATTTTACACTTATATATAGTGTATGTAGTAAAAATATTTTCAATATATTAAAAAATTTTTAAATCGCCGAAATATATTTTTTTATCATTTTTCTATATTCTAATATATATATATATATTATAAAAAAATTGATATTGATATATTTGAACTCTAATTTATATACTGGATGATATACTGAACATCCTTGCATTGATTATACATTACTCAACGTTCTTTCACGTTATAAGTATTTGGAGCAAATTATACAATAGCATCAATAATCAAAAAGAAATCAAGAATATAATCAACATATCCCTTATATATATATATATATATATATATATATATATGTTATATATATATATATATATATATATATGTTATATATATACGTTATGCACATATGTGCATAACCATATATACAATTTCCAAAAAGTGGGTGCTTATTAGTCTTGCTACGTTACTGCTTTCTGCTACGGAAGGCCAGAAAGCATTTTCAGGCGGCATCTCGCGTATACCGGCACGGTAGATGAACAAGGAGAACACGTGATTATCGGTCCTTGTCTCTCTTACGTGCGTCCGCGTGAGCGATGCAGTTGGTGTATGTACGTGTACAGACATACACCACTACATAAAACCCGAGAATTGGTTTCTCGGCGTTGGCAACACTGAAACCGGAGTTTTGCGTTGTCACCGCACGAGGTCTCCAATATCAATTCGGAGTTTGCCTGGGTGTACTGCCGACCCTTAAAAGAAAGGAAAATGCGACATATGAGTTTTTTTATATAAGAAATTATAGAATAAATGTCAAACAAATTTATTTTTGTCTCTGTAGAATAATTATAAAATAAATTTTAACTAAAAAGAATCTTTTGTTATTTTAATGCAAGAAAAAATTTATTATTTTATAAATAAATATGATTAATACTGTATTTAAATCTATTATATTTATATATTTTTCTTTTATTATTTTTACATTTTATTTAATTTATTATTTTTATTAAAATTTAATTTCATATCTTCTTAATTTTTTTTGCGATGAAATTCGATATACATTGATTTTTGGTTACATGTTACCTCCGATTGATGGCGTTTTTGTTCGTTCGACTGTAAAGTCACTAGATAAATATCTAGTGACTTTATTCAGCTGTCAAATTCCAGGTGACAAGGGAGAGTTTCACGAGAAACGCCGGCGTGGCTGATCTGTCAGAGTCCCGACATGAACTGTCAAATGAGATAAAATTAGAAAATAATACAAAATAAGAGCAAATATAAAAAAAATTAAATTATTTCTTTCTAATCATGCGGAGTAGCGAATTTCACCGTATCTCGCTGAATTTAGTACGTACAGACTTGAGAATTAAATATTAAGGATAGCGAAAAAAATGATCTATATATAATTTCGCATATAGTAGCATTTTTTAAAATTATTATATTGTGTTGAAAAATAATCGTGATTGTTAATAATTCTTTCGTCTTTCGTCTAGGCGATGTTCTGTAATATATTATTGGTCATGTAATTTCACGGTTACGTACTTACGACGTGCGTTTAATGAGTCGCAAGTGTTATAGGTAAGTTGCAGCAAAATCTCCGCATGTAATTAACACTAATGCAGTATATCCGAGTTGACAGAAATATCAAGCAGACAATAGCACTAAAAATACGCTTTATTTTTATGTCAATTGTGTCATTCAATATTCTTACAACAGCATAAAATATTTTTTTATATATATAAAAATTAGTTAAGTATTTAATATATTAATATTTTTAAAAGATGATCTTTTTATTTTTTTACATTAATATAAAAAAAGAACCTAAAAATTATACAGCATTCAATTCACAAAAAATAATATAGCGTTCAATTGGCAAAAATATAAAACAAATTGTGAGATCCAATACAAAAGCATTAAACTATCTTTTATTATTATGTTACTCTCTATTTAATATTCTTTTATATAACAAAATTATATAACTAATTGATATATTAATATTTTTAAAAAATTATTTTTATTACTTTGCGCTAATAAGATAAAACTTTTAAAAATGCAGTGTTCAGTTTGAAGAAATGTGAATCATAAAATTGTGAATCATGAAGTATTATAAGTATATATTTGACATTATTCCACTTATTTCTGTTAATTTGTCAAAAAAAAAAAAAACAGATTATTCACATGTGTTTTGTTTATATGGAGTGATTTGGTATAAACAATCAGAAATGAAATATCTTACAAAAGAAAAATTAAATAAATGAGTGAGAAATATGTAAAAAAAAATTTAATATAAAGTTTAGCTTTATGTATATAAAAGTACATTATAAAACAAAATTTTATAAAATATCAATTTTAATAAAATTAAGAAATTAACAATATCCTTCTCTATTTTATATTTGTATAACTTCTGAAGACATTATATATTACAGAATTTTATTGCATTTGAATATTGATTATTTATCAAAATATATAAAAATACAATATTGTTTTTAAAAAATATTGATGTAATTAATTCCAACATTTAATACAGATTATGATTTTTCACAGATATGTCGGAGCACGTGGAATTGCAGCATCTAGTTGACGTCGACGTGGAGAGTAGCGCGACGAATCACAAAAGAAAATTCTCCATCCCGTTCTGCAAATCATGCCCTTACCTGGGCCTAGTATTAGCAACATTCTCGTCCCTGTTCTTCTCGTTATGTAGCGTCATCGTCAAGAGTCTGGTGGAAATCAACCCCACCGAGATGGCTATCTTCAGATTTTTGGGAGTACTGTTACCAGCAATACCAATTGTGATCTACAAAGGCGACCATCCTTTCCCGAAGGGACGTAGGCTAATACTTATTCTAAGAAGCTTCATCGGCACAACAGGACTCATGTTAAGTTTCTACGCCTTCAGACACATGCCTCTGGCAGACGCTTCTGTTGTTGTCTTTTCCGTTCCTGTATTCGTGGCGATATTCGCGCGAATCTTTCTGAAAGAACCCTGCGGCCTCTTCAACGTCGTCACCGTCTGCCTGACCCTGATCGGCGTGATCCTGATAACCCGACCGCCCCTGATCTTCGGCAACACCGTGGAATCTCTCTCGGATGGCAGCATTAATCCAGGACACGCGGATCTTTGGGGCGCAGTGGCTGCATTTTCTGCTACTTTATTCGGCGCCAACGTCTACGTCCTATTACGCGCCCTGAAGGGTCTCCACTTCTCCGTTATAATGGCAAATTTTGGCTCCTTTGCTCTGGTACAGACTACATTTATATCCTGGCTCATCGGCGCCTTATGTCTACCACGCTGTGGTACAGATAGACTCCTAGTTGTTGCTCTAGCATTATTCAGCTTTGCAGGTCAGATCTTGCTGACCTTGGCTCTTCAGATGGAGCAGGCCGGTCCAGTAGCCATAGCAAGATCCACGGATATTGTTTTCGCGTTCTTCTGGCAGGTGCTTTTTTTCAATGAGATACCAAACCGATACTCAGTAGGAGGTGCTATACTAGTCACTAGTTCAGTTTTGTTAACAGGTTTAAGAAAATGGGCTCTTTCCTTACCTGAAACATCTAACATTAAGAAGTCTCTTGGAATTCTAATGATATAGATAATAATTTTTGTTTTATTTATTTATTTATTTATTTACAAGGTTAAAATTAAGTAATTGTAAGCGACCAAACTGGGCAAAAATATTAATTTATTCAAAACTTCTTCATTACGTTTCGACCTTTGTTTTAGGTCTTTATCAAATGAGCTGGAAAAAAGGATTACAAACTCTTTCAATGATACAATAAAAATACAATAAAAATCGCACAAAACTTCAATGAGACACTTCAATTTACACTTTCATTTTATTGTATTTTTATTGTATTATTGAAAGTTTGTAATCCTTTTTTCCAGCTCATTTAATTGATAAAGACCTAAAACAAAGGTCGAAACGTAATGAAGAAATTTTGAATAAACTAATACTTTTGCCCAGTTTGTTCGCTTATGATTACTTAATTTTTAACCTTGTGATTTTATCTACTAGCGTTTTTTTGAATATTTTTATCTGATTTGATTTATTTATTTATTTATTTGAAGACGAAGAAAGATGGAACTTGAAATGAATTTTATGCATTACAAAAATTGTTGAAGAAACAATATTATTTGTAAAAAAATATTGCGCTGAGTAACAGTGATTTTTAAGTTTATTTCAAAATGTGTAGTGTACACAGTTGAGTTTATTTTATTTATTTATTTTTTTTTTTTTTTACTTTAATCATATTTTTCTTTTTGCATTGCTTTCTCACTACTTCATATTTCAATATATGTATGTATTGTATGTATGTATGCATGCGTGTATATGTATGTATGTGTAATAAAAATGAAAAATGTGAAACAGTAAGAAAGCAAAAAAATCGAGAAGAAAATTACAGGAGACGATAAATAAAATTAATCTAGGTCAATATAATCTATCTTTATATATTGCAGAATCTCATGATTAATTTGAATCTCTTTGTAAACAATTTTTTCTCTTATGCTATTTTCCCATACATATGTGATCATGAATGAAATGAAAAACTAACAAAGATATGTAACATTTTTATTTTGTGTATATTAGAATAATAATGAAATAAATAGAATAATAGGGATTGAAAACAGAAAATTTCGTGAACTCAATTTTCCATAGTTCCAAGAGAAATTTTATGTATTCTCTCTATATAAAAAGATTATGAATATATATAAACTGTATTTTGAAATATATAGCTATAAATAAACAGTAAAAAATTTCTTTTTATTTTTATTTTAATATTTTATAATAAAAAAATTAATTTCTTTAGATAACTTTATTGAACAAACATAATATCTGTAAAAAACTTATATTATCAATTAATTATTAATATCTGTAAAAATTATTTTATTGTATTTTAACATTCATAAACTGCATTATGTAACAATTAAATAAAAATGATCAGAAAAATAATATATATTGATATGTAAATAATATATTTTATCTACATATAATCATATTCAATAATCAATTCTGTGTATTTATAATTTCTATTTGAAAATTTTAATAAAAAAAAATTTGAAATATGTAGAAATAATTAAATTATAAGGAAATTGTAATTAAATTTATAAGAAAATTTTGTTCTATTTTTATTTTATTTTTTTTATGAAAAAAAAATATTTTCCCCTAAAGCTAAAAATCTAGAGATTATTGGATCTCTAACTGAAGTTGTCTGCTAGTAACTTTTTTCCAGTCGTTCGTCCATCTATGTATTTAATTTATCTATGAAAATATGATTTTGGCGCGTAATAAGTATTGAAAAGTTATAATTTCGAGATAAAATTTATCTGTCATGGATAAGAGAAAATTATTGTTCAACACAGGTTTGCATAAAAATGTGCAACCTGTCAGTCAATCATTGGAGCGAACCGCGAGCAATAAACAAATAAGTAGTCCAAACGAAACAATGGAAGAGAAGGTGGATTTATTAGCATCCAAGTCAACATTGAACAGTCAGTCATTAAGAAGTAATTCTTTCGTGGAGAAAAATAATTCATCCAGAGAAATAAATTTAGGTGAAGCTGAGAAAGATCTGTCGCAAAGAGAAAATGTCAATCATAAATTGTCAAAAACAAAGGCCACAATGAGAAAACAGCTGAATAGTCAGGTGTCGGAGAGCACCTCAAGTCAACAGGACAATAATCATTGTCAGGAGAAGGTTCATCGATGGCAAACAGGTCCCTGAGAGCTGCTAATCATTCGGTTACACAAAAACGTAAAATTATACCTGCAGTGGAAGAGGAGGTTTCGGATAGCGATCTGGACTTTTCATGTGATGAGTCTGCACCAGCAAAGAAGAAGCGAAATGAAACTGTGTTTGATAGAAATTCGCAATCTTCTGCTCGAAATATTAATCCCAGTCGTGATTCTCCTGGGAAAAGACTTTCTCTGATTAATAAGTCACCTGCTAAATCAATTAGTATGTCTAATATTACCCAAAGAAAGCAACAAGATAAATATAAGGAACCTTTTTCGCCTGCAAAATTAAAGAAGCATAAACTTAACAAAGATTTGGAAGAATGTAGAATTAATAACAGGGAGTGTTTTCCAGAAAAAGAGAATTTTCATATACCACCTGTTTTTCTAACTTTTTGCAGAAATGTGGTATCACAGTATCAATCGATGGTATATATACACTTAGTAAGTTTTTTATTTTATTTTATCTCTATTTTATTTATATATGATTATTATTTTATTATATATATATGTATATAAAAATAATATAATATAATATATTTATTGTATAATATAATTATATAATATAATATATTATTTATTTTATTATGTGTAATAAATATATATATTTATATTTTATATATATATTATATTATATTTATAATTATGTTTATATATTATACATTTATATTATATTTATGTTACCTATAATATAATGAAGAAAGACATATAATTAAATTATTGATATAAAAATTTATGAAATTGTATGACAAAATTTCTTTATTTATATAGATATTCCTTCGTCCATCGCCAAATTAAAGATAAAAAAAGTATTAAGCTCAAAACAAATTCAAAAAAAGGATATAATTGATTCAATAGAAGAATATGTTGGAAATGAAAAAAGTTTTGAAAAAATGTTGAATGACATGGAATTATCGACTGATAATAGAGCTTTCAGTGCTCTAAATAAAATATCTCTGGCAAGAATACTATTAGAAGTTATGGAAGTTCAAGCAGACATTTATAATATTTTATGTCTAAGCTTAATGAATCTATTCTTATAGTGTAAGTATATATCAAAAATTAAAATCATATAATTTATTATATAATTTTGCTAAATTTAAATTCAAAATACTTCTGCTATATATAATAATTATTTAAATAATAAAGATATATTAATATTAATAAATTAGTTAATTAATATTAATTATACTAATATATATAATATTGTATAAATTGAATGCTTAATATACATATATTTAATTGTGATATTGAAAAAGCAGTCATATCATTTGTTAATACATTTTACAATTTTTTTATAGAGATACTCCAGAAAAAATACCTTGGGCTGTACCATTGTTGCAACAATTTCGTTTTTTGGATACTATAACAAATGTTGATATAGTAACTACAAATATAGAACAACTGTTAGAAACATGTCCATCTTGGTTTCAATATGAATTGATTTTATTCTTGCCAGATATTTTGTCAGATATTCAGCACCGAAATATCGCTGAAATACTAGGAAAAATGTTGGAAGAAAACAGTGAATTGACAAATGTAATCTTAAACTGCATTGGCAGTTTTAATCTTGACAAAGAATATTTAGAAGAATATAAAGTCAAAGTGTTACATTTGTTGAAAACAAATTTGAAAGTAGAATTTATACCAATTGTTATCAGGTATGTACACACACACACACATATATATATAATTTTAAATTATTATATGATAGGACATTAAGTTAATAAATAATAACTTTTCTAATTGTAGATTTCTTGTTAATAATTATACATGTTCCGATATTGTCAAACAAATGTTGCTTGTACTACGCAATATAGAAATGCAGCCACTCACTGGGGATAAAGTTGAGGAATGTTATAAGAATCAAGTGCAGATAATTCAAACATTAAAAATGTGCATGTTATTATCGAAAGATGTGACAGTTGCTGCAATAATGGTAGTAAAAGATATTAATCAAAATCCAAAGCCATTAGATTTAATCATTTTGCTCCTTATATTCTCTGGAACAACAAAACAGAAAAATGCAGAAGTCTTATTGAAACAAAACATCCGTTCTGGTTTCTATAGGACGAGTTTGCTTCATACACTTTACAATGATTACAAAGAGGTTTGTATAAAAATATATGAAATCTTTATTTGACAAATATAGATTGATATGCTTATAATATATTATATATATTTATATAATACATTTATCAATATTAACGATATATTTATATATATAATATATTTATTTCCAGGTCATTCGAGAATTACAACCATCAATATTACAATTAGCGAGTAAATTATTGAAATCAGAAGAATATGTATTTATTAATTTTGCAATTGAATGGTTCCGATTGCAGTTTCTCGGTCAGAAAGGAGCATTGTTTAAACAACGTGAGATTATAGAGAAGATTATTCTTCTTATGGGTAATAATGATCAAACTGTAAAACATGCGATGACTATACTTTGTAAAATGGCAGAGAATACGATTGAAAGAGAATGTTTAGTATCGCAATGCAATCATCTGAGAATCTTATTAGAGAAGATAAATTGCTTTGGGCTTGAAGAAATTGGCACTTTGAGTGATTTATTGCACAAATTATGTTCAGTTGATGATTCTACTTCGGAATCCTTACGAGATGATTTATTTATATTGTTGCAAAAGCAATTGTCCAACACTAAACCAATGTAAACGAGTTATAGAATTAATATAGTATTTTATTTTATACAATATATAATTATAATTATATTATAATTTATATATATGACATACGAGATATAAATATCAAATAATTTTTAGTACAAAATGCAAAGGTGTCATGGGAGCAGTAATGGCAATAAAACATCTGGCAGGAAAGACTGAAAGCTGTGATAAAGCTCTGAAATTATTTAGTATGTGTTTATTTTATACACAATTTTTTAAATTCTTGTGATATAACAAAGTATAATGAATATAAATTTAACATATATAAGATAGGCAATAAGAGCCAAATCGCGGATGACAGTGCGTTATTCTAAACGAAACTAAATTTTTTCTTTAGAATTAAATACCTGTGCACAAGGCACCAAATTTTTACTTGGACACGGCCAAGATATAAAATTGGAATAATCTCTACAAGAGATTTTTAATTCCATGTATCCCCTATTCCCCCTAAAGAAATAAAGTGCGAGAGAAAAATATAGATCCGAAAGTCGCAGAATCGGGAATCGAACCCGAGACCTTTCGCTGGTGCCTTGTGCACAGGTATTTAATTCTAAAGAAAAAAATTTAGTTTCGTTTAGAATAACGCACTGTCATCCGCGATTTGGCTCTTATTGCCTATCTTATATATGTTAAATTTATATTTATATATTACAGAGCCTAGTTAAACTCTTAAAGTATAATGAGTTATTAAACTCAAGAGATTTATGTGATAAATATAATTTAATATTCATTAATGTGCATTATTTTCTTTACAAATTAATATAATACATGATAGTGTAAAAATTAATTTAATACAAATATCTCTTTTGTACGTTTACAGATAAGGTAATGAAGAGTGTGAGAAGTTGTTCTAAATCACAACCGTTGTTTTATGATCAGTTGGCACAAGTAATTGCAGAAACTGAAACTATTAATATGACTTTTCTTCACAAAATTAGTGATTGCATCGAAAATGAGTTTGTTAATACATATATGACAGATAAAATACAATCCAGGTAAATAACACTTAAAATTTTTAAAATAATTATATATATATAATTATTAAAAGCTTTTAATTATATTTAATGATTATATATATATATATATATATATATATATATATATATATATAATTTTAAAGATATAAGACAGGCAGTAAGAGCCAACTCGCGGATGACAGTGCGTTATCCTAACGAAACTAAATTTTTCGTTAGGATTAAGTATCTGTGCACAAGGCACCAAATTTTACTTGGTCACGGCCAAGATTTAAAATATGAAATAATCTCATATTTGAGATTTAATTTCAATAACTCTTTCACCCCCCTACGGAAATAAGTAAATGCAAGTCCCGATTCAGCGACTTTCGGATCTATATTTTTCTCTTGCATTTACTTATTTCCGTAGGGGGGTGAAAGGGTTATTGAAATTAAATCTCAAATATGAGATTATTTCATATTTTAAATCTTGGCCGTGACCAAGTAAAATTTGGTGCCTTGTGCACAGATACTTAATCCTAACGAAAAATTTAGTTTCGTTAGGATAACGCACTGTCATCCGCGAGTTGGCTCTTACTGCCTGTCTTATATCTTTAAATTTATATTTATATTACAGAGCCTTGTTAAACTCTTAATATATATATATATATATATATATATATATATATATATATATGCAATTGACTGACTAAAAATCTATAAAAATATTGATAGAATGTAAAAATTATTAAAACCAAAATGAAAGTATCAATTAAGATAATTTATCTTAAAAATTATTAAAATTTTTAATTATATATATTAACTTTTTTTTAAATGGATTAAAGTTTGAATATAAAATCATATATTTATACACAGATATTAGAGGAAATGTTTTTTGTTACTATTTTATCGTTTGACATTTATATTGCAATATTTCAACAAAATATACAGTGAATTTTGAAGATATTCTATATATTATATATAAACTTCATAATTTATTTTATTTGATCAAATTTTTAATTTATATAATTACCAATGATAAAATGATGAAATATAAAGTAATGATGAATATAAATAAGTATATTTAATTTTTGTTTCTATTAGTGAAGAGTTAGTACCGAAATTTGGGCTAAATAATGCAGAACATGAACCAGAAAATTATGTGTTAAATTTTGGAAATAAAAAAAGTGGTCCAATTGCACCAATATTGTTTCGACTTCTCAAGACATGTATTATGAAAACTAGCGCACATGGAGAATTGGAAGCTATAGATGCTCTTTTGGGGTGTAAAATGTTAATGCCACAAAATTTTGATATCCCGGAACCTGCGATATTAGATCTTACTATATGCGCTATTAATTGGTAAGTTTTAAAATTAAATTAAATTAAAATTTAATTATATAAAATTAAATTATTAAAATTTTCTTTTTGTTTTCCTATGATGTAATAATATGTACTTTATTTTCTTCTAATATTTCGTCAAGTCTAGCTGAAATGACTAATTGCAAATGGAATTTTACAGGCTTAGGGAGATAATAACCGGCTTTGTCACCCAAACAGATCCTTTATTACGAAAACAAGTGTTAAACCGTTTAGACACTTTGATATATTTGCAAGGTGAATTGAATATGTTGTTAGCATTATGTGATACTAAATATCAACCTCCACCATGTTATTTCCATCACTTTCCATTACCACAATTTGTAAAAATTGAGAGAAAAACTAGCAAAAAAGGAAAGAAGTCTAAGAAAGGAAATAAATCTAACATTTCTGTAAATATGGAAGATGAATCCACAGAGATAAGTTCTACATTGTGTTCTAAAAATCCAGCATATTTTAGAAAGTTTGATGCAAAGGTATGGTTGACAAGGATTTTTAATAAAATATTATTAATAAAATATATTTCAAAATTTGAAAATTAAGAAATATAATTAATTTTCAAAAGTTTATTTTTAATTATTAATAAAATATAGGAATATTTAAATTTTCTTTTTTAAGCAATATTGATATAAATTAATTGAAAAATTTGTAGTCGAAATGATCTAAAGATCTTGCATGTATAATATTTGAAGATTATTACATAAATATATAATGTTTATTAATACTGTCATTATTATGTTTAGATAGCCCATCTTTTAGACGTTAAAATAAATTCACAGTCGTCACAATCTGAGACAAAAGGCATATCAATAAAACAAGTTTGTTTTATTGTAAGAGAACTGTTAGCAATATTCGAAAATGAACCTTCCGAGTCTTTTGTGAAAGATTTAATACACCTGTTACCAAAGATTTGTTCAAAATTGGACGATGTTGTCAGCAGATTGAGACAAGATAACACTTGCGACTTTAGAAAAGGCGCAAAATTATTGTTATGTCTCCTCACGAAAATTTTTAATTGGAAAGGATTTTTAAGTGTGACATATAACACGTTGCTTCGAGGTGCGATATTTTTATGATAAAAATTAAATGTTACTTATTTTTTATATTTATTATTTATATTATATTTATATTATATTGTTTATATCTATATTTGTAGTATTTATATTATTAATTTATATTTATATTTTTATTATATATATTTATATTTATATTATATATTACTATTTAATATCTATTATTATATTATTTATATTTATATTATATTTTTACTTATATATTTTTTAGAGGGATTACGTAGTTTAGCTGGACAAATTAATACAGAAAACGCACGATTACGATCTTGCAAGGAACTTGTTGCAGAATCGTACAAATATTTTGAATCACTGTCAGACATCGCTACCGAAATATCATTAGCTACTGCTCTTGTCAACATGTGTCAATCTTTAATGAAACATTCCGAAACCTATACACAACAGCACAAAAATAAGCATGGTAAGTAATTTAACTTTTTTTATTTTTTTATTGAATATTAATTTTTTCTCTTATACTATTAATTTTTTATTTTATATTTTAGCAAAATTAGCCTATGGATTTCTTTGTCTGGAATGGCCCGAAGATAATACTGGAGCTCAATATAAGTTATCTATTATTCAATTATTAAATAACTGGATAGATAATGAACCATCTCCATTAGATACAGTAACGTCAATTTTGGAATGGTTACCAGATGAAATCTTGAATTTTGAAAATAACCAGAGTGTCATAACAAGAATACCTTCTTTGAACAAAAGCATTTTTCAATTATTATATAAAAAACTCTTTGAAGGTTTAAATAAAGGTATTAATATATCACTGTCAGCAGTCGATTCGTAAGTACATTTTTCTTTAAAAAGAATTAAATTTAAAAAATTAAAATTTTTTTAGAATAACGAAGCTCATTAAATTTTGTTTAAAAATAAGTATTTAATGAATTTAAAGTAATATATAATGCGTTTTCCATAAAGAATTTATTGATGTAAATATTATGTCGTTAAATTATTTTATTTTATTTATTGGCCAAATATTTTTTTTAGAGATCCAAAGAAAATAAAAATATGGCAGAATATTGCATCAAATGTTCAAAAACTTGTACAAATTTGTAAAACATTGAAAACATATGCTAACATACAACTGTTTCTAAAATACATGCCTTTTCTAATAAGACAGTTTCTAAATATTGGAATGCCTATACTAGAACATAATCTAAAATATCAAACAGATGATGTGACAAGTATTCTAAAAATGATGCAAGGTAAAAAAATAATTTTTTTATCAATAAGATACGTGCATGAAAGACATAAATGTTATATAAAATATGATTTTAATTTTAATTATAAATTTTCTAATGAATTTAGAACGTCCTCTCCTTAATGAAACATAAAAAAAGTCTTATTTATTGCAAATTTATCTACAATTAAGTTTTATTTTATTTTATTTAAACAATATAAACATTAAAACCAAAATATCTATATCTTTCTGAAATTCTATAAATTTAATAAAAAACTATTTAAAATTTATTATATTTCCTTTATTATACTTTAATTAATCATTATTAAAGTATATAATAAATTATATAAAGTATGAAATTATTTGTTAAACTAAATAGATTTTAAAATGGTCAAAATTTATCTGTAAAATTAGAATTATGAATTGTTAATCTTACCTCATATATGATTCATTATAAAATATGTAATATATTCTTTTCTAATTATTTTGTTCTAATTTATATAATGTTGTATATGTTTAGGTGGCACACGGTATTTACATGCTATTTGTTGCGACTGCACAGAAAAAAAGAACTTACCATTGACTAAATATGTGCCTGCAGCAAAGTCTACATTGGAGAAGTTAATTTATAGCGTTAAAGGGATGCTAGTTCTTAACGATAGCGCAAAAGCTTTCTGGATGGGAAATCTTGTTAATAAAAATTTGGAGGGTCGCGAGATTCTTTCGCAGGTTTTTGTTAATTAAATTTTTAAATTATTTTATATATATATATATATATATAAACTTTTTATTATATTTTGTACTCAAAGAAGGAAGGAAGTAAAATTAATGAAGCATTAATTTTTTATATTTTTAATTTTTAGATATCGTCAGAAGAAACCACTTTAACAGAAGTGAATGCACCTTCTGAAGAATTAATAAATGCATCATCTGAGATTCTAAATTCTGATTTAGATGAAGATCCGATAGAAGAATCAGAAGTCGAAGATAATGACTTGGATTTGTAGTTTTTTCTTTATATGTATAAAATGGTAAGCATCAAAGAGTAGTTTTTTTCTATAATATAATATTGCACAATTGAATAAATTTGTGTATGTGGCATTTAATGATATATTTTAGTTAAAAATTAATTAATTTTTAACTAAAATTTTCAGATAATAAAATAGAAAAAAAAATTTTTTCTATTTTATTATTTTATCTGAAAATTTAGAAAAAATATTAAATATTTCTAACATTTCTTTTTTTAGCTGAACAAACGGAAATGAAAGTTCATAAAATCTTAATCTTTTTCATTTAAAAGTCATTAAAAAGGCGCTACAATATTTTTTTTACTAAATTAATATAGGATAAATTAACAATAAATTTAAGATTAAGATTGTGAAATCTATATTAAGATTTATATACAATATATATTTATAAGCTAAGTATTAAAAAATTGTTAAATTGTTAATGGAAAAAAACAGTATATTTTACATTTTATTTGCAAAATAATGGTATAAAATCTAGAATAAGTTTTAATTATTAATATTATATGAATAGGTTTTAATTATTAATATTACGTGAATAGGTTTTAATTATTAATACTGCATGAATAGGTTTTAATTATTAATACTACATGAATAAGTTTTAATATAAGCATGATTTATATGTTTTCTACAATTATTTCAATAAATAATATATTTTGCAAATATGGTTTATTATAATAATATTAATTTTTTAATTATATAACTCGAGTAATAACAAACTGATGTCATTTAACGTCTAATGTTATCAATTGCTTTTGAAAATTTCAAAAAATGGCGGGCTTCAGGTATCACTAAAGTTCTAGATGTCACTAGTTGGAAATCATCCAATAGAAAACGTCATTTTAATTCGAGAAATTCTAGAGGGCAGATCGACAGATCCCTTTTTTTTAACACAACAGCATACCGATCTGACGAACAAATGTTATCGAAGGGTCAGAAAAAGTGATATATCTGTCGACAATTATAATAATTCTCTATTCTCTTATTTAATTCCGATAGATTTCTTTTTTGTAAGATTCCTTTTGTAACTTCCGAAGAAATATCTGAATTGTTACTTCGTTCCACTTTCGATTTATTAGCGCATAAGTAAAAAAGATGGTAAGCAGATTTATATTGCATATAAATTCTCAATCTCCTCAATTCGTTTATTTACTTACAGCTTGTAACTTGATCGTACTTATCTAGAAAATTTACTGTGAATGATATTTTATGTACAATTGATGAGTATTTGTATGATTTATATATTACATCGAGATTTTGTAAATAAATAATAACAGTGTCTGATGTGTGTAATTTGAAATTGTTTATGCTCGATAATTTTGACACGATTTGTTATTTGGAAGTATAAACAAGGCTTTAACGAAATCATTTTTATAGCACGTAAAGTTTGTTTATTAGAAGATGTTTAATTGTGATTTCAAAATGAGAATATTGAATTAGTAAATTTGATATTTATATATATATCTGCATAATTATGAAGAAAAAAATTTATAAATTGATTGATAAAAGTTTATAAGTAAGATATAAAACGTATTCTAATAGCTTATTTATATAATAACAAGTTGCACATTTCTTCTCTGAAGCTATAATTTTTATCTGCGTAATTTTAACAATAAATATAACAGAAAAATCATACATATATATAATTATTTATGTATAGATTATATCGACTTTGTTACAATTTTAACATATTTTATATTATAACATCCTAATATATTTTTTATTTATACTTTTTTATGAAAATATACAATAATACACACACACATACATACAAATATGTGTATCATATTTAGTTATTTAACATTCATATTTGACTCATGATTTACAACACTTGTTAATTGAAATGTAATTAACATTTACAATTACATTTAACTATAATAATTTATTATTATTTGATTTTAGTCTCATACAATATTACTGGTGCAGCCTGGTCACAGGCCGGAAACAAGAACATATTCTGATTATGAAAGTGTTAACGAATGTATGGAAGGTAATTATATCATATGCATTATAATATATGCATATATAATATAATAATAATGTATATAATGCATGTTTCTCTTATATAAATACAATTTATGAAATGTGATAAAGAATATTAATTTTGTTTTTATATAATAGACTATATTTTAAGAATTATATTTGTATTTTTATATCTTTTTTATAATATTTTCTTTATACTCAATTATAAATCTATATTAATCATTTGTTGTTTTTGTATTGCAGGTGTATGTAAAATCTATGAAGAACATTTAAAAAGACGAAATCCTAACACTCCAACTATCACCTATGACATTAGTCAATTATTTGACTTTGTTGATCAATTAACTGATTTATCATGTCTTGTGTATCAAAAGTCAACGAATACTTATGCTCCGTATAATAAGGATTGGATTAAAGAAAAGATATACGTACTATTACGTAGAGCTGCAGGACATAGCGAGTAAAATCAGTGTATAAACAAAGATATGTATGTTCTTTTATATATATAAGATAACTCTTAAATATTCTATATTATTTGTCATAATAAATCTATAATTTACAATATTTTATTACTTTGATAATAATTATACTGTACGTTTTCCTCTCTGTCAATATATAGTATACTGTATTTTACATAGTATACATACATTTTACAATTAATATTTACATATAAGTATAATACTTAATTATATCTAATGTATGTATTAACTAAAGAGGGAGAAAAAAAGAGGAAAGATTTACTGTATAAGAATAGAGTAGTTTTTATTTTTATCAGTATTAATAAAATTAGGGAATAATAAGTATAAAAAAAAAGAAAATTAGATTCATATCTCTATTTTTGTGCCAATTATCAAAATATATAAAATCTAAAAATGTATTCTATAAGTATAGTTTGTGTGATTTGTGTAATTTTCAATTTATAAATCATAAAATGAATATTAAAGATATAATGGATTTTATTGTAATGTAAAATTCTCAAATTTGCAGGGAATTTTTAATTTAATTTTTTTTAATCGAACAACAAACAGTTCAATATCTCTGAAATAATTTTAATCATTTTAAAAAAGTTTTGAATAAAAATTATTTGATTTTTAAGCAGAATATATTTTAATGGGTACAATTTTGTTTTAATAGGAAGAGTTTCGATTTCAAGATTTTATTTTATTCATGAAATATCAATAAGAAGGCATTTAAGAACAAATTTGGATCTTTTTAAAATGTTTTATTTCTTCAAAATCAAATAAAGTTTATTTGAAACAATTTTTTTATTGAATTATGATTTTAAATAATTATTTTCTCTTTCTCTCACAATCAGTTAAATATCTTCGAAATCATTAGTTATTAATTTGGTCTTTACACTCTCCTTTACACATAATTTTTATATGTATTATATTTTTTTTTAAATATATTTTATATATTATGTAATGTAATATTTTTTATATATACTATTATATAAAATATATATATATATATATATATATATATATATTTTTTTTTATATAATAGTATATATATATATAACAAATAAGCCATCCAATATGCCCACCGAGTCCGACCTACCGTTTTCCATCTGCTCAAATATTTTAATGAATAACTCAATAATTATTGCGAATTTAGCAAAATGATATAAGACTTTTCTATTCAGTTTAACGTGCTCTACCTGCCCACGAAAGGTGGTCCGCGAATTACGGGACACTCTGTATATATTTTTGTTATATATAATTTTAATCAAAATTAAAATTGAATTCAATACATACCGGAACGTGCATGATAGACTTGCTCCTGTTAGAGTTGTAAGATGAAATTTTGACATATAATTATAAATGTGAAATTATATCACATTATATATACTCTTATGATAAATTTTAGGATCAAAAAATTTAGTTGTGAATATTCAATTTAGTAATAACTTTATATGTGTATGACAATCATCTTTCTCTCTCACATTGCTTACATATAAAATTACATATATCTTCAACAATAGTATATATATATAAATCTATAAAACAAGCTTAAATAAAGGGTGAAACGCATACGTTGCAGAGATGTGTTTAACAAAAGATATTTAGAATAAGTAAAACGCATGTTTAATATTTTGACGACTCAATGAATAAGGAATGTACAAACAAATATTTGTGCGATAATTATTTTTAAATAAATAAATAGTTGTTTTTTTTCACGTAATTTTAATACATATATATATATAGATACTGTTAGATAAAATTTCTATAAAATTTCATCAAATTAGAGTAGAATTCACACATCTTTTTCATATCATATTTTATATCTTCGTTACATTTATAATCTTCTGTGTAATAATACAGAGCGTAACATTTGTATCATTACAATAATAATTATAATAACAATCCGCAACTAATAGTGCAATAATTTTACGTATAATATTAAGGGAAGAAGAGGGGAGAGGATAAAGATCGCATAGTTTAACATTTTTCTTGTATTTTGTCAAATTTGCTTTCAAAGATACTGTCAGAAAAACATTCCTTTAGTTTATAACATTGCATAGACTATCATTTGCAAATCGAAGAAGATTTTTCTCTCTCTCTCTTTCTGTCTTTAGTTCTCTTAAGTTTTTTAAATAATTTTGTTGATTACATGATGGGGCTATATAAAATTTATTCATTATTCAATAACAATACCTAACTTTCCAAAATTTATTGCAACGCTCTTTCTTTTTATAAAATTAATTACGTTCAATTCTTCTGTTCATAAAAAAACAGAGTTTAATACTCGAGTCCTCAATGATAATTATTTAATTTAACAAGTAAATTGCACGAAAATTACGTATACGCATTAAACAGAATCAAACGTATGATTAAATATTTTTTTCTTTTTTTGCACAAATAACATTTCAGTGTTTTGCGCACTTCTTAATTAATCTCAACGTTTTACGAGCCTCGGCCTAATATCTCGGATTAAATTTCATCGTTTAATGTGACAAAGTCTCGTCAAACGCTATAATAATACTAATGATAGTTATTGTGACTGCATGTGATTTCAAATGTCTACTCGATACATTTGATAGGCCACGCAACATAACAATATAATACTAACAATGCTACAAAAGTTTTGTTATATTACAAGCTCCCTTATCCTGCATGAGATAAATTTTAAATAAATAGCTTTTTCTTCTCTTTGTATACGAATCAAGATTCATGTATATACGCTATTAATATATAATATATATATATAATATATACAGGATGTCCTATTTTAACCTTTGGATTGAAATTTCTCGAAAACCAAGATTTTCAGCGCGAAAAATGTTTCATGCAAAAGTTGTAGGAGATTTGACCCTAGATGCTCTTTTGAAGGTCACGTGAAGGTAATCTTTAATTTGTTAAATGAAAACCCCTATTTTTCAATACCTATCTTAAGAGAAAATACTTATAATGTTTTGGAAAGCTCTCTCGAGATAAACTGCAAGAATATGCATTGAAAAATGGGAGTTTTCACGTGACCTTTAAATAATTATCCAAGATCAAACCAATAATACTATCTTGTGTTCCCCTCGAGGTTATAAAACTTTAGTACGAAACGTGTTTTTCGACAAAAACTTTGGTTTTCAATCCGAAAGTTTGAACGGGACACCCTGCATATTTTCTTTATTATGCCTCTAAGTTGTCTGTATTTCATGTTTCATTTTAGGTCGTTGAAAAAGATTCACGTACAACTGATTCGTTCCAAGCTTCCATATCTTACAAGCAATACCTTTGTGCAAAATTTTTGTGAGAAATGTGCGAGAACCTTCCTTCCTCCTTCGCGTTTCTCTCTTTCTCCCGTCAATCTGTCTAAATGTACGTCGGGGAATCCTTCAGACTGGTATGGCAAGCATCACAGATAGAGACATTCTTCTCGTTCACCAGGGTGCACTTGGGGCACTCCTTGCCGCCGCTGGCCAGCGGCTTGTCCTCGTTGCCTTTGCACCTCGACTTGGCGCACATCTCGCAGATGTCCCGGTCCGGAGTGTTCAGATAGGTGCAGGTGGCGCAGTTCCACCTCCTCGCCACCTGTTGTTCACCATCCTCCTTCCTCTCCTCTTTGCCTAATCGCGCGACGTCGAGATTCTGAAGCGAGTCCGCAATCCTCGCTATCTGGTCCGAGGACCTGTGCGTCCGCGGAATCGGCAGGGTTTGGCTGTTGTGCCTCTTGTCGGCCCTGTTGTTGTACGTTTCGCTGTGTCTGTTCGAGTCTGACAGGTCAAAGGACGAGGACTTCTTCTTGAAGGGCAGAACGTCTTGGTGCTGCTGATGATGATGATGACCCTTACCGTTCATCTCAGACGCGTCGACCTCATTCACTCCGCTTCTCTTCTTGTCGTATCTATACTTGTCCTCGTTTTCCGTCTGCCGGAGAGTCTTGTGCTTGAACGGCTCCTTCTTGTGCTGCAGCAGCACGTCGTCCCGCTCGTCCAGGTCCTTGTAATATCCCAGGCTCTCAAGATTCCTGTAGACGAAGTCCCACGTGTCGTAGCCGTCCTTGCTGACGCCGGAGTTCAGCTTGCTGGCGACCTGCCGCTTCTCGTTCCTGCACTCCTGGTGGTCCCCGTCGCTCGAGGTCTGCCGTCTGTACAGGTCCACCTCGTCCAGGTCCGATATCCGATGGGACGTGGACTTCCGGTGCGTCTTGTCCGCGTAATTCGCCACGGACGCCGGCACGTCGAGCTCTATCAGTCTACCCGTTGGCACTCGGGTCGCGTACGCCGGCAGGGTGGCGCAATAGGGATTCGGCTGGGTGACAGCGGTGCCATAGAACTTATTCCCGTGAGCAGGCAGGCAGCCGTAGCTGTTGCAGCAATTCACGAAACCGTGGTCCATCGGCGGGTGTTGGTAGTAACGATAGTCCGTTGGGGTTTGCTGGCAAACTGCGGGCATCGTCGCGTTGTAATTGACGTGCACGACTGGGTGATGATGATGGTGATAGGGTAGATGCAACGGGACGGGTTCCACGCTCGTCTGCTGCTGCTGCGGATAGTAAAGATCCTTGAAACCGTCGATCTTCGCGCACCGATTCTGATGTACCTTCTCGAGGAAGCGGTAGTTCAACGCCCGGACCGCCTGCTCCGGCGTGCCGACGTGATTCTCGCGGAACTCCAGCACCTCCAGCCAGGAGATGGTGTAATTCTGCGACACGCTCTCCCAGATCTGCTTCAGAATCTGAAATTCGAGGACGGATCAGCTCTATGTCGAGTCCGGAGCTAATTTATGATTCCATTTGTTCACTGGTTGTTTGATACCCATCTATTACCTGACATTCCACGAAGGCTACAATAGCGTCTCTGCTGACGTTGGAGACTTTGTCTGGATCTATCGGTCCTTCCAAGGTCAGGACACCCAGGCCAGTGTGCTTATATCCCATTTGCTCAAACATTAATTCCGCGCCTATCAAATTCGCCTCCACTTCGTGCTTGTAGTAACCGCTGTACGTCTAAATTAAATCAAATTTGCATACATAAAATTTGTGTACATATTAAATCATGCATATTTCAAATATATACAATAAAATATTGACAAATTCTTAATAATCTTATTTATTTTGATTTTAATTGTAATTTTTAATGACATCAGTTTGTTAAAGAGAAATAAAATATAAAATATAATATGAAACAAATATAATATAAATATATATAAATATAATATAAAATGTAAAATATGTGTGATATAATAGGATAAAATAAAATATAATTAGATATAAAAATATAAGAAGGTAAAAAGTAAAAATGCAAGATGTAAGTCATCTTAAGCTGCAAAATGAGGCTCGAATAAAATAATAGTAACGACAGCATATTTTTGACAGCTGATTACCCTCACTGTCCTGTATTCTTTTCGCCAAGGCTGTGCCAAGAGATTAGCCGCATACAAGGAAATTGCACTCCAAGCAGTTGCTGCTCTGTATCCACTGAAATCTGTCACCGTCGCTGCTGATCTGTGCAAAATATTTGCTGTCTCTTGAAATACATATTTATTCTCGTTGGGTACCAGACAAAGGTATTCCTTTATAAAGCCTAAAAAATTTATATATACACTATTGAATATCAGAATATACAAAAATATACATATATAGAAATTGATGGTTACATAAGATGATATAGATTACCTTCCAATTTGTGTCGTTGTTGCAGCTTCAATGGACTGTCATCCGTTTGCAAATACACTAAATGACTCTGCTCCAATTTCATACTAATCTCTTGTAGCCTATCTTTACCCCTGATTATCACATCATTTGCCATTTTTGTCCCTGCAATTATAACATTATTAATATAACAACGGGTCAATAAGAAGTAAAAAAATTCTTGCAACTCTGTGTACAGCTTCAACACAAGTGGTTCCTTTAATCTTCATACATATAATTGTGAAAAAAAAATTGAAAGATATTAGTTCTAAGTGTTTTAATGTTTCAAAGAAGCTGACAGTTAACTGAAATATATATGTCGTAATATAACAGTGAGTCAATAAAAAGTTGTAAATTCTTGCAACTCTGCATACAGCCAACACAAGTGGTTCCTTTAATGTTTATACATACAATTGTGAAAAACAATTGTAAGATATTAGTTTGAATGTTTCAGGGAAACTGACAGTTGACTGAAATATATATGTCGTCCAGATGGGAAAATCAGACGCTACAAACCTCCTAGAAATCTGATTTTGGGGCAGATTCCCGATTCAAATCACGTCTAGCTCCAACCTAAAAATAAATCCTATATTTAGTAACGGAATCAAACAGGGTGAAAATGCGGTGAGCTCTTTCGCGATTTTTACTTGTCTTCGCGCGACGTGACTTTCCATGTCCAGATTTGCGCGTCTCGTCGCAGAAATAAACGGGATAAATTATTAAAATACGACGTTACATCTCGCGTTTCGCGTATAAACCGTAAATATTTTTCGCAAAATTTTTCTTTGGTTATGTTCGCGTTTCGTTTAGCCACGAAACGCGAAGATATACTAGACGCGACACCGAATATTTTTTTTCCATGAACTGTCAAAACTCCGCCAAGCGGAAATTATGTGAAACTTGGACGCGAAAACTTTGAAAATAAATTTAAGATAAGAGAGAAAAAACTGAAATATAAAAAAATTTAAGTAATATAATTTAAACTAAAATAATATAAAAACAATTTAATCTATATTGACACATAACAGAGAAAAATAAGATAGTACTTGAAGTTTATTTATATTTTCAGAAATTTATTTATTTTTATTTTTTTTCAGTGATCCTGAATAAGTATAATAAATAATATATAAGACAATGTATGGTGTAATTTAATCATAGGGATCCTAGGTAGCAAGCATACGTCATTTTTTACGTTTAACGACGTCAGTTTACTACTTGGGATTTGAAAAGTAAATATATTGTGCAATAAAATTAAAAATAAAATATAGAAACAAAAAAAGTAATAATTTTAAAGAAATATATAATTAAGGTGTTTCACATAAAGTGTGATAAGTTAATATCTTTAGTAATGGCAGAGAAAACAGCTTGTAACACTTTATGTGAGACACTATAAAAATATAATTATAATTATTATAAAGATTAATTATCATAAATATTAGTTTAGATTAATGGATATTGTTTAATGTTCAAGAATTAGAAATATTTATTAATATTTCTTTCATGAATGCAAATTATAACTATATATATTCAATAATCGCATATTCGATAATATGGATTTTATATATATATATATATATATATATATATATATGATATATTTGACATTCATTATAAAGATTCACACAAATTTATTTTATTTTATAACAAGATAAATGCTTTGTTATACAAACTCAAAATGATGATAATTTATTTTATTGCACACATATTTTCTGTCTTATAAATTTCGTTTTTTTCTGAATAATTTTTATAAAAAAAAATTTTCTGTATAAATCATCACACAGAGATTATTGTTTACAATTACTGTATGACACTAATTCAAATATCTAACATGAGTGAACTGATGTAAATTAAAAATATATCACAAACAAAATTGTATATATATACATAATGATGGCTTTGTATACATCTACAGTTGATAAAAGCCATATAAAACAAAAATATATACATATAAATTTCTTAAAAAATATTATCGAAAATGGTATATTCTTTACTTTCCATTTCGTAAATTTAATAAATGTAATAGTTTCGAACGAGAAACATATCTGTCTGCGAATAATTGATGTAGACCATATATAAATGTTGATTATTTAAGAATATATATATATATATATATATGAAAAATGTGCAACATATCTTAGAGACTGTTATTCAGATCAAGACGTGGCCTTTTACTGCGCACTGTTGATGCATCATCCTGGGAATCACCATTGGTGGACAAGAATTCTCTTTTTCTGTCTATGCTCTAAAAAGTTTCATACTCAATTAAAAATATTTAAAAAATTTAACAATCAAATCGTAAAATAAAGATGATCAGCAGTTTACATATAATAAATATTAATAAATAGTAATATTGTAATTACATTATTAAACATGTCGAATAAGGCACTTTATTAAATCTCTGTAAATGTTACTATATTAATAATAATAAATATCTATATTTTAACAATATTCATGATATCTAGTCAATTTATATTCATTATATAATTTAATTTGTTTTATTTACCTTCTTATCCCATTGTTGATGGAGGTACCTCAATAAAATGGTGGTTTTCTCAGTAACTATGACTGAACAAATATAACATAATTAATTATGCATAGACATTCAGAATCATATATTATGCACAATTACAATATGTGCCCATACTTTGTTCTGAAGGATAATCCTTAGTCGGAAGATAAACTGATGGTCTCTTGACACAGGTCCTATTTCCATTATCGGTGTGAAAATTGGCAAAGTTATTTTCGTCATGCGATGGGAGACCCTTCAGGAACTCAGCAACAGACTGCAAACAGATTTTAATAAGCAAAGTATAAAAGTAACACAGCATCATATGACTTGTACATCCATAAAAAATATAATAAAAAAAAAGTTATCGAGACATTCTAAGAAAGCTTAATAAAGGTTCAGAAATAAATTAAAACATTTGCTATTTATATGAATGTAAACATGTTTCCTCAAGTGTCAAGTGTGGTATATATGTATAATCTTTTGAAATCAACAAGAAAATTCAACCAACAATCTTTACATCTCTTACCATATTGTAAATTTATTTGTTGACGATAGGATTCGAGGATTGTCTACTTGTTAAAAAAAAAAAAAAAACTTTTAGGCGACCAAACTGAAAAAGGCTGTCGTTGTATTTGGGTCCAGATAACCTGAGATCACCATAGAATATTTCATGGAATGAGAGGAGCCTTCGCGAAAACTGCTTTTGCAAGACACGAAATGACAAAGATAAAATGAAGGTTATGCAATATTCGACCAATTTCTCTTCTTCCTTTTACATATATATGTTTAAACAAATTTATATATCTAATTATTAATTTTATTTAATAAATATTTGCTCTATTTTATTTATTATACTCAGATTGATTTCTGCAGTATCGATCGACCAAATGACTTCTTCGTTCCACCTTCATCTGACAGATGTCAGCGCGCGAACTGTCAAACTGTGAAATCGCGTTTGTTGACATAAGCAGCATTTGTCAAAAATTAATATAAATACTTGATAAATATCTGAGAAGACAGAAATCAGATGAGGCCATTTAGATCTAAATAAAAAATGTCAAAAAACCCAAATTAATTGGCATTAAATAACTGCGCGAACTGTCAAATCGCGTTTGTTGACATAACATAGCACAGCATTTGTCAAAAATAATAAGACATTCTTGATGAATATCTAAGAAGACAGAAATCAGATGAGGCCACTTAGACCTAAGTAAAAAGAAGATCAAAAAATCCAAGCTAATTGGTATTAAATAACTTCATTAAAAAAAAAGAAGAAAAAAGTCATGTGTGATTTCCATATTTACCTTATTCTTCTATCTCGCATGATTAAAGAAGAGTCTCATGCAACAATGAAGCTAGAGGAAATGAAGAAGACATACTTATAATAATATAATTATTATACTTATAATAATATAATTTATAGTTACGCACACTTCTATGATGCACAGCTGGAATAAATTGATTAAAACTGATAACAGTTACAGATATGAACCTAGAGCCAGTGTCAAGAAGCAACATTGCACAGGCAGACTCAGCTTTACTCAAATATCCTTTGATCATGAGGAAGAATGCCTGATTGCAGTGGATACTAAAGGATACCTGCACTATGTGGACTTATCCGATGAAGTTCCATGCTGTCAAGTACTCGGGAAGGTCGAGCAGGCCACATTTCTGTCATTCAATCCCATATGCAAGGTAGAGATACTGATCGGACTCAACAACGGTGATATAAAGCTCTGGAAGCTTCACACAGACTTGGACAATGACTTCTATCTGCTGTCTGGTCATAGATTAGCATCCACCCACATTTCCTTCTATAAGAATTATTCCCTAACTACGTCTCGGAACGAGGTCATCGTATGGGACCTGCGATCCTACAGCAAAGCTCATCAGTTGAAAGTTGGGGTGAAGAATGCCGTCATCAAGAAAGCCGCCTTTTCCAACCTGGGCCACATCGTTGTTCTGTATCTCAATGACACCATGCAGGCCTGGACATTTGGACAACTGCACAAGGATATTAAAATCGATACTAGCTTATTCGGCATGCGTTATATTAAAGATTTTGTCTTCACCAGAGACGCGAGGGCTATGATAATGTCTGGTGCAGGAAACCTCAGCGTCCTTAATACGTACGATTGGAGTTTGCTGAAGAAGCTGCTTCTACCTGAGAACCTCGTCGAGGCCAGACAACTGTCGGTGGTTCCAAGTCCTTTGGACGGTGGAGCAAATAAAATTCTCGCCTTCCTATCCTCGAAATCCACTCTTCAACTTTGCGATATAAACTCCTCAGAGTTCCTGAAGACACCCACCTCCATCAATGGGGTCAAGAAGCTAGTGGTCTCCTCGAATGGCAGATATATAGGCTACATAGACCAGGAGGGTTGCTTAAATATAACTTACGCAGATAAAATAATTTTAAGAAAGCATCAACAGCTGAAGAAGCCATCGGAGCCACCTAGACTACAGGCGCACAGGATCAGCGATCATCTGGAGTGCGTTAAACAGAGGATAAAACAAGAGCTGAATATAGAACGATTGACTTCCATCCTGAAAGAATTCGGAGAATTTCCAGATAAATATCGCACGCTGATTTGGTCCGCTATTCTGAAGCTACCGGCCAATAAAGATGCTTACATCGCTCTGGCGAGTAAAGTAACTCGTGGGAAACTCACATCCAACACCTGGAAGGATCATCCCCTAGCAGACAGAAGCAAAGCCTCTTTGCTGGCCATGACGATGGATTGTTTGTCGCAGTGGTGTCCCCTGCTGATACAGAGTCCCTTTCTTCCCAGCCTGATCTTCCCATTTCTCGTAGTCTTTCAGGTATCTTCTTTCCACCTTGAAAATACAAATACAAAAATCTTTATACTAGTTAATAGAGTATTTAATTTATTAAAATTAATTACTTTCTTAATACTCTCTGTTAATACTCTTATTCTTGTTTTAGAAAGATCCCTTGCTCGCCTTCGAACTGGTTTTGAGTATATTGCTGAATTACTGTCAGAAGTGGTTCGAATACCATCCATTGCCACCGTTGAATGTTTTGGGAATCGTTGAAAATATTCTTCTGGAGGCAGATCCTGCACTGCTGAATATCTTCTGTGAAAATGGAGTCACCAGCAGCGAATACGCTTGGCCCTTATTAAGGACTGCTATGAGCGAGGTGTTATCAGGCGACGAGTGGCTGATTTTGTGGGACCACCTGATAGCTTCTCAGAGACCCTCTCTCCTGCTGATGTGCGTCGTTGCTTACAACGTTTACTCGAGAGAGAATATAATCTCCTTAATAAGGTCGCGTTCTGGGAATGTCCAGACGTTTTACAGCACTCAAAGTCACGTCAGGACCAAGGATTTACTGAGGATCGCGAGGAGATTGGATCGGGAAACAGAGGAACGAGTGCATCCTAATCGTTATCTGAGGTATTACCATGAGTTTGCTCTTTATTGCTGTACTGGTGAACTAGTGTACATTGGTGCAGTAAGTTAAAATGAAACAAAATATATTTGTCTCACTTTAACTTATTGTATTAATGTTTAAAATTTATCACAGGGATGAACTGTTGCAATTAAATCACGTCGGGCCTTATCTCGAGTTTATAAAGACAGAATATCCAAAGTTCCTCGTCGAGAATCTCAACATCGCGGACTTGAGGAAATTGAAAACGCAAGAACATTTGCAAGAGCGTAATCGTAAGATTGCGGAACTTGAAAGAAAAAGATTACATGCAGAGGCCAAAGCTTTTGCGAAGCAAACTCATGAAAGAAGATTAAATGGTATACAATCAAATTTCTGTATATTTTTCTCTTTAATTTCTATTTCTTTTTGATTAACATCTTCTCAGTCTTTGATCTTGATAGCGAATTTAATTTTAGTTTATATAATTTATTTTATATACAAAAATATTATATTTAATTTATATAAAATATTTATTATAATTATATAATTTAATAATAAAAATAATTATATTAGATTAATAATATTATTATTTTATATATATATATATTATATATATTATATTATATTATTAATAATAATTATTATTATATTTATACTTAATAATAATGATAATTATATTTCATATAATTATTTTATATATAATTATAAATATAGAAAGAAATAATTAATCGCGATTGCTTTTCATTTCAGAGGTGCAAAAATGCTTTCAAGAGTACATTAATTTAAATGGGAATTTCGAGAAATTTCTACCAAATGTAGGAAGAGGAAAGTGTCATTCGTACAAAGATATCGAAAATTTGCAATTAAAAAAGATACAAGAATGTAATAAATGCAAGATTACGAAAGATGGACTCTCGAATTTTGAAGACAGCAAATCGAAGAATTGCGAAAAATTGCAGCAAGATGTAACAAAACTCGAATATGAAGTACAAAGTTTTCTAGATTCATTGAGATCTCGTAGATCAGCAATTAGTTAGAACTAATTTTTTTATAATGGAAAATTTAATCTCATTAAATATAGGTAAAATAAAGCAATATCTTAATATATAAAAATCATTACGAAATATATAAATAATATTGCATTTCAATTGTACATATGTATTTTTTCAAATTATATATACACTTTTTACAATTTTATCTTTCTATATTTGTGCGTTTTTCTTTTTTTTACATTTCTATATAAAATATAAAAATACTTTTTTGTACATGTACATAAATATATATATTTATGTAATAAAAAAATATCTTCCTCATCAATTTTTGTAAATACTCGTAGCAAAGATATATGAGGTAATACATTATTATATTTATGCTCGATTTTTGTACTTACAAATATTGTGTGATAATTATCGTTTTAATCGTAATTTATGAAGGAGTAAACAGGAACTCCGAGTTTATCTCGGCCTTTCAATGAAGTCAATTCCATTATCACTAAGCATTCAACTACATCAGCTCCTGCTGATTTTACTAACTCCACAGCAGCAGCCATGGTACCTGTGAAAAATATTTTTTATTTTTATTTATAATGTTACATATTTGAACATATTATAATGATGGCAAAAAGTTCCGTAATGATCAAACATCTTAGAAAATAATGACTATGTAAGAAAATATTAAATACAAAACTTTTTAGAAAATCAATTGGTCTATTATGTGGTTACATTGTTACGACCTTTATGTGACCTTGAAAGACTCCATAAAAGTCAATTTTACAATTTTACTGGTTATGAACAAGTTTTAATTGAGATCTTGAGTTATAATTAAAACATTATTCCTTTCTTATATTACCTCCAGTTGCCAGTAAATCGTCAACAATGAGCACTCTGGTTCCCTTGTTAATGAAGTCTGTTTGCAATTCGAATGTGGCCTGCGATAAATAAGAATAAAATTGATTTATCTACATTGTAAATAAAATTTTTGAACAATCAAGAATTGTGTAAAAATGTTCAAACATACTTCGCCATACTCCAATGCATATTTCTGTTGAGTGACCTTGCCTGGAAGCTTTCCTTTCTTCCTAATGGGCAAGAATGGTTTGCCCAATTCCATGCAGATCATAGGACCGAAGAGAAAGCCACGGGAATCCAGTCCTACAACCAAATCGATCTCAAGAAATAAAATATGTTCCACTATTAAGTCTTTCATCGCTCTCAATGCTGTAATATTATGAAACACACCAAATATGTCTCTGAAAATGAGTGATTTACATAAATTTACATTACATCAAATAAATACAATAATTGCATACAATAAATGTAAAACTTATTTAATTAATTAAATTCAATTAATTAATTAAACTTAATTAAAATATTAATCTCCATCTTTTTAAGACTTCTTTCTTTTACTTTTTTCGACTGACTCACCGGAAAATAATTCCTGGCTCAGGAAAATCGGGATAACTCTTTATAGCGTTCTTTAATATTTGCAATTTATGATTCTTGTCCATCGTGATATGTGTAATTGTACTTTTTTTTTAATAATAATTTACAGCGATGAAATATTAGCAACGAAACGGAATGTATTGAAATGTCGAAACGACAATTTAATGACAATTAATTGACTAATGTTAGATATATTTTCTACTTAAAATTTAGAATTTATTATTTATATCTTCAAATATTTACAAAATTCAATGTCAACTCAATTCCATTATATAAGACACGTGAAATTTAATTGATTTCAATAAAAAATGTAGGGTTATGAAATGTTAAGAATGCAAAGCTGCTATATCAATTTTTGGTAAATTTTATTTTTCAATAAATCTCCGTAAGATGGCGCTAGTGTATTAATCTTTTTGAATTCACCGCGCAAAATTTTGCAGACAACTTCATTCCAATCAGTTGATTGAGATCAACTCAGATCTGAGTTTTGATGTAAATGGAAAGCAATTATATTGTTGTGTAATTTCGTTATCTAAATGGCGATTTCATTATTCTAGCCGAGACACAGCAGGTAATACGTATAAAAAATATATTTCTACATTAATAATTTATATGAAATTTATTCAAGACACCAGATATGTTAAAGAATTTATTTATGTTAATCATTTCTCCATATGTGAGACGATATGTCCATGTGTGTGTCTGTCATATATAAATATATATATATATATATATATATAATATTATGTATAATACATCTGTATATGGTGTCTGTCAAGATTTTTAATAACAAAAACGATGAAATACTTGCTATATATATATATATATACACAGGGTGTCCCATCAAAAGTGGCCATCTTCTTTTATCTTTGAAACTAAAAGAGATAGACCATAAAAATGATATATGAAATTAAATGGCTCAAACTGAACTTTTCTCTTTTAGTTTCAAAGATAAAAGGGGGTGCCCACTTTTGATGGGACACCCTGTATATATATAGTAATTATATATTATATATAAAATAATACTATATTATTTTACAACAACGTGTATTAAAAAAAAACGATTAGCAAGAGACATATTTACAGCATATATGTAAAACACGCAACAGAATTAGTGCATATTACATACATAATATATTATATACAGTGTTGTGCTTAGATGATTTTAAAATATTAGCTAGATAAAAATGAGATGAAAATATGTAAATTCATCTTAGATAAGATGATTTTGTTTTAAATATATCTAGATAAAGTTATACACATATATAGCGATTCATCTAAATATATATATATAATTTCCAGATAATAATATTTAAGACCGCTTATGTAAACATGGTTATAAAAAAATGTAAATTTATAAATAAATTTATAAATTTATAAAAGAGATATAAAAATATATTCATATTTTAATAAGTTATATAAGTTTTTATCACTTTTAATATACTTAAGTTCTACTATACTTAAGTATATTTTTATGCTATGACTCTAAACCAAATTTGAATATTATTCTAGATATAATTATTAATTTTAGTAAAGATAACACTTTGTTTCTTCTAAGATGCAGATATATAGATAACACAGATTTTTATTATCTACATATAAAAATAAGATGACGCCAAAAACCATATCTAAATAATCATTTATATAATTTTATTTAGATAACAGCAAACACTGATTATATATATATGTATATATAATATATATTACAAAGTGGGATGTTCCTCTTCCCACCCCCTCCTCCTACTTCTTGTTAAATTTGTGTAAAAATATTGAAATATATAAAATCTATTGCGTAGATAATTTCATTTTGTTTTTCTGAGATTGATTGATCGAGAAACATATTTTCAATCTGAGATAGACATTATTTTTTATAAACATTCTTATATGTAAATTGGGAATTTAAAAATTCGGAAATGTCAATAATTAAAAATTTAGAATTTTCAAATTCGAAAATGTATTTGTATATTTTGAATTTTTATTCCGAATTATTAAATTTTATATATATATATAATATAATTTTTTATCTTTCAATTTAAAAATTTGGAATAAAAATTTGAAATATATGTATATACATATATACATACAATATATATATATATAATATACATCTCAAGAAGCAAACTGACGTCATTAAACGTCAAAACGTTTGCTACCTGGAATATATTTGTTATTATTATAATATATAATATATATATATATATATATATATATATATATTTTTTTTTTTCAAATTTTTGTATTCTAAATTTTTAATTTTACAATGTTTTCTTTATAGATATTTATCGACGATATCCTGGTTAAACCTTCGTCGTGGCCAGAAGCTTGATATAATGCGCCTTGTGGGTGATCTCGAATTCCTGAGCCGGCAGGAAGCACTGCGCCGGGATCCTGGGATGCCGCAGCCGCTTAACGAGGCTCCTACCAAGAACGGCGAGGACGATGAGGAAGACGCCGGTGACTGCGACGACGGCCATCGCCACGAACACCTCTGCATTCTGTCTACCATAGCTGTGCTCCACCACGTCGACGCAGCGAAACCTCTCGCGATCGTCCACCAAGTCGCCGGACGAAGCGACGAAGGTCACGTTGGCGAGCTCGTCCAAGGTGGCGCACACCCTGTAGTAACTCGGCCACGAGACCTGCACGTCGGCGATGAAGGCGCGGCTGCAATTGAGCCTCTGCCGATGAATCGCGGATATCGCGTCAAACACGACGACCGACAGCTGACAGGAGGCTGCGATAGCCGTCTCCTTTGTCCTGGAAAGAACCACGTCTACGTGTAGGTATCCCTTGTCGGATACGTTCACGTGGACGCCGGTGATCCGCGGATAAGAGTCCAGGGGCGACTGCGTCGAGGATACCGAGGGACGATGATGATCTTCTTCGCTCGACGCGTGCTCTTCTGCAGCTATCTTCCGCCTCTTCAGAGTCTCCTCCAGGACGAGGATGTCGCTGCAGCCTAGACCTAAGGACATGTCGTCGTAAGTCGTGGGTATCAGCAGGACCAGGCAGTAACGATACTTGTGGCCTAATTTCAGGTGCACGGAGGCCGGGATGGCGACCGGCAGGGTGCATGGATCTCGCATCATCCTGGAGTCGCAGTGCAACGGGCTGGAGTCCGTCCGGATCTCGCTGTCGTCGACGGTCTCGTAAACGATGAGCGAGTCGCAGGTGTAATGCTCGGTGCACTGCTCCAAGTGCCAGAGCAGGTTGATGCCGGTCGACTCGTCGTAACGGAACTCCTTGAGACTCAGCTGGTCCCCGCCAGGGGCACCCGGGTCATTATGGGCGGCGTGGGTTCGCCGCAGAGCAGACTGCCGGGCGGTACCTGAGTCAGGACCCCGTTCTCCAGAGCGGGAGGGGTCGCGCAGACCGCCGACGACTTGTCCTCCTCCATCAGGCTGGAGTTGGTGAGCCAGTTGGCAAACTCCAGCAGGGTGCAGTCGCAGTTCAGCGGGTTGTCCGCGAGGGAGAGCCGCTTCAGACGCAGCTTCGACGTCGGCACGTCGCTCGCCACGATCGTGATCTCGTTGTCATCGAGCCGTAAGTCCTGGAGACTCTTCAGCGGCACCACCAGATCGGCCGTCAACGCTCGCAAGAAGTTGTGCGTCAGATCCAGGGTGACAAGCTTCTCCAGATGCGCCAAGGAGGCGCTGGATACCGCGACGATGCGATTGTTCGCCAGATCCAACCGCGTCAGGGTCGATAGGTATTTGAACGAATGATCCTCCAGCACATCGATCTGCAAATTACACCCGACAATTTAGTTTAAAATACGAAAATCATTGTTTTTCTTTAATGTCAAGCAAAACTGAGGCTTATATAATTAAAAAAAATTTTTGTTTCACCCCAAATAGCAAACTGACGGCATTGGACGTCAAAATGACATTATTTTCTACCCCAAATAGCAAACTGACGACATTTAGACGTCAAAATAATGTCATTTTCTACCCCAAGCAATAAAATGACGTCAAAACTTAAAATTGAAGCTTATGTATAATTTTTAACCAATTTTGTTTCTACCTCAAGTAGCAAACTGACGTCGTTGGACGTCAAAATGACGTCATTTTCTACCCCAAGTAACAAACTGACGTCTAATGACGTTTTGACGTCATTTTATTGCTTGGGGTAGAAAATGACATCATTTTGATGTCCAACGACGTCAGTTTGCTACTTGTGGTAGAAATAAATTTTTAAAAAAATTATATAAGCTTCAATTTTTACGTCATTAGACGCCAGTTTGTTACTTGGGGTAAAAACAAAAATTTTTTTAAATTATATAAGCTTCAGTTTTGAGTTTTGAATGACGTCGAATTTGAATGAGATTCGACGTCAAACTGACGTACGCTTGCTATACTTGGGACCGTTTTAAACAAAATCTAATTTTCTGCTGAAACTTTTCAGCGAACACTTACCTGATTGTGACTTAGGCTGAGATAAGTGAGATTCTTGAGACCCATGAGAGCACCCTGCTGAACGTTGACGAGACTGTTCTCCGATACAGTGAGGAAGTGCAGTCTGGGCATTTGCGGCAGCAGATTGGGACTCATCGGACCCAGTAGTAAATTGCTTGACAGATCCAGTTCCTCCAGACGTTTCAGACCTCTCAGAGCGGATAGCGCGGAGACGCTTAGACGGTTTCCGCACATTCTCAACGAACGCAGCACCGGCAACGCCAGGAAGACTTGCGGCGACAATTGCGACAGTAGATTGTTGCACAAGTCCAGATAAGTCAGACTCGACAAACCCTGAAATCGTAAGAGAATTGTGTATTTTGCTGAACACTTTAATATATGTAAATTGTTGATCAGAATTAATCGTACTTTGAACGAGTCCGCCTCTAACGTCTTCAACTTGTTGTGGGACAGGTCCAGGCGATCCAGACCGACCAGATGCGCTAGCGCCGTCGTGGGAACCGAGTCCAGGAGATTGTTGGGCAGTCCAAGAGCCTGCAACGGCCTCGCCAACGCCGTGAACGCGTTTTCGTGGACGCGTTTCAGCTCGCCGGTGGAGACGACTAGGCCGTGAAGGGCGACGCCTTCGAAGAAGCGCGCCGGCAACACGGAGATCCCTGTCACGGTCACGTCCAGCAGCGATATCGTGTCTGGTCGACTACGTTTCAAGTGCTCACTAATGATCTATGATGAGAAAAAAATCACGGTAGAGACACGTTAGGAACAAATCTTATTTATCTTTCTTTCTCTCTATCTGGCGTTTATTTCAAAATTTACACAGATTATAAATAATTACCACACATATTCTAATATATATTATATTTATATGTTTTAATTATATATTGATATTTTAGTAAATTAATACTTGAAATTATTATATTGTTAGTATTATTATAGATTGATTAATATTGATTATAAATATTTAATATACATATAATACATATATAATTTTTCTTATAACTATTTTATTTTATTTCTTTTTCTATGATCTAAAAAATATCGCATTAATTATTTTCGAAAGAAGATTTAACGAGAAGATATATAACATTTCTCCATTTATAAATTCTCGATTTTAATTTATGTATATTTTAAATATTTATAATTAATAATTTAATCACAATATTAATCAATATATAATAATATTAACAATATATAATATATAGAATAATTTCAATTATCAATTTAACAAAATTTAAATATATAATTAAAATATGTAAATAGAATATATTAATATATAATATATATTAAAATATATAATATAAATATATGCATATTTAAAAATATTGTATTTTAATATAATATTGATTAAGAGAAGAAAGAATTTTTTATTACGAATGCAAGCGATATTTGTTATTTCGACTAAAAATAATTGAAAATTTTCTTGGGCGGCGAAAAACTATAGCAAAAGAGCAAGAGCGATCGAGCAATTTCGACAAAGAGAGAAAGATGAGAATGAGAGAGGAAAAAAGAAGTGAGCACAATGGACTCTTGAATAATATATGTATACGACTTGTATTTCATTGGCAGTCTATACCACCCACGTTCTTCTTGACCGTTGCTTAAAAAGTAACGACCTCGATTGCGCTGCGAAGCGTAACATCAGAGAGATTGAGCTTATGTCTCTCATTCCGAGATGTCTTTCGAAATTTTCCTCAAGGAAAAATCATGTAATTTCAACTTCAAATAAGTTACTACACTTCACGTTCGCTGTTCAAGTTAAAAATTTTCAAGCCGTTTTTATCATTGAAGAGCTAGAAATTTTCGAAAACGATTAATTCTTTTTTTTGCAATATTTTTATTATATATTTATTTTAATTTATATTATATTTAGAATATATTTTATATTTATATTTATTACATTTATATATAAATTTTATAATATCTATATTATATTTTTATTTATATTATGCAATATTATTATATATTTTTAAGAAATCAACTTTTCAAGTTGAAAAATAATTAAGAAAGTCAATATTAATTATTAATATTTAAATCGACAGATTGAAACTTATTTTAATTTGTATATTAAAATTTAAAAAAATTAGCCTTTCAAATAAAGTTTATTATTCAGAGATTATACTTCAATTTTACTTGAAAGGTTGATTTTTAAATATTTAAATATACAAAAATTAAAATAATCTTTAATCTTGAATATAAGAAATTTGAAAAATTTGAATATAAAAATTAAATTAATTCTTAATCTTTTAATCTAAATTAATATTATTTTATTCAATGAGACATTGATTAATTTTGCGCAATTACCTGCAGGGCCGTTCGATCCCCGGTGCATCTCAGCGTGTGTGGAAAGTCGCAGGAACATTCCACGCCTGCTTTTGTAATATTCGGACACTCCCAGGCTGCGTCAGAAGGAGAAGAAGACGAGGATGACGGCGATGTATTTTCTTCGATTGCGGCGATTGTCATCGTTGTTCCGGAAGTACTCGTCAACGTAGACGTCTCCGTCGTCGTCGTCGTCGTGGTGTTGTTCTCCGTCACCTCGAGACATGACGCCGTCATCATCAACGTTAAGACGAGCAGGTTTTGAAATGGCTTCGGCATCCTGGAGAAAAAAGGACATGTTTAATAAATATTAAATATGTCGTATCTGCAATATTTTTTATCGTACGAAAGATACACGGAGAGAATTTTTCGTTATACTTTACTGCAAAATTTATTACAAATTTTATTATGCTTATTAATTATTACATTATTGCATTGTAAAATTTATATAAAATATTTTATATATTATCATCACTTTTTTGGCATCTATATTTAAAATACTAAAATATTGAAATTTACTATACATATATATATATATTATGTATATATTTTGATAAAATTAAGCAAACATATTTTTATATATCTTATTGTGATAGATATTAATATTTTTATTGTGATAAATTTTAAGAGTAAATTCTCTCCGTGTACTTTTTTCTGTACGAACAATATTGCTGCAAAGTATATAATTTCAATAAAGATTTCGATTTTGTTTTCGGCTGACGCGCGCAAATTCATTATTCTTAAACGCCAATCGCTGATAACCACAGTTTTGAATTGACAAATTCGAAATTGCGAGTGTAAATTTGTTTCATTATCTTATATCTGTCTAAAAACGTACGTCTAATTTCGGGATGTCTCACGTTTATTATACAGAATTATGGCTCGTCACGAGAAGCGATTTAGAAAAGATGCTGGAGCTCGAACGAAAGTTGCAGCATACGCCACTAAAGAAAAAAGCGGTTTTTAAATTCTGCGTTATCTACATATCTGAAGTACGTGTTGAATAATATATATTGATACTTTTTAAAAGCATCGCGTGTGCAGCAGCTGTATAATAAAAATGTTAAATATTGAGATTTAAATATTACATGCACTAAACATCGACAATTTCTCCTTTTCACTATAAATTATATATATTTAATATATATATATATTATACGATATACATTAATATAAACTGTTATATATTTATCATTGATATAAATTATATTTATTTTAATAATTATTACTTATTTTTATAATTATATTTATTTATATTAATTAATGTTATATTTAATTTATATTAATAATGAATATTAATTATATTAATTAATATACAGATATCGTAATATCGTAAGAAGACTCATCATGTGTTATGATCAAATGGTGCACACGCAAAAACGGGAGTTAATCAAACAAATGTTGGACTGTGCTATCGGACGAATGCTAGAATATAAAAAGGAAATCGTCAAACTGGATAACAGTGACTACCAGTACGTTGTTCTTTTTTGTTTAATACAATTTAAAAAATTATTTTTATAATAAAGTATATTTTTTTAAATTTTAACTAAAGTATAGAGATATTTAATTCTCGTTTTAAATTGCGATTTTTTATATTGGACATTTTAATCATTTTTATTAATTTTTTATTATATATTTATATATTTTATAATATATAATATATATATATATATAAATAGTATATATATTTATATATATTTTATAATATTTATATATTTTTTTTAATTGGACATTTGACTATAATTTTTATTCAAATATAAAAATTAACAAAAAAAATTAAATATCTTTATACTGCAATTTAAAAATGCTTACAGATGGCTCGACGATATTCTAAATCGCATGAAATTCACCCCGGATGATATCGAGCTATTTGCATCAGTATCAGGCAGAGGACGCGTTGAGGAACGCAGGAAGTTTATTCAGGAATTAGTGGAAAGCGCTTATAAACGTAGGCGAAAGAAACTACCTTATTAATTAATAAGAAAATCATATCAGGAAACAAATGTGCATGTTCACAAAATTAATTATATAATAACTTATATAAATTTATAAATTGTAAATGTTATATTAATATATTAATATTATCCAGGTAGCAAGCATACGTCATTTTAACGTTTAATGACGTCAGTTTGCTACTTGAGTGCAATGTAATATAATATATATTTATTATATTATAATATATAAATTAAATAAATAAATATATATATAAATTAATTTACATATATATATATATATATATATATATATATAAATTATAAATTTTTAAAAATATTAAAGTATTAGCTATAATTACTATTAAAAAAATTATATATATATACAATCTTTTATTTTATAATTATCTAGCACCACCAATGCGAGAACGCAGCCTCTCACAGCTACATATCGAAAGTATGACCGAACTGGGTGAAGAGATTTCGAGGACTCGCATCGCGCGAAGGAGACTGCGTGTTGTTCCTTCAAAGGTGGAAATAATCCGTGAATCTCCCGAGGAAAAAGCCGCACGGGAAGCTAAACTCGCTGCCAAAAAAGCCATATACGACGCGATATTGCTGATACAGAATCACGAAAGAGCCAGGACGGGACGTTGCACCGGAGAGGACGGTATATTTAAATAAATAAAAAAAAGATAAAGATAAAATTTCTTAAACACAGAATAATTTGTGTAAAAAAAATTATTTTTTAAATTATTATAATTTTATATTATATTTTTCTTATAAATTTATATCATATATACTTTTATAAATTTTATATTTAAAATTTTTAATTTTTATTTATACATTTATATTATAATTTTAATTATTATCCTAATATTTTAACAAAGACACAATATTAGGATAATAATTAAAATTATAATATAAATGTATAAATAAAAATTTAAAATTAATAAATTAAAAATTATTCAAATATATCATTCATCGGTTCTCCTTGTACGTAAAATTATTAATAATGTTAGAAATAATTTTTACAGTAAAACGTTTATACGATTACAACAAGAAGGTAGCGGACGGATGGATAGTGCCGAAAAAAATAGAGCGCACCAGGTATGTCAGGTCGGCGATAACGATACAACGCGCTTGGCGACGTTACGCCGCGAGAAAAGCCACGAGAAGACGAATCGCGCGTCTCGAGGAAGCTCTAGGTATGACGATACCCAGCTGGAGGTTTCGCAAAACGATCGCAGCGGATGAGGAGAATTTTCAGCGACGACGTGCCCTGATGCCCATATTCGAGGCACACACCCAAAAGACCATCAGCGACGAACGGACGAGGGTAAATTTGATTTAAAAAATATTCTAATGAAAAAAAATAGAAGAAATAAAGAGAAACATAAGTTTTGAAGAAGAGAAAATGATTAAGAAATAATTTTTATTTTAAATAATTTAAATAAAATTTATATCATTTACCCAAGTAACAAACTAACGTCATTAAATTTCATTTTGACATCTAATGACATCATTCGATGTCAAAATGACATACACTTGCTATCTGAGTGAATAATTTAAATAATTAATTAATAATTATTATAATAATATTAATAATAATAATAATAATAATAATAATAATAATAAATTAATAATAATTAAATAATAATAAGAATAATAAGTAGTATTAATTAATAATAATAATAATTATAAATAATAAATGTAAATAATTAAAATAAAACGATGAAATAAATTTTAAACGCTGTTAATGTTTAAAAGCTGCTGAGAATCCGAGGCCCGGACTGATGGAGGACATCACCGATGAGATTCACGAGTGGTTCGTCATCTGGTACGATACGTTAGGCCACTACGACGTATTTCCGGCAGCGGACGTCGGCGGCAGCGTGTTGATCGCGACCGGACAGACCTCGACGCCGCAGGAATACCTGATGGGAAAATTGGAGAAGGAAAAACAAGCCAAGATGAAGCGGCAGCGCCGAAGGTTTGGGCCGGTGACACCGGCGCTCAAAATTGAACCCGTCAAACCCGAAGCTCCTCAAGGCTGGAGGATGCGGCGAACAAACGCTCTGTCCTGTCTGGAGGAGGCGAACGAGGATTTTATCCGAAATTGGAGTCTGCGCGACGAAAGCGACAATCCGGAGCAGGAGGAGTACCTGGATCTAATTACCGAGAAGCTTTGCCACGAGTTGCAACTGGAAATGAGGGAGATCGTGGACGAGCTGATGAGGGCCGAACTGGAATTGCTGAATAAGGCTTTGCTGAAGGATCGCGCGCGAGATAAAGAGAAATTCGAGATTCCGAAGACGTATAAAGGTCAATCGATATAGGGTCGAAATTAATAATCAACAGTCTCTGACGTTCTTAATGAAGTTAAAATTTGAATTATATACATTTTTAAAAATTAAAAAAATTTTTTTAAATTTTATTTTCATACATTATAACAAATAAATATAAAGTTATTAATTTTTATAAAAATCCAATAATTATTAAGTCATATGAGTAAATAAAGAAATAATAGTTGATAATTAAATTAAAAATAATAAAATTTTTAATAAATAAATTATATAATATAATTAAATTAATATTTAAAAGTAATGAATAAAAAATTATTGAAATAAATTTAAATAAGTAAATAATAATTTTTTATCAATAAACATTATTTATAAAATAAAAAATATAAAAATTAAAATAAATAAGAAATAAATTTTAAAAAATTAATTTATAAATAAAATAGTTGTATCTTTAAAAAATTCAATGTGTAATCAGTCGCAATTGTATTATACTTTTAACAAATTTTAACATATATAACTATATAGCCTTCGAAGTAGCCTAGATATTAAAAAATTTAGATGTTAATTAATTGTTATATGTGATAGATGTTCACAAAACCAGAGCGCCGCCGAAAAAGAGGGACATCTTGGAAGACGAGGCGGTCGAAGATCTGTTCAATGAGCTGTTGCAAGCCAAGATTATCCGAAACTATCGGGTTGTCTTCCTACGCGACTGGCTGGGCGACCTTTCCTATCAGAATTACGAAGCCCGTCGCGATCTTCGAAGCTACAAGCATCGGCTGGGGGAGATCAAGCAGCTCATTTTGGAGTACTGTGTGCTGCCCTTAAGCTCCAAGGAGACCCATCGAATCGCGCCTCTGATACGTTCCGTGTGCATCTACGGATTGCCGGGAGCCGGGAAGACTTCGCTCGCCAATGCGATTTGTTCAGAGGTGAAGCTCTCGAATTTTTTTTTATCATTCTTGTCCAATTGATCTTTATACAATGTTGTGCTTAGATGATTTTAAAATTAGCTAGATAAAGATGAGATAAAAATATGTAAATTGTTAGATAAGATGAAAATGATTTTGTTTTAAATCTAAAAACATAAAATTATATGGCGATTCATCTAGATAATTTTCTAGATAATAATTTTTAAAACTGCTTATGTAAATACAGTTATAAAAAATGTAAATTATAAAAGAGATATAAAAATGTATGTATTCATATTTTTATTTATAAATTTTTATCGGCTACTGCTTCTACTGTTTAAGTATTTTTATATGCTATGATTCTAAATCAAAATTATTTGAAAATTATTCTAGATAATTTAATAAAGATAATACTTTTTTCACCTAAGATGCAGATATAGATAATACATATTTTTATTATCTATATAAAGATAAGATGGCGTCAAAGTTTTATCTAGATAATCATCTATATAATTTTATTTAGATAACAGCAAACACTTATATATTAATAATCTTGGTATTAATAGACTATCATTAAAGGATGATTGCTATTGAATTTGATGAAGATCGGCGAAAGGGTTCATTTTTTATAAAATTTTTAATGATTTTGAATTTTATAAGGAATGTCTGTTATTGCTCTAATTTCCGTAAATTTTAAGATATTTAGATAAATATTTTTTTACATAAATAGACTATTATTAAAGGATGTTTGGTATTGAGTTTGACGATGATTGTTAAAAGGATTAATTTTTTATGAAATTTTGAATTTTTAAGAAATATGCATTTTTTAAATTTCGGAAATTTTGAGATGTCGAGCTTAATTTTTTTTTATATGTATATGAAATTTCCAATTTGCACAATTTTTTTAATTTGGAACATTCTGAATAAAATATCATTAAAGAATGATTAATTTTGAATTTGGTGTGAATTGAAGAATGTGAATTTATTTTAATTGTAAATTTTCGAATTTTTAAATATAATATGAACACGTTAGCATAAAAATATTAAAAAATTTTTTTTATTATTATATATTGTCCAATTGATCTTGAACTAAACCTGAGCTTTTTTCTAGGTCGGGGCATTACTGTTCGACGTGTCACCAACCGTTTTGCTAGGCAAATACGTGGGCAAGGAGAAGCAACAGAGACTTATGAACATGATCGCCAAAGTGGCCCGCGTTTACGCGCCTTCCATCATTTTTCTCGACGCCGGCGAGAGACCCTGGTTGAAGGAAGTTCCGCCGCAAGAACGGCACCTTCAGCCCAAACGGTTCGCCAAGCATTTTGTCAAATTGGTGAGAGGCATCAAGCCAGGAGATCAGGTAGATAAAGTCGAGAATCGAATAAATGAAGAGGATTCTTGGACATCGGAAATGCATTTCGTGTATATATTGTGAGAACTCTCGGCACTCCTAAACTGTGAAGGACTGCGATCGAGCAGCGCCTACTTTATAAAAATTCTTGTTATTCCCGTTTGAGATCTTTCTTCAATATGAATGAACCGCCACCGCCTCCTTCTCCTCGTCGGGTTCATATAAAAACACACACACACATACACCTCTATGGGCTCTCTCTTTCTCTTTTTCCTACGTCATTCGGACCTCTCGTCTCGATCACGAGAAGTGCTCATCAATGAAACACCTACTGGTGTATATACAGAGTGTTCCAAAAATCCTGCAACAGTCGAATATTTCGAAAAGATCTTTTAGAGAAAATATTTCAAGTAAAAGTTGCAGGGCTTTAAGTGGCGCATTAAATATGAATAGCATTTAATAAGGCCATGTAAAATTTATTTTGAAATTTTTAATTGAAAGCCCCATTTTGATGGAACATTTTTGTTAGTTATATTTTTAAGAAAATGTACAACAATTTGCACTATATTTTTTTTTTAAAACAATGCGTTTTCTCTAATTAATTAATTATTTTATGCGTTAGATATTATCGAAGACTAAATGTTTTACAAGATATTTTGTATTTTATTTTTAAAAAATACTGTAAACTCTTCAAGTATTCAAAAAACACCGAATGAAAAAATACTTTGTATTATAGTGTTTTGAAAAGCTCTTAAGATAAGCTATATATGAATATGTAATGGAAAAATAAGGGTTTCCATTAAAAATTTCAAAGTAAATTCTCCAACTTTTATTTGAAATATTTTGTCTCTAAACATCTTTGTTTTCGAGATATTCACTTTTGCAGAACTTTTAGGACACTCTGTATATAGTATATATTAGTATAGCTGTATGAAGACGTAGGTGGCGAACGAGTTAACGTAGGATTTAGAATGTTCCCAACAGATACAGTTATTCACTGGCGTAAATATCTATAAAAGACAGATTGATATTTTTATTTGAAACATTTTTCTTCCGTTTCAATCTTAATTCAGATTTCCAAGAGAAATTAAAATGTAAATCGAGATTTATCTTTTCATGTCTAATGTAAGATATCAAAGAGTAATAAAATACACCTTTGCTCGCAACAAACAAGATAATATAAGACGATATAATTGTCTGTGACACGCAGAAACAGGAATATATATAAAAATATAGCCAGTTTTGCTGTTATCTAAATAAAATTATATAGATGATTATCTAGATAGAATTTTGGCGCCATCTTATCTTTATATAGATAATAAAAATATGTATTATCTATATCTGCATCTTAGATGAAAAAAAATATTATATCTTGATTAATATTAATAATTATCTAGAATAATGTTCAGATTTGGTTTAGAGTCATAACACAAAAATATTTAAGTATTAAGCGATAAAAACTTATTAACTTATTAAAATATAAATATATTTTTATATTTATTTTTTATAATTAACATTTTTTTTATAATTATATTTACATAAGCGATGTTAAATAATATATTATCTGGAAATTATCTAGACGATTGATTCGCTATATATATATATATATATATATATATATATATATATATATAATTTTATCTTTTATGTATATATATATTTAAAAGAAAATCATCTTATCTAAGATGAATTTACATATTTTCATCTCATCTTTATCTGGCTAATTTTTAAAAATTACCTAAACACTGAATATAGCATAAGCGTAGATTATAGCAACAAAACCCTGCTTTACTTTTCTTATTAAACTATTGTGAATTTTTTTCCCGACAGATACTGTTTCTCTCGTTGTCCGAGGAACCGCAAAAAGCCAGCGACGCCTTCATTAATCTACACGACAAATTTATAAGGGTGCCCGCCACCGACTACAACACCCTGTACATGTACTACAAGGATCTGCTGATGAAGTATCACAACGTCGACCGGGACATCGACGTCTCCTGCTTGGCCAGGATGTCCATCGGGATTCCCCTGGACTTTATCCGCCAGGCTGTGGAGAAGGTGCTGTCGCTGCGACGAAGAATCACCCTCAAGTTCAACCCCTTAACTCCGATCGAGATAATGAAGGAGGTGCTGACATACCAATACCCTACAGCGGAGATGGTGGAGGCGCTGGACAAGTTTGAGAAACGCGTTTCACTTGCCAGAGCGAAGAGGAGAAGAGTTCGCGAATGAACAAAGGGAATAAAAATTCTCGCACGATGCAGAAAAGTGTAATCACATATATATATGTATGTAATATTTCTCGTCGAGTTGATGATGAGTCGCATGACTCATCGAGATATACGAATCTAAAATATTTCTATCCCTTTTAATTACATATTTTAATTATTTTTCGATTTAGTGATACAAATATTAAAAATATTTCAAAAAAGTAAAATATTTTATAGCTAAAATATTTTATATATGTTATATATATAAAAAGTATTTCAAAATCCAAATCGAATCTAATAATCAAGTACTTATAAGTTATGGAGTTAATTTATAATAAAAGTAATTTAATATATTTTAATTAAATTTAATAAAGTATTTATTTAAAAAATTAATAGATTTTTAAATTATTTTTTTAATATTTATTTCATTAATCACATTAAATTAAATTAATTATTTAACTTAAATCAACTTTATTCAATTTAATTTTGAAGTTTTAAAATTTTTTAATTTTAAATATTTACTAGTTATATTTGAATTTTAGATTGAACAGTTGCAAGATTCGAAATAGTACTTTCTATCATAAAGAATTGAATCTTTTGTAAGTAGTACTAGAATTCTAAGATAAAAAATGTATTTATGATACTTGCTACACATCCCACTCAAACACCCATTCACCTATCCCCCCACACACATTCACACACATATATGTATAATACATATATCTCATAAAAAACATATACTTAATCCAGATTCTAAAATGTACTTGGAAGTATCTCTCTCGTTTTTCAAGATGCTTATTAGATAGATTTAGACTATTATTAGGGAGTCCGAACCTATCTCTTCCAGGTTCGAGTCTACTTACTTAGTAAAGTAGTGTTTCTTTTCGAAATAATCATAGAGAGTTCGAAACTACCATGCAATCAAATTTGAACCTCCTAATTTAAATGAATTCCATCGCTACATATATTGTAACATTATACAATATGATTGCAGTTAGTGCGTACATACCTATAACGATGTGCGATCTGCGTCAGTCTCGAGCAACCCCTGCACCCTCCCACACCTGACGACCTCGGTTTCAGAGCGGAGGAGGAACCCAGTAGCACCCACGCCAGTCAAATGCCTGCGATAACATCGTGCGATCCGTCCTACGACGACGAAGAGCAGTCCTCGGGAGTTCGGACGTCCCCTGGTATCATGACCTTCCTTCCAGATCCTCCTCTTCAGCCTTATCTTGTTTTCTACCAAGCTCAATCGGATGATGTCGAGGAACCAAAAGGCTTCCAATGTCACTTCTGATATCTTCTTCTTTTATCCCTCGCGGTATCGCCGCATAATTATGATACTTCGGGTCGAGGAAGACTTCAACAGCTGACGATGATCATCGAAGTTGCGCGAGGACGACGTTGATCACCATCGCGCGGGAAGCGAACATCGCCGGCTCTTTCAAGGTGACACGAGCAAACACCAGGGTATCTAGCTACACCAGGATACGACGACGTGCGACATGCGTGTTATTGCGATAGGCACTGCCTGGTGCCGGGATGAAGCATGCTCGGCGACCGCTTCCAGAGAAAACATCGCCTCTGTACCTCGTCCGTGTCGTGTGCGAGTCCATGCGGTGGGGATCGCGACTCCCCCGGTCTCCGTCTCTCTGTGTGTCTCTCGGTTTCCACATAGCATAGCCATGTATGGAACACGGGACGACGTTCTCTCTCCCGGCCCTTACGCCCACTTGCCGCGGACCATAGTCGCGCTCTCACAGCCGGAGCTGGAGCAGGTATATTCGAGCGATTGACGAGAAGAACGATGAAGACAACAGGAAAGTCGTCTTGGGAAGCAAGAAGAAGTTCTAGGAATGTCAAATTTACTTGTTCTAAGTCACTAAACAAAAAGAATTTAGCTAAGCGATTTTGAAACGTCGATGATTGATCGAAGAAGATATGTAATTGAAGCTATGAAGGTATAATTATAAAAAATTTTGCAATTTAATATGCACACATACAGCCTCCTTCTCTTTGTTTTCAATGAGGCATATTTGATAGCTTCGACTTTTCTTCTTTCACAGGATACGATTTTTCTTCTTTTTTTCTTCTACAGGTGAAGCTATGTATCTTCCTGACTTTATTTATCAATGCGTTCACGAGATGATGATAAAAATATCAGATCCTGGTTCTAATCCTCAAGAAAAAAGACTATACTAAGCAATTTTGAAATACATGATCGATAATTGATTGAAGAAGATATTTATTAAAATTGAAGAAGATAATTGAAGAAGAAGGTATAATTTTTTGTATAGTGTACAAAATTTTGCAATTTTTTAAATTAATTAATATATATTTTTTTCCATCTCTTAAATCCACAAGAAAAAAGACTACCAAGCGATTTTGAAACACATATAATCGATGATTGATTGAAGAAGATATTTAAAATTGGAGAAGATTAATGAAGAAGAGAAGGTATACTTTTCATATAATATAAACAATTTGCAATTTTTTAAATTAAATTAGAGATAATAAAACAACATGAGCCTATTACGAGCTATGTGAATTGATGTCAAACATATATATTTCCAAACTTTACATCAAAATCGTATAAATCTACTTTACAATGAGACGTTTCGACGCTTACTTGCGTCTCTTCAGTCATAATTAGTTAAAACATAGTGAAACGTCTCATTGTAAAGTAGATTTATACGATTTTGATGTAAAGTTTGGAAATATATATGTTTGACATCAATTCACATAGCTCGCAATAGACTTATGTTGTTTTATTATCTCTAATTTATAAATTAACGAGCTTATTCATTCATTTAATTTATATTTTTAAATTAATATACAGACTCTTTTTATCTTTTCTTTTTAATGAGACTAAAGAGGATATTTTATATTTTTTTTCGTTCATAGGTAAAACGACGTATCTTCTTCTACGACTTTATTTATCGATTTATCTACAATATGAAAAGTAGCAGAGCGAACGATCTTCGTGCTGTTTTCGTATGCAGGAGAATTTGGGAGAAGATCACATCGGTCGAAGGAGTGAGAAAGAAAGAGAGAGTGGGTGGAGTAATAGCGGGGCCCCCGAAGGTCTTTGGGATCCTCGTGAAATGCTTTTTGATACTGGAAATCGGTCCGTCGTCGTCGTCGCGTTACGAAATCACGTAAAACCGGGCCTCTACGCCTACGCTTCAGCGAGAGAGAGAGAGAGAGAGAGAGAGAGAGAGAGAGGGGGGGGGGGAGAGAGAGAGAGAGAGAGAGAGAGAGAGAGAGAGAGAGAGAGAGAGAGAGAGAGAGAGAGAGAGAGAGAGAGAGAGAGAGAGAGAGAGAGAGAGAGAGACTGGCGGTGAAAGAAAGTCCGACTTCTTTAATAAGCCTGAAGTGTTTATAACATATGCCAGGACAGAACGCGCAAGATGTTGGGTTGTCTGAAAAAAGGAAGAGAAAAACAACATAATATATATTGGACTATAAAAACTTTAATATTCATCGCGAAATTAATTCTTATATGACCTAACTTTTTTTCTAAATCGAGTCACAAGAGTTCCTTTTCTCATATACATATATTTTAATAAAAAGCGAAGCAATATAAGATATTGATTATAGTAGATTTATATATGTGTATATAATATTTTTAAAAATAATTTATCATCCTATAAGATTAAATTATTTTTTAAAAATCTATACGTAATAAATATATAATATATTATATATAATTTTCTTAATATATTAGTATATTAAGAACATAAGGTATATATTATATAATATTTAAAAAATGATATATCAAAATAATATATTATATATATATAATATTTTATATATTATCTTGATTTTATTTTTTAAAAATATTGATATATATATATATATATATATATATATATATATATATATATACATATATATATATAGCGTTCGAAGATGAAATGAAAATTTTGTATCGATAATAATGCTGTAATAAAATTGCTTTGCAGCACAGAATCATTCAGAGTCCCACGATCGAGGTCCATTATTAATGTGCGACTGTAATATATATATATATATATATATATATACAATATGGATACAGAGGCGAGCATTTTTCTCAAGAGTTCGACGAGACGGAAAACGCCGTACGATTCCATGGAAAGACGATCGTTCGCACGATATACAATCCAAGGAACTCCGTTTATGTGTGCTTGCACAAAAAGCTGCATCCACCGAACCGGCTGTATTATGGAGCCAGTTAATCGACCTCCTGTGCTCTCTCGAAACTTTACATTTATTACTCGACGATGCATTATTAGTATTGAAATTGAATCGCTCAAATTTTCATCGAGAAATATGTAAATTTAAAAAAATACGAAAAATTAAAATCTTTATATAAAAATATTTATAAAAAATACACAACTTTTTTTGCTTAGTATATTTTTATTATAAAATTTTATAGAAAATATTTTATATATATATATGTATTTTTTAAATTATATTACACATTGCAGTTATAACTTACAAAGAGCGATAAAAAATAGTACATTTTACAAATGGTAATACAAAATTAAGACAGCGCTTTGTGTTGCTTTTCAAATATGGATAATTGCACAATCATCATATATCGACGATTCGAAAATTCATTTATTTTAATTCTAATTTGAACACATGAAATATCTTCACTGAAAATCAATCGGCGACTTCTTGGTAATTAAAGTCTCTTCCATTATGTCAATATAATCCTTGATATCGTTCATATACCTCTTTAAGAATTTGTGATCCTTTTTTATATTCTTAATTAAACTCTTAACATCCGTTTCTCTGTAAAAAAAATGAGAGAAAAAGGATAAGAATACAATTCCATTAAATTCATTATAAAATTCATTAATTCATCATAAACTTACTTTATTGTGCCTAACAAACAATTAACACTTATATCGTTTGAAGTGAGTTTATCGAAACGTTTGACTTTAATCGTGACTTTCAATATAATTTCCACTCGTTTGCTTCGACACAGGAATGAGATTCTGAAATAAATATGTCATTATTTATTATTATTTTAAATATTAATATTACTAATTTTATACTTTAAATATTATTAATATTAATAATTTTATAATATTTTAAATATTATAAATTAAATATATAATATTTTAAAAATTATATAATTAAATGATAATATTTTAAATATCTCATATATTAAATATAGTATAGTATAGCATAACAAAGTGTAACGAATGAACGTAAATAATTACTCATTATAAGCAATTTCCATCAAATTTAAAGCGTCCAAGCGTTTCAAATCGAACATGAAATCCATCGCTAATTTCACATCTTGCGAAACACGTTCCAACATACGTAAAACCTCTTCGTGAATTTTATACAAATACATAAGCATTTCTTCATCTAGTTTCTCCAGAATTAATTTGTGAACTATCCTTACTAATACACCAGAATTATCTGTAAAAAAATACAAAGATTAACAATATTTGCAATTTTAGCCTTTGATAAATATATTTTATATTCGCGTAATTACCTGAAGCACGGGAAACAATTCTGATCTTTTCGATCGGGTTCTCTCCGGAGCAATTAAGATGTGACGATAGAAACGTTGTTATTAATATCAACGAATTCGATATAAAGCCGAAAACAATCGTCTTCTTGTCGACATTCTTATGATACACGTTCCAAATGCAGTCATCTCTGTCAACAAAATAATATATTAGCTCTCATTGATCATAAGACAAAAAAAATTATTTCATAAAATATTAAAATATATACATATATATATATATACTTATATTTACTTTTCGCTATGTGTTTCTAATTTCTGTAATAACAATAAAAAGGGATCTTGCTCGGTCAAAGACTCATCTTCAATCATGGTAACACATTGCTTCGCTGCAAATCTTTCTTCCTTACAGTTTTCTTTTTCTTCCATTCCTCCTGCTTCAGCATTTAAATTCTCTTTGCAATGTTTCTCTGAATTAGATTGATTTTTAACTACTTCTGTCTTTTTGAGGTGATCAGTAGACCATTCCATCTCCAATCTTTGCACAACCAAATACTGTTCTTTTTCTTTGATATTATTTCGTGGCTCTGCATCATCATTCATCCTTCCTCTAATGTTTTCTTCATCTATTACTTCATCCTTTTTGATAACTGGTGATATGAAATGATCAGTGTTCATCTCTCCATGTTTTACAGTCTGTGTTGATGATATATTTTCTTCATTACAATCCTCTGCATTTGTTGTATGATTTGGTTCACTAATTCGAGTATCTTCATCATTAATAATCGTTTTCTGGATCATTTGACAATTGTCGTCTTCTTCATTCTGTGTTGATAATACACTTTCTTCATTAGGATTCTCTGCATTTGTTGTACAATAATTTGATTTATTGACAATTGTTCTCAATTCTGCCAAATATTCTGTTACATTATTTCCTATTAATTGATTTGAATTATTACACATATTATTGACTGTTTCATCATCATCAGTCGGTAGTTTGTCTTCGTGTAAGGCATTAAGGAAGGAATTTTCTTCTTTGTCGCTGTCCAACGATAAGAACGATGGTGGTTTAATAGAGCTTAACTCTATAATGTTGTTCTCCAGACTTTTTCTGAACAAATTACATTCGCTAATCTCTAGATTATTTCTGAAATTTGATGCAGACAACTCACTACAATCCATTGTATGATCCTTAACAGAATACTCATTATATTCAATATCATTTACATGATTATCATTAGATCTTAGAGATAAATGTACATTATTTTCTTGAGACAGACGAGATTCCGTAAAAGAACTGCAAAACTTCTTCAGGTTTGGTTGTTCATCTTCAAATGCTTCTCTTCTACTGCTAATATTTTTTAAAACTGTACTTGAAGAATGATTTAAATTATTTGTCGAAGATGGAAGAACGGAAATTTCTCTGGAAATTATGTAACTATCTTTCATTACATTTTTCCTCGATTCTGATAAATTATTTGCAGTTAGATCGTTTAATCTACAATTATCTGTCCTCAGATGCTGAAATTCATTATCCTTAGAAATGATTGAACTCTTTCTTTCATCTGTCGCATCTCGTAGATGTAGGGTCGACAAATCTGTAGCAGTAATTTCCATTGGTTCTACATGTTGAATTGTTTTATTTGCAACTGTGTCTTGAAACATTGATTCTGATACTAAATTTTCAACAGGCAAATCTAGTTTTGATGTTGTTACAGAGATTGATGTAGATTGTGCAGTGCAGATAGCATTAAATGTTCTTTCATGATGCAAAGAGACTGGAACAGCTTCGGTGAACTCCATAGACTTGCACAATGATCTAGTTTTTTCATTAAAGTTACTGGAATTGTCCATATTTTTTTCTTTATATGTACTCTCTTCAGATATTGACTTGTGAACGATTGGACGAGTAATTTCTTGATTTTTTGATATCACGTTAGTCATTTTCATGGATATGTCTTGAAAGAACATGGTTCTATCATCATTGGGTATTACTTTATCATCCATTCTCAAATCTTTCTTCTTGTTAGAAACAATTAAAGGTGGTAACATATTTACAGGCTCCATCATTACATCGGTGAAAAATTCAGTTTCATCAGTTTGATCTTCTCTCAGATTATTTTTTTCAATCATATTTTCATCATGCGAATGTGAAATAATTTTGTTGTACATTTTTGAAGGTACAGCAGCAGTCATTTCCATTGAAGTATTAAAAACTGTATTGTTTGTAGTAAATGGTTGTATTACAGTTGTTAATGTCATCGATTCGGCAACATTCCGTGTTGTATTCTCTGTCTGTTTAAATAGAGTACGTTCAGAGGCAATATTAGATTGTAAATTTGTTGAAAATATCGTCTTATTGTGCATATTATTTTCAACACTCAAATTCTCATTTCCACGGTTCTGCATTTCTGCAATTTGTTTCAAAATTCCTAAATCGGAATTAACAGGCTTCATAGATGTAGCCTGAGTAGATGCATTCTTATAGTTACCAGTATAACTTGTGTCATCTCTTTGTATATTTATTGCAGTTGTTAATATCATTGATTCATCAATATTTTGTGTTGCATCCTCTGTTTGTTTAAAAACAGTATTTTCAGAAGTAATATTAGATTGTAAATTTGTTGAAAATATCATCTTATTGTGTGTATTATTTTCAACACTCAAATTCTCATTTCCATGGTTCTGTATTTCTGCAATTTGTTTAAAAATTCCTAAATCAGAACTAGCAGGCTTCATGAATGCAGCCTGAATAGATGCATTGTTACAGTTGCCAGTATAACTTGTATTGTCATCTCTTTGTACATTTATTGCAGTTGTTAATATCATTGATTCATCAATATTTTGTGTTGCATCCTCTGTTTGTTTAAAAACAGTATTTTCAGAAGTAATATTAGATTGTAAATTTGTTGAAAATATCATCTTATTGTGTGTATTATTTTCAACACTCAAATTCTCATTTCCATGGTTCTGTATTTCTGCAATTTGTTTAAAAATTCCTAAATCAGAACTAGCAGGCTTCATAAATGCAGCCTGAATAGATGCATTATTACAGTTGCCAGTATAACTTGTATTGTCATCTCTTTGTACATTTATTGCAGTTGTTAATATCATTGATTCATCAATATTTTGTGTTGCATCCTCTGTTTGTTTAAAAACAGTATTTTCAGAAGCAATATTAGATTGTAAATTTGTTGAGAATATCGTCTTATTGTGTGTGTGTGTATTATTTTCAACACTCATATTCTCATTTCCACGGTTCTGTATTTCTGCAATTTGTTTAAAAATTCCTAAATCAGAACTAACAGGCTTCATGGTTGCAGCCTGAATAGATGCATTATTACAGTTGCTAGTATAACTTGTATTGTCATCTTTTTGTACATTTATTGCAGTTGTTAATATCATTGATTCGGCAAAATTCTGTGTTGCATCCTCTGTTTGTCTAAAAACAGCATTTTCAGAAGTAACATTAGATAGTAAATTTGTTGAAAATATCTTATTGTGTGTATTATTTTCAACACTCAAATTCTCATTTCCACGGTTCTGCATTTCTGCAATTTGTTTCAAAATTCCTAAATCGGAATTAACAGGCTTCATAGATGTAGCCTGAGTAGATGCATTATTATAGTTACCAGTATAACTTGTGTCATCTCTTTGTACATTTATTGCAGTTGTTAATATCATTGATTCATCAATATTTTGTGTTGCATCCTCTGTTTGTCTAAAAACAGCATTTTCAGAAGTAACATTAGATAGTAAATTTGTTGAAAATATCTTATTGTGTGTATTATTTTCAACACTCAAATTCTCATTTCCATGGTTCTGTATTTCTGCAATTTGTTTAAAAATTCCTAAATCAGAACTAGCAGGCTTCATAAATGCAGCCTGAATAGATGCATTATTACAGTTGCCAGTATAACTTGTATTGTCATCTCTTTGTACATTTATTGCAGTTGTTGATATCATTGATTCATCAATATTTTGTGTTGCATCCTCTGTTTGTTTAAAAACAGTATTTTCAGAAGCAATATTAGATTGTAAATTTGTTGAGAATATCGTCTTATTGTGTGTGTGTGTATTATTTTCAACACTCATATTCTCATTTCCACGGTTCTGTATTTCTGCAATTTGTTTAAAAATTCCTAAATCAGAACTAACAGGCTTCATGGTTGCAGCCTGAATAGATGCATTATTACAGTTGCTAGTATAACTTGTATTGTCATCTTTTTGTACATTTATTGCAGTTGTTAATATCATTGATTCGGCAAAATTCTGTGTTGCATCCTCTGTTTGTCTAAAAACAGCATTTTCAGAAGTAACATTAGATAGTAAATTTGTTGAAAATATCTTATTGTGTGTATTATTTTCAACACTCAAATTCTCATTTCCACGGTTCTGCATTTCTGCAATTTGTTTCAAAATTCCTAAATCGGAATTAACAGGCTTCATAGATGTAGCCTGAGTAGATGCATTATTATAGTTACCAGTATAACTTGTGTCATCTCTTTGTACATTTATTGCAGTTGTTAATATCATTGATTCATCAATATTTTGTGTTGCATCCTCTGTTTGTCTAAAAACAGCATTTTCAGAAGTAACATTAGATAGTAAATTTGTTGAAAATATCTTATTGTGTGTATTATTTTCAACACTCAAATTCTCATTTCCACGGTTCTGCATTTCTGCAATTTGTTTCAAAATTCCTAAATCGGAATTAACAGGCTTCATAGATGTAGCCTGAGTAGATGCATTATTATAGTTACCAGTATAACTTGTGTCATCTCTTTGTATATTTATTGCAGTTGTTAATATCATTGATTCATCAATATTTTGTGTTGCATCCTCTGTTTGTTTAAAAACAGTATTTTCAGAAGTAATATTAGATTGTAAATTTGTTGAAAATATCATCTTATTGTGTGTATTATTTTCAACACTCAAATTCTCATTTCCATGGTTCTGTATTTCTGCAATTTGTTTAAAAATTCCTAAATCAGAACTAGCAGGCTTCATGGATGCAGCCTGAATAGATGCATTATTACAGTTGCCAGTATAACTTGTATTGTCATCTCTTTGTACATTTATTGCAGTTGTTAATATCATTGATTCGGCAATATTCTGTGTTGCCTCCTTTGTTTGTCTAAAAACAGCATTTTCAGAAGCAACATTAGATTGTAAATTTGTTGAAAATATCTTATCGTGTGTATTATTTTCAACACTCATATTCTCATTTCCACGGTTTTGTATTTCTGCAATTTGTTTAAAAACTCCTAAATCAGAATTAACAGGCTTCACAGCCTGAGTAGATGCATTATTACAGTTGTCAATATAATTTGTATTGTCATCTTTCTGTACATTTATTTGTTCTACTGCACGTGAAGGTAATAAAAATGTAGGCACTGGTGCAGTAATCTCCATAGACAAATCCTGGTTGCACGTACTGTCTAATTCAAAAGCAACATTAGAGAGTGACTCAGAGTATGATTTTCTCCTGCTATTATTCTCTTCGTCAGGATCTCTGTATATAACATTACTAGATATTGCATTTTCAGATATGTGAGATACAGAAAGAGGACTCAGCATCATATTTTGCTCGAGTTGAAACTTTCCATCCACTAGATTTCTATGATTTTCATCCGTGTTGTTACATACAAGAATATCATGTAATGTTGTATTCTTACATACTTGAAATGTAGTAGATTTTTTTAACAATGTTGTCTGTGTACATTCCTCATTGAATTCTACACATTTGAATGAATTGGTGAAGATCATCTCACAGTTCTCATTATCTTTCTCTTGGACACTTACAATAGACTCGGACAATTGATTATTTGTCAAATTGAAGTTGTTTGGATTATTCAAATTACTTTCACAGATGTGTTCACATTTGTTTTGGGAAATATGCAAAGATGCACCTTCTGTCAACTCAGTTTTACCACTTGAATCACTTATAGATGATTTAAGACTACAATCGTGCTCTTCATATGTATTATCCCATACAGTCCCCTGCTCGACTGAATGACAAAACTCTCTGCAAGGGATAAAATAATTAGAGGTAAAAAGAGAGAAGTCTAAAATAAATTTGAAATAAGAATAAATTGTGCTGTTTCTTTATAATAAAAATTAATATAATATACTCACTTGACATGTTTCTTCTCTGCAAAGCTAACCCGCCTTTTGGTTTTCAATGGAGTTGAATTTGTTTCGTTGAGGGGTTTTGTTGGGGAGTCAAAATTCACATTTTGAAACGGTTGTCGTGGTTTACGTGGTTTAAGAATCTAAGAACACCAAAATCATCAATTTCTTTAATATTAATAAATTAGAAATTTTTTTAGTTTTTCGAAAAGAATATTAATACTGCTATTATTAAATTAAAATATTAATAAAATATTTAATATTACTAAATAATTAATATTATTAAATTTGAACTTAGTTTTAATTTGCAAAAAACGAGAAAGCTAAGCCAAAAACAATTGTAAACAATGTAAACTCACCGATGATCGTCTAGATTTTTCATTTCTCTTGGATTTAGGAGTCGATTTAGGAGGAGACATGATTAAATATAACTCTTCCTTCGTTGTAGTCTCTTGTGTATTTATATTTATATGTATCACACACAAAATAATGGCGATAATTAATTAATATTTATATATTCGTTCATTCGACAGACACACAAAAGCGGTAAGCGGTTAAGTTTGCGATTTGAAACTCCATCTTGTGGTTTCCTAAACCTATTAAAATATAACTCCAAATTCAGCCGAGTTTTCAATGCTACAAAAAATGGCGCAAATTTTAAAAAAACTGAGTGTTTAAAAAATCATTCTTGTATTTTTCTATATTCTCTCCTTGTAATAATATAATATTTATAATAATAATATAATAATAATTTACACATAAATATTAAATATTAATAATAAAAATAAAATTTTAATAATTCTAAGTAATAATATATTATAATATAATAATAATATAAAACAATAATATAAAATAATAATAAAAAATATATAATACTAATAATAATAAATTAATAATAATATAATTATTACTATATTATACATTTAATAATATAATATTAATAGTAATAATCACGATATTAAAATTACTTATATATATAAAATAACATTTTTATAATTTATTTTTAAAACTTTGTTCACGCTGCAAATTTTTAAAATAAATTATAAAAATTTTATTTTATACATATAAATAATTTTTATATTGTGATTATTACTATTAATATTATATTATTTAAATGTAAATAAATTCTATATAAGGAGTCTAATAAGATGCTTTTTGGAACGCATTGCACGTTGAAAACACGGCATAATTTTCGAGCCGAGCGCGCGTAATCTCGGACCAATCAGCGCTCGCCAAATGTGCGATCCCGACAATTCCACAAAGTACGTGTGTACACGTATATATGTGTCCGTATGTATGTATGTATGTATACACAGTTGCGTTCGAGCGATATCAGATGACGTTCGTCGTACACAGTCGTAAAACGGTGCTCGATTGACGATCCAGCAAGATATTAATTTGTTAAAAAAATTGAGAAATTATACGCGAGTGACAGGTGACAGCTCTTTAAAACTCGCGTTCTCTCTCTCTCTCTCTCTCTCTCGCGAGAACGAAGGGAGAACGAAGAAAAAGAAGAAGAAGGAGAGTCTCGATTGAACATCGGCGGCGACGACGGGGACGACGGGGACGGGAATTATTATTAATCATTATCGCTTGTTATACAAGAACAGCTGATTTCGGGCTGGCTCCTGGCGAGGATGGCAGAAGCCGCCGTCAATCTCATCATCAAGGCGCCGAACCAGCAGATCAAGGACCAGGTCGTTAGATGCGATCTCGGCTGGACCATCGGCCACCTCAAGGAGTACCTGGCCGAGGTCTACCCCAGCAAGCCAGTAAGTCACGCGAAAGTGATTAGTGAAAGCAGCCGAAAGTAGGTTCTCCTTTTTTCTAAGAAGAAAACAAATTCAATTAAAAATTCCTTATTAGCACTATATTTTGTGTTCAAAAAATTGTAGTTTGAAGGAAAAATAATATTATTATTTATTATCGGTCGAGAGGAATATTTATTTCTTTAAAATAGTTTTCTATTGGATAGGGAAATATATTTGACATTTCTTGATGACATGGAGAGATATGATATCTTTTAAAACATTCATTAATCTTTTCGCTGATTACAACCTAGTGTGCTTATTATTATATCAAATGTATGATAATACAGAAGATTAATATTTTTAGTTACACTGAAAAAAATCCATGTACTTTTACAAGGAAATTACTAGCTCAAACTGGAAAAGTTACTTGCTTATCACTGTAATTTTTTTTCCATTTGTTTTAAAGTGAAAATACATATTAATGTAAAAATACATGTAAAATATAGGTAAAATTACTATTTTTATGCAAAACTCATATGTAATTTTAAATTTACTATTTTTACTTTATTAGAATTTTATTTTATAAGTATTTATCTATTTTTTATTTATAACATTTTATAGCATTTATACATTCCTAACATTTCCTATGTGTAATTACATGTTCAGTAAAATATTTTTAATCTTGAAAATATTTAAGAATATATTTCATATGAAATTACATATAATCTGTATATTTCATATGAAATTACATATAATCTGTATATTTCATATGAAATTACATATAATCTTTCATGTAAGTATCAATATTGCATGATTATGCTGGGTCGGAAAAACCTAGCTTAATCATGTAATTTTACATAAATATTTTTTTCAGTGTAGTTTATTTTACTATTATTAATATCATAAAAATAAAAATGATATATACTATAATAATAAACTATAATATATATTACATAATATACTATATAATACTATAACAACACATAGTAATATATATCCCTATTATTAATTTTATTATTATTGTTTACATAGGAAAGCTCGCACCAGAAATTAATCTACTCTGGTCAGTTGCTGAAGGACTCTGCGCAATTGAAAGATGTCCTGAGACAGCGAGATGGTTCAGAAGATCAGGCATATACCGTTCATCTAGTCTGTACACCCCAGAAACCATTTGTCACCAAAACTACATCGGATAAGAGTCAGACAAACGAGAAGAACTCAGATGCGACGTCCTCGATGAGAAACAGCCATATCAGAAGTAACAATGTTCAAACTCCAAGTCATGAGAATAATGCTAATGTTACTGCGCCACAGCCTGAACAAATGTATCTGCCTCAGCAGTACTTTGATCCTCGAAATAGTCAGCAATTGGCCTGGATGCAACAAGCATACACCCATTATTTCACCCAATACATGCAACTGTAAATACACATCTTCTAAAAAAAAAATCTTTATAAAAGAGATATATTTATGCTATAATATATTGTTTTTTGTCTTGCAGCATGGCAGCACAAGGCATACAGTTGCAAGCCAGTATTCCATACCTGCAACAGATGAATATTAACACCAACGATAATACGCCTCAACATACGTACACCAGCAACAATAACAACAACAACAACAACAACGTTGCTGAGGAACCGGCTGCCCAACCAGCAGCGCAAGACGCGGCGGATATTAATGCAGGAAATAACGCCGCTGAGGACGCTGCGTTTAATCGTGACTGGCTAGACTTCTTCTACACATTGTCTAGAATTGTCGTTCTGTTCGGAATAGTGTATTTCTACTCGTCTCCTCTCAGATTTCTTATCGTCACGTTCTTGGGATTTGCAATATATCTGTAAGTCGGAAATGTTTATTAGATTTTGTAAGAATTTCATTGCATTTTTATACACATCTTTCTCTATTCTCTATTATATATATTATATATGTATTTCTCTATTATTTTATATATTTTATATTGTTATATTATTCTTTATTATTTTCTTTCCAAACTTTTCAATATTAAATATTAATATTAAATAATATTATATAAATAATAAGTTAATATTAAATATTAAATAAATTTAATATTAATATTAAATTAAAATTAAAAAATATGAAATATAATAAAATAGTTGCAACATTCTAAGATTATATGAGAAACTTTCCCGAATATTACATATTGTATATAATATAGGGTGTTATATATCCTATTACAGATATCAGGGTGGTTTCTTCAGGGTACAACCGATATTGCTACGTGAGAACAACAACGGCCGGGTAGATAACAACAATCAAGTGTTGCAAAACGAAGCGATGGGCCCGCAAGCTGTGCCACAACAACAACAAAATCTTCAAGTGCCAACACCGCAACCGGAAGCACGAACGAACGCCAACGAGGAGAACGAGGAACAACGACCAGGCGCACTCGCCTTCACTTGGACCTTCTTCAGTTCGTTTTTCGCCTCGCTTATCCCGGATCAGCCGAATGTCATTTAATCTCAAACAAGTCGTTTTGTTATAAAACCAAGTTTCTTCTCTCTTTCTCTCTCTCTCTCTCTCTCTCTCTCTCTCTCTCTCTCTCTCTCTCTCTCTCTCTCTCTCTCCTACTTTTATGAAAAAAGAAAATATATATGAACAAAATAGAAACGTGACATAGAGATTGGAGATAATGATGAATTTTATCAAAATGAATCGGAAATGATTGCAAAATTGTGAGATTTGATACGCGTATTTCTGAATGAAAGTCTGATCAGTTTTATGATATCCATTTTTATATTTGAATCTAATAGTATACATATACAAAATAAATGTTTACATATAAATGCATAATGTTAATAATCGGCATATGCTTAAGATGATTTATCGCGGAATTCAATTCAAGTGTAAAGATTATATATATATATATATATATATATATATATATATATATATATATATATTCAAGTGTAAAGATTATATACATATATATATTCATCTCTTGATTGAATTCAATAACAGAGAGACTTGCAGTTGAAATGAAGCAACAGTCACATTATATCTATAAATAGAATACTAACTCTCCTTCGAAAGAAGATTGTTGGAATCGCCATCCCAAAGCTATTTAGAATTTAATGTATAAAAAAAAAATTTTTTTATGTTTGTAGAATAATTTAAAGATACAACGAGAGTTATATAAATTGTGTGCGTGCGTGTATGCCTATATAAGAAACATACAATTTTTTTGTTTTTAGAGCTTATATTGTATAAAGTGATAATATATATATATATGAAAAAAAACATGATGATAATGAAACGCTAAATTTTCTTTAAGAATTTCTTTCTTATATAGCAATAATATATTACGAATATAGTTTCTGTGATGTGTTTAATATGATCGCAAATATATATCCGGTGTGATATCCTTGTAATGTATCGCGCTACATTTATATATACATAAAAATTATTATTTTTTAATATATAATTTATAATATATTACATAATTAATATATTCATATAGAATTATATTTAAAATAATAAGAAATATATATAGTTAAAATAAATAAAATAATAAATGTAATTATATTATATATTAAATAATAATTATATGTAAATTATAAAGTAATTGATATATAATTATTATAAATAATCTATATAATTATTTTATATTAATAATAATAATTATAAATATAATTATTTTACATATGTATATATATATATATATAATATATATATAAAATATAATATATACATGGCAAAGGTATTATTAGTGAAATTTCTGTAATTTTCCTAAATAGTCGTATATGAAGGTCGCCGATAAAATGAAAAATGTATGTAAAGCAAATAAAACAATTTTTGAAATTTGTCTCGTTTAGTCACGTGTTATTTATTTCGGCGAAATAAATTATGATAAATGTTTATAGTGAATAACTTAAAAAATATTAATATAAAAATTATTATTTTTTATATAATATATATAATATTAAAATAAAAACTTTAACATATTTATCTGGTAGAATTTTAAATTTGCCGCGCTGAGATGTCAAATGCGCATGCGCTTCAAGTTCACGTGGACTGTGGACAGGTGACATAACCGTGACATGATGTACAGGACAAGAAGTTACAGTTTTATTTATAGGAAAATTATTTTTATATCTATATAATAGTTTATATCTTTATATATTTCGTTATATTATGAAATATTGAATGTTTCTGCTATTTATATTGTGAAGAAGACAATTTCTACGCCTCTGTCAATTAAGTAAAATATTTATTTTCACACTTAATTATTATATTATTATTATCACACTTAATTATTATGTTATTATCTGTGAAAATTGTCAAAATTATTAATTTTATATTTATATATATACATATATTTTATATTTATATAACTTTATATAATTATTAATTTTATATTAATTTTATATAATATTATATATTATTAATATTATGATATGAATAAATTTATAGTTATATTTTATAGAAATGCCTCGGTCAAAAGTTTCCGATTTACTTGGTATACTTAAGGGAGCTCAAAGTGTGACGAATGCTCTGATAAAACACCAAGAGGACGCAATCAAGTATACAGTCACACATTTCAGTTTAAAAAATCTACCTGAACAGTACATTCAAGCGGTGAGAAAAAGATTGAGCGACATAGAACCAAGTAAGGTTTCTGTAAGTTTCTCGAATCAATATTGAGCAATTTTTATCGATCTTCTATGTATATTATTTCTTATAAGTTCATTTTCTATAGGAACAAGTAGTGAAAGACTTGAAGGAAGTAACCGAACGCGCGAGTGTGGTTGAAGAAGGTATCAGACAGTACATCAAGATAATAGCCAGTCAAAGCTTGGGTGTGAAAAATGATGCTTACTCTCCCAAGAAGGAGACAAAATTATATGTATATAATGCTGCCAAGGACCCAAAAGAAAAGACTATCGTTAAGGATGTGGCTTCACCAAGATACAACAGCAGCGAATTTACAACCGAGAAGACTTCTGGAGGGATACAAAATAATACAGCAAGAAAATATATGACTGTGAAAGAAAAGATCGAGACCATAGCTTCAGATAAAGAAATACCTCAAATAGAACTCTCTGATAAGGATAAAGAAATTTTGAGGAAATTAGAATTGGAGCACGAGAAGAATATTAGAAATAAGGATGCTAGTTCTATTTTTACCTCTACGAATCAGCTGAAAACATCAGAAAAGGAATGTGTGCATCAAGCGCAAATAGAACCTAAGGAAAAACTAAAAGCTAAATTATCAGTCAAATCAAAACAACTTGTTAGTATTGATATAAAAATTACATATATCTTATATTAATTCAATTAATATAAATATTTCATTTTAATGCTTAATTTATATTGTAGCTGTCACCTACTGCCAGAGAAAGGAAAGTTCCTGCTACAAGATTGCAAAGAATGGTAAGCTTTGGCACCCTAGGTCTTGGACTTGGTGTTGGGACTGTTGCAGAATATACAAGAAGGACATTAGGATTGAATGAGCAAAGTATTGGAGATACACTTGATAGCATGTTTCTAACTAAAGCTAATGCGGAAAGAATAGTTTCAACATTGTGCAAAGTGAGAGGTAAGATTTATAAAACTGCCATATGTCTATTCCAGATAGCAAGTATGCTACTTGAGTATATATATAAATTATATTAAAATAAAAAAAATACAGGTGCAGCTTTAAAAATTGGTCAAATCCTGAGCATCCAAGATAATACTATAATAAGTCCAGAATTGCAAAAGATCTTTGAAAGAGTCAGACAAAGTGCTGATTTCATGCCAACCTGGCAAGTAGAGGTAAAAATAATATACAGAAATGTATAGATAAAAAAGACATTTATATCATTAGTTAATCAATTATTGCAATTACTTGTCTAGAAAGTAATAGCTAGCGAACTTGGACACGATTGGAGAAATAAACTGGCATTCTTTGAGGAGAAACCATTTGCAGCAGCATCTATCGGTACATAAATGTTTTTTTTTTTTTTTCCATATAATCTTGGTTGAAAGTTTCTTTATAATTATATGACGGGATTTAGGGCAAGTGCATCATGGTAGATTGTTGAATAAGCAGGATGTAGCAATAAAGATTCAGTATCCAGGTGTGGCTAAAGGTATTCAAAGTGACATTGAGAATTTAGTAGGCATAATGAAGGTACAAAGTAACAATATGTTTCAAACAACTCTCTTGAACGTTATAGAGAATATATAAGTCATATTATCTTATAAATATTATTTATTACAGATTTGGAATATGTTTCCAGAAGGAATGTTTATAGATAATGTGGTGGAAGTTGCGAAACGGGAGCTTGCATGGGAAGTGGATTATATAAGGGAAGCGGAATGTACAAGGAAATATAAGGAATTAATGGCGCCTTATCCAGATTATTATGTGCCTACAGTAATAGGTATATTGAATAATAAAAAAAATATCTTTAAAATATAATTAGATACTAAAGACATTAAAAAATTATTATTATTATTATTATTAAATATTATGTATATTTTATTATTATATATTATTATATATATTATTAAATATATAATTATTATTATCATTAAAAAATTTCCAGATGCTCTCTCTACGAACCAAGTATTCACAACAGAAATGATAGAAGGTATACCTGTTGATAAATGTGTAGATATGGATGTCAAGATCAGAGAACACATAAGCGAACTGATTATGCGACTCAGTCTAAAGGAATTATTTGAATTTCGATTTATGCAGACTGATCCAAATTGGTCCAACTTCTTCTACAATATTGATACAAAACAGGTATTACATGTATGCAATAATTATGTAATTAATTAACAAGGTTGGGTGAGTTTATGATTTTTTTTAAACTAAGTTAAGTTAAAATTAATAGCTATAAAATTATTTTAGTTACATTAAAAATTGCATGAACAAAAACTAATTCAGTTAAAAGTTGAATTATGATTAAATTAACTTAATTTAAAAATTAAAAGTTAATTTTTAAAAATACTTATTTTTAAATAAAATGTCATAATTAAACATTTTTTTAAATATAATATTTTATTCGTTGATTTTTTAAAATTTATATAAAATAAAGAAAATACAAAAATTTTGTTTTTTATATAGAAATATATTTTTCCTTGTAATTATTGAATTACGAAAAAATAAAAACTAATAATATCTATTTATCTCAAAATTCTTGCAAGAATGACGTACATTATAGAATGATTATCTTTTATTAAAATTTAATCGTTTAATGTTTAAAATTTTATAGAAAAAAATAATGGCATTCAAAGATAAACAAAAATTATTTTTAACTTAGATTAGTTTAAGTTAAAAATTAATTTATTTTAAATTAAATAAGTTTTTAATTTTTTATTTAACATTTAATTAGTTACTACTCAATCTTGTTAATTATAAAAATATTTAGATAATTATATAATTTTAATCAAGGAAAATGTTTTAAATTGGACATATTTTGCAGTTAATTTTATTGGATTTTGGGGCATGCAGGACGTACGAAAAAGCATTTATGGACAAATATATCGAAGTTATTAACGCTGCGAGTGAAGGGAATCGCGATAAGGTCCTGCAGTTGTCTCGAGATATGAAATTTCTAACTGGATACGAATCTAAGGTATCTTATCTTTATCAGATGCAATCTATAATATTCTGAAAAAAAAAATAAAACAAGATTTACTTATTGGCAGATTATGGAAAATGCTCACGTGGATGCTGTCATGATCCTTGGACAAGTGTTTGACAATAATCACGAGTATTACGATTTTGGGGGCCAAGATGTGACAAGACGGTATGTATCATTTTTTTAAATTTAATATGATATTATTTTTATTTTAATTGTAATATCTCGTATTGATGATAAAATATTAATTGTATATTATATGTACAGGATTCAAGCTTTAGTACCAACTATAATAAATCACAGATTGTGTCCACCACCCGAGGAGATATATAGTTTGCACAGAAAATTGTCAGGAATATTTTTGCTATGTGCAAAACTGGGAGTTAAAATCAAGTGTCGCGATATGTTTCGAAAGATTTATGCTAATTATAAGTTTGGTTGATACATATTAACATTAATATATATTATGACAAAATCCAAACAGCCTAGGTAGCAAGTATATGTCATTTTCACGTTGAATGACGTCAGTTTGCTATTTGGAATTGAAACACCTGCATTTTTTTATACAAATGCATACGTTTTCTAATAAAATTATACATAGTTGTATAAATTATATAAAATATATTTACTAAAATTATAATATAAGTTATGATATATATTATAAATAAATAAAATTATATATAATAGAAATTCCTACTTTATCAACGTTAAAAATTTAGTGATATTCAAATGTCTGTTTATGAACACAGACGGCGCGATTCGAAAATTAATTATGGCGGCTAGGGGTGGGCGATACAATAAAAAATATCGATATTTGATCTTGTGCCATCTGTTGTATCAGTGCTGTCAGTATCAGTACTTTTCTTCTTTTTCATTTGCAACTGTAGCTTAGGATGTGTTCTCAAAAATGAAAACGTAAATTAGTAGTATTTCCCGAAGTTTTAATCAGCTGTTGGCAAATGTTACATTTACCACCTTCATTGTTCCGGCCAAAATATTTCCAATAATTGCTTTTTGGTGGCACTATAAATAAAAAAACATATGCAGAAAGAATGCATCAGAGAGAAGGATGAGAGTGGTCATCCCCTCGATTTAGCTGCAACCGGAATTCAAAGCGCCTCTATGTGCACAAAACGTGCACATTGAACTACGTAGCCATGTGCACGATCTCCCGAGTGGTAACAGGCTATGTGCACGGTACGTGGTTCGATTCCGTGCTATGTGCACAGATGAGCGCCAGTAACACGTAGCTGTTAAAGGAGATGAGTTCGAGACCTCGCAGGGCCAATTTTTTTTTTTTTTTTTTAGTACGACTATATTTGTCAATTTAATGAAATCCTTTTAATTATTGTGGAATAAAGAGATAAAATGCATTTCTCAAGCGTACGCGAGAAAATCGAAATCAAAAATAATGAGTGCCGTATAAATACGTATGGAATAGAGCGTTATATCGAAGAGCGTGTGGCGTAGCGTTAAGGGGCTAGACACGTACCGTCGAGATTAGAGGTTCGATTCTCGAGGAGTGACTTTTTTTTTAATATTTTTTTATTTTAAATAAAATTTTTTTTACCATAAAATGTAATTTTTACACAAAATAAATGTAAATAACACGATTTATTTACTTATAACACGTATATTACAAAAATGCATTTTTCTTTGCCTCAAAAAGCCGTGAAAAGCCGTCTGTAGAATAGCTGTATGCGATAGGAACTTGTATGATTATCTGTTTAATTAAAAATTATCCGATTTATGTCGTGTTTGGTGTCGTTGAAATCGCAAAAATCTCAATAATCCATTAATATTATTTTTGAATAGATAAAATGCAAAATAAAGGTTTTAGTTTTTCACTTATAAGATGTTTATATTTGTGAATTGCCATGGATGGGGAAGCCTATTGTTCGAGAGTTCGGAACTTTCTTTGATGATAGGTCCTCTCGCTCGCTCTATACTCGCAGTCTCGCTTTCTCTCTCGCACACGACGAGTTGTGAGATGAGCTCGAAAAGATAAGCGGGCCCGAGCGCCCGAGTATCGAGATCAAAGAACGTTCCGAACTCTCGAACAATAGGCTTCCCCATCCATGGCAATTCACAAATATAAACATCTTATAAGTGAAAAACTAAAACCTTTATTTTGCATTTTATCTATTCGAAAATAATATTAATGGATTATTGAGATTTTTGCGATTTCAACGACACCAAACACGACATAAATCGGATAATTTTTAATTAAACAGATAATCATACAAGTTCCTATCGCATACAGCTATTCTACAGACGGCTTTTCACGGCTTTTTGAGGCAAAGAAAAATGCATTTTTGTAATATACGTGTTATAAGTAAATAAATCGTGTTATTTACATTTATTTTGTGTAAAAATTACATTTTATGGTAAAAAAAAATTTTATTTAAAATAAAAAAATATTAAAAAAAAAAGTCACTCCTCGAGAATCGAACCTCTAACTTCGACGGTACGTGTCTAGCCCCTTAACGCTACGCCACACGCTCTTCGATATAACGCTCTATTCCATATGTATTTATACGGCACTCATTATTTTTGATTTCGATTTTCTCGCGTACGCTTGAGAAATGCATTTTATCTCTTTATTCCACAATAATTAAAAGGATTTCATTAAATTGACAAATATAGTCGTACTAAAAAAAAAAAAAAAAAAAAATTGGCCCTGCGAGGTCTCGAACTCATCTCCTTTAACAGCTACGTGTTACTGGCGCTCATCTCGCACATAGCACGGAATCGAACCACGTACCGTGCACATAGCCTGTTACCACTCGGGAGCATCGTGCACATGGCTACGTAGTTCAATGTGCACGTTTTGTGCACATAGAGGCGCTTTGAATTCCGGTTGCAGCTAAATCGAGGGGATGACCACTCTCATCCTTCTCTCTGAATGCATTTAGACACAGATTAATAGACAGATCGCCAAAGGTCTGGATGAAGGAGAGACCAGCATTTCTCACTGATTTCAGCGCCATATCGTAGTAGTGGTCAATGCAGTAACTATTAATACGTTCCCAAGATAAGAGCGTCTCATGCTCATGAACTCGTCCGGCGGCATGTACGAGATTTATCTTTTCGTAGCGTTCGCGTATTTCGGAAAGGACAGAATTTTATGATGTTATAAATAAATAAATAAATAAAATATTAACCTGACCTATTATAATTATTTTTTAATAAATGTTTCATTATTATTATCATCTAAGTCTAAGTCGTTTAATTAATTTTTAGTTTTTTAATAATTAATTTAATTTATTCTAATTATTTTAATATGTGAAAAATACTAATACGTATACGTTTTATAATGAATTAATATATTTCGAGAGTCGAATTATATATTTTTAATAATATAAAAGTGTTCAAAAATTATATTTGACTTTTAATTTTAATTATTTTAGCAAAGAGTTCCGAAATCTCTTACACACATAATAGGGATTTTGTTCATCCATATAATTCGCAATTAAGTATATATGTTAATTATTAATTTTAATAAAATACAAAATTAAAATTAAAGGTCAAATATAATTTTTGAACATAAATATATTTAATTCGTTATAAAACGTATACCCGTGATAGTATTTTTCTCGTACAAAAATAACTAGAACAAATTAAATTACTCATAAAAAAATTAAAAAATAATTAAATAATTTATATTATATATGATAATAATAAAACATTTTATAAAAAAAACAGATTCAATAAATATAAGTATTGAAAATCTCTCCTCCAATTTTAAAGTCGACCAGACTGGCAATAATTTATTTAAAAAATTAGTTAAATTACAACGTTTCGGCTGTCATTGCAGCCCTTTTCAAGTAATCAGATTAATACAATAAATCAAATTTACAGCAAACCCCCGACAAAATTAACCATTGTTTTGATGAACAATGTATAACTGACAGAAGTGAGCACGAAAAAAAAAAATAGATGTCGACTGTTAGCAGGAAACTTAGTCACAGTGACTAAGTTTCCTGCTAACAGTCAACATCTATTTTTTTTTTTTGTGCTCACTTCTGTCAGTTATACATTGTTCATCAAAACAATGGTTAATTTTGTCGGGGGTTTGCTGTAAATTTGATTTATTGTTTTAATCTGATTACTTGAAAAGGGCTGCAATGACAGCCGAAACGTTGTAATTTAACTAATTTTTTAAATAAATTATTGCCAGTCTAGTCGACTTTAAAATTGGAGGAGAGATTTTCATTATTTATTACTGGCGACTCTTAAGGATTATCATTTAAATATAAGTATATATATAACATGTACTTATATTTATTGAATCTGTTTTTTAATAAAATGTTGTATAAGCTTAGAAAACTTGACTTTGACGTAACTAGCAAATTTTATTTAATTATTTCACGACGGTTTGACGTAATAAAATGTTTTATTATTATTATATAAAATATAAGTTTAAATTCTTTAATTAATTTTTAATCTTTTATGATTAATTTAATTTACTCTAATTATTTTTGTACGAGAAAAATACTATTATGGGTATACGTTTTATAATTAATTTAATATATTTGTGTTTAAAAATTATATTTGACCTTTAATTTTAATTTTTATTTTATTAAAATTAATAATTAACATATATACTTAATTGCGAATTATATGGATGAAAAAAATCCCCATTATGTGTGTAAGAGATTTCGGAACTCTTTGCTATAAAATAATTAAAATTAAAAGTCAAATATAATTTTTGAACACTTTTATATTATTAAGAATATATAATTCGGTTCCCGAAATATATTAATTCATTATAAAACGTATACGTGATATTATTTTTCTCATATAAAAATGACTAGAATAAATTAAATTAATTATTAAAAAACTAAAAAGTAATTAAACGACTTAGACTTAGATGATAATAATAATGAAACATTTTATTAAAAAAAGATTCAATAACTAGTAGGTCAGGTTATAATTTTTTATTTATTTATTTATAACATTATGAGCTATTAAGCTCATCATCTCGTTCGCTCTCTGTCTTGCTTTCATTCGGCAAGTCACAAACGATATATGATACTCGTATGTTCCTACTTCAACTCTCGAGAATCTGAAACAAACGAAACTCGTGTCCAATATACAGGGTGTCCGGTAACTAACAGACCAATGATTACAAATGGATTCTTTGGTCAATTTGGGAACGATTTTTCCTCAGCGAAAATGTCGAAAAAGGTCATCATTTTTTACAACTTTCCAATCTTTGTCATTATGTATCTTTATAACTAAGCCTTAAATTAAAATTTTATTATAGTAAACTCTACCTGAAATTAACTGAAGAATGTAATTATGTTAGACTTTTAACTCCAAAACGTTTAGTTTTCAAAAAACCTATTTTTTTCAATCGCTTATAACTCGAAAATTATTGACTTCTCAACATTTTTGCTAAGAAAAAATCGTCTCCAAATTGGCCAGAGAATCCGCCCTTAATCA